TTGTGTGGTTCTATAATAGATCAACTTTTTCCCTTGATCAGTTTGCTCACTTTTATTCATAATTTGTAAAGCTGTTCGTAAAAGCATTCTTATTCGACACGCTCAATAATTCATAAAAGGTAATTGATCGGCATGAAGTCTTGGTAAAAACTGCACGCAAAAAGTTTGCTTATTTTGTATGGGCTCGAAATTTTTGCAAGAAAATACCTTGCACATGTCTTGTAGTTAGATAGCTAGTGGTATTTAAAGCACAAGTATCGCACTATTTCCATCCACTTCACGTTTATTTTGGTTTTTTATCGCACTCGAAATACAGTCTTCAGTACTGAAGCCCGCATCACTTCCGCGACTTATAAACGTTAATGCGTCACACATTCCTGAAATTCCTCACAAGCCGCGCACAAATTTTCGCACAAAAAGTCTTGAAAATCGCAACTTTGAAGCGTTGTAGCTTCAAGACACTTCACAATTCCGAAAAGGGAACTTCAGCATCGGATTCAGGAGCACCGACTTGACTTAGAACATCAATAAAAAAAATTTTGATTTTTTCAGTTCAGTGGCACTTTAAAAAGTCAGAAATTACACAAAAAAATAACTGAATTTTGAAGAACACAGAACCCCGAATTTCGCGATTTTTCATAAAAATAATTGGCGTTATTTTTATAAGAATACATATTATAAGAACAGTGAGGCTCGATTTGCTCAAAAATAAGAACAAGGCTAGAACATGCTCAGCTTCAGATGAGAAATTTTTAAAAAATTCGCATTTTGAAATTTATATTATGTCATGTCAACAGAACAAAACTATGCAAGTTTGTCCATAAACACTAGCAGTCATTGCTTTATTTTTAAACTTTATTCAGTAAAACGTCTTAGAAACTATATACAGTATGTAACTTCTCAAATATTTGCAAAAAATCACTCTTAAAATAAGAACAATTTTAAAAACATTTGCACCTAAGATTATCAAAAAGTTAAGAACATCGAGGCTCGGCAAAAATTATTGTTTTCTATTACATGCATCGCGCGTTCTAAGGCGATATTTAAAAATCTAAATAAAAAAACTTACAAGGTATATTCAAAGCTCCAGGTATTTTGCCAGTTTCCTCCAGCTCATGTGGGTTTCTTACATCAATAACATAAACTTTTCCTGCATCCAATTTGTGTTTCAGTTCGTCCGCTTCACAGTTTGGATCTTTAAGCAATTCCTCCTCAGTCATATAGCATCTCTTGCAGAAATGTGTCATTGTCAAGCTTCCATGAAGGGGATGACACCATGATGGGTGACAATACCTTGTCGGGGGTTTCCAAACACAAACATCTGTAAAGATGAAAAAGACAGTTCGAATCAAAGAACGTTCCATTCGTTCTCACCGCAATTCGTTCACTCAACACACCGCACAACGTGGACTTAAACGTTCAACAGGCCTTCGAATCAAAGAACCGGGCTCAGAGGCTCAGCCAGTTTTTGCTATAAAATTCATCTTACCCCAGGGACCTGTCAATTTCCATCCAGCGATAAAAGATAGAAATTTATGCAACAAAATCAGCATACAAACTTACAAATAAAATCATTATACCAGCAAAGCCAAGCATGAGGTTTATAGAGTTATAAGGTTTTGGAGGCCCTGGGGCAAAAGCAAAAGACCAGGCGACACCCTTTAGAGTAGCTTAAATTTATTCATTCGCTCAAAATTTTTTACCGTTTTTATGTAAAATTTTTTCTTGTAATTAATTCCATTTTCAAACGGAATTCATTACTTTATGAGGCCCCCTAGACTCGAAGCAATGGGGGCAACCCCCCCATCTCTCAGCGGCCCTGAAGATATGGCCAATGAGAGATTTAAAGGTTGCCAACCGAAACTGTTATTGCTTCAAAATGAAGAAACGAAAGTATTACACAGTACTGATTACCAATGCTGAGGAGAGGGGGATCAGGGAAGTCACTGACCGGGGGGGCCTTGGCTTTAGGGGTCCTTAAATAATACTTCAATAAAAAAAATTATAAGTGATAATCCTGCCACTCCGTTATCACAAACTGTCAATAATAGAAACAATAATGACAAAAGTCTATGAAACAATAATGACAAAAGTCTATGAATGAATCAAGGTAGAAACAGTAGTTAGGGGCGTCACTTGAAGGTATGGGCGTTAGTATGGGGGAGAGGGGTGGTTCACGAAAGTAGGACCTTTTCGCAGGGCAAAACTGATTTTTGCAGGGCAAATATTTTCTACCAACGGTTCTGTTTTGTTGTTTTTGTTATGTAACTGTAACAAGAAAATAGGTTATGCTTGAAATTTTTCTACTCCAAAAGTAAAACGATACAGACTACCAGTGACACGAAGTAGAAATTGCCAGGTTGATCTTGGGCTGGATGGAATAGATTTCTAAAATGATTCTGATTTCCTTTCACCTTATATGTTACACTCATTTCTATGGTTACACCCTTGGTTGATATTTATGTCTCATTTAAAAACCATACTAAAAAGACAAGCACCGCTTGCCAGAAAACTAAGATACTGTAAAGGGGCTATTTGGGTCAAAATTTGATGGAATAGTTTTGCATAATAGGGTCTAAATTTGCTTTGACTGCAACCAGAAGCGTGACTTTAAGAAGGGAGTCGACTATATATTGCTTTTAAATCTTTTTAGTGGATGATATAGGATGTATTGTATAAATTCCTGTAGGTTTTCAAGCTTGTGTTTGCTATTATGTCATCGATAAATCTTTTCCAAAATATTCGACTACGCCCCATCGGGGCATTGCTCAATATATGTTGCTCTATTGTTGTCATGATTATGATGGCATAATTTGGGACAAAGGGTTTCCCCATTGCGGTGCCTTAAGGGAGGTTAATAAAATTTACCATTATATTCTTATTTATAAGAGCCAGTAAATTGAAGTTCAGGCTGGTTGTTTTAAATTTTTTGAAAACCTGAGGCTGAATTGTTCTTAATTTGTTCTTTAATTTATAGGGTATAAACAGTGCGATTGCTAGCTTTTCGCTCTAGGGAGGTGTCCAGGCCTCATTTGCCAACAAAGTGCGTGAGAAAACCTTTATTTGCCGCCATATTTGAATATTCACCGAAGAAGCACCCTAAGATGGCAAAAATTCCTCGTTTTTGAGATGAAATATTGTTCAAAGTTACATTTTACAGTAGCACAGCATCAGCTTGTTTTAATTTGTTCTCAACTTTTGACCTTTTTGAAGCTCGTGTTCTTATGAAATTGTTCTTATAAAAGGTTGATGTTGTTTTGAAGATGCCGTCACCCAATGATGTTTCTGGTCTACAATCATTTCTAGGATCAGTACAGTTCTACAACAAGTTTCTGTCTAACTTGTCCTAACTTATAGAGCCGCTTTGCAGGCTGACAAAGAAAGATGTACCATGGGAGTGGGGTGCCAAGGAACAAACAGCATTCGATAAAGTCAAGACCATGTTGTGCAATGATACAGTTCTTGCGCATTTTGACCCATCGCTACCCATTGGAATAGCATGTGATAATATAATAATAATAATAATAAATAATTTGTTTAAAGTTGGCGTACTAAATGAACGGCTGATAGCTATAAAGAAGCTAATTAAGGCCAACTATCTATAAAGAGTTAGTATGAAATAAAAATATATGATACAATATTAAAAAGGTTTAAGGTATAATGTTCTAAATAAAACCTAACCCAGCAATAAATTTTTTACACAATCTACAGTCGCATTCTATAGGGTGTGCTCTTAATTCTATTTTAAATGTTGCCAATGATTGACGCGTCAAGGATGTGACGTATAGGATGTGACGCATCAAGTGTTGGTATTAGAGCTGTACTTTTCCACCGTTACAAAGATGGCAGAGAGCGCCCAATAGCAAATGCATCAAAAACACTAACTGAGACGCAACGAAACTATAGCCAGATACAGAAAGAGGCTTTAGCAATTAAATTTGCTCTCAGCAAGTTTCATCATTTCCTTTATGGAAGGAAATTCATTTTAATAACGGACCACAAGCCATTGCTTACATTATTTGGTCCTACAAGGGAACGCCATCACTAGCCGCCAACCCTCTAGCAACCCTCTAGCAGGACCACGGAAATGCTGATGCACTTAGTCGACTTCCGGTCGGGCCAGATGCTCAGTTTGACGATAGGGAAAGTGATGCAGATTACATATGTACCAAGACTGTCAGTAAACAGCTCAGCGCGGCAGATCCAGGAGTACTCTCAAAAAAGACAGATAAAGACCGAGTACTTTGAACTGTGGTGTGGTATACAAAAGAGGGTTGGCCTTTGAGCAAGATACACGAAGATAGCACTAACAGTGAAAGCACGCGTTATACAGTGGATGCTTTAAAGAAAGTCCGCGAGTCACTGTCGGTAACTTATGTATGCTTGTTCTACGGAGCACGTGTGGTGATTCCAGTCAGTCTACAAGCACAAGTGCTGGAGATTCTTCATCTAGGACATTTTGGCATGTAACGCATGAAACAGCTTGCAAGGACTGTTGTCTATTGGCCTGGGATTGATACGAGTATTGCTGGTGGAAGTCGAGCTTGTCAAGCATGTGCTGAGCACCAAAATCTCCCGTTCAAACCACCTGCTCATCCATGGATGTTCCCAGCGAAACCATGGAGCCGCCTGCACGTAGACCACGCTATTAACTTCTTGGGATCAAATTGACCAGACCAGCTCTACAAGTTCCAAAGCAACCATTGAACTGCTGGAACAGGACTTTGCACACTTTGGTTATCCTCCACATACGCTCGTCACGGACAATGCTTCACGTTTTACCTCAAAAGAATTCCAGGAATGGTCCAAGGCAAGAGGGATCGTTAATCTAACAGGACCTCGGTATCACCCAGCAACTAATGGTGCAGCTAAGAGACTGGTACAGACTTTTAAGAAGTCGATGCTGAAGTCAACATTACCTTTGAAAGCAATTCTTTTCAATCAGCAATTCTTGATGCAGCACCGGAGAACACCACTAGCTTGTGGTTACTCTCCCAGTGAGCTGCTCAACAGACGCCAAATCAGATCACCGATAGATATCCTGATTCCTTCTCCTGCGCATCAACGACAAGGACGTCAGAATAAGCAAATAGTGAAGGCTGCGCAAAAGCTAGCTGGGAGGTTTAATCCAGATTACAAAGTGGGTACACCTTGCTATGCTCTCTTTTGTGGACATCGACGAGATAAAGATCTACGATGGGTACCAGCAGTAATTACTAAGGTACAAAGAGCACGGACTGTGTCTATCAGGGTTTATCCAAAGGGATCCATCTGGCGCAGACATTTAGAGCAGTTACGCCCGAGATACTTCTCAGTAGAGGATGATGAGCCGGGGGATACGCCAAGCATTGCAGTTCCAGCCTGTATACCAGAAGCAGCGACACACAAAGAAACGAAAGTTGAAAATGGTCAAAAATTGAGAATTGCAGATCCAGGACCATCTGTTAAACCCAAGAGACCTAACCCCCGAATGCCAACCGGTACCGAATATAGCCGGGATAAGCCAAGAAGATCAAGGCGTTTAAAGAAACAATAGTCGATCGCCTAAGATGGAAGTTTTAGGCTAGCGGGGAGATTGTTGTAGTTTTAAAAAAGACACTTTTATTTAAAGGTGTTAATCACAAAGCTTGATCGAATACCATTTCTATGACTGAACGTACTATTTCAATAGCATTGTTCTTTGAGTTTTTTTTGTACTTGGATGTTGAAAGTTTGATATGGAAAATGTGTAGTAAACAGTTTTGATTCTTATATGTCTGTTGAGGCGAAAACAACACCCAGCTATTACAGACTGGGAGGATAATGGGCGCGGCCAGTGGGACCATGCCCCTTTTGCCTCGTTTTAGTGATTTGTACAAAGTTAACTTTCCTTAGGAAACTTGATCTACCCCTACTCAGCGTTTTTGATCCATTTCTAGGAGAAATATGTAGACCATATTTCCAGAAAAGTGGGTGTGTGGGTAATTACCCCCCCCCCCCCATATCCCCCTTTGGCGCCGCCACTGATAACAAACAGAAGTAATAGCCACCAGAGCAGTTTAGCCACCATTGTAATTTACAAAACATTTTGCAATGTGCGAACTTGGAAAGCAATGCTAAAATTTCCATCCAACCATAAAAACAGTTCCGCATCAATGTTGCAGATTCACAAAATGTTTGGCCACTGACCATGTCTGTGTTTTGTGTTTATTTTGCAACCCTGGACTTTGAACTTTGACCTGCAGGTCAGCAGCGTGTATGTCAATCAACTCTTACTCTCAGTTGTTGTTCATTAACACAACTAGAAGCTTTAGTTATGGAGCGGGTCAAATCAATGCATCTTTTCAACAACAAGCTTGAAGGGATTTTGGATGAGGAGGTAAGGGAAATAAATCTCAAGAAGGAAAAGGATGCAGATATTTCCGACCCGTCAAATCATGAGTCATGTGAAGCATGGCTGAAGGCCTACCGTAACATGACGCTTGAATCGACTGCTGCAATGGGCAACCACCATACCTTGCAAGCAGCACTTGCGTCATGCGATCACAGTAGCTTTAAAGTGCCACCAAGGGATGGAAATGATTTTGATGTTCCTGTGCTGGTTCATACTCCTCCTAAATTGAAAGGAAAGAAAGGAAAGCCCGCTATCATCTACGCACACTCAGGGGGTGTTGTTGCTGGTACAGCTGAGGTCTTCAAGCCACTTTTATCATATATGGCAGTAAATTGCGGGGTTGAATACTACAATGTTGACTATAGGCTAGCACCTGAAACAAAATGCCCTAAGAATGCACTGGACTTTTATTGTGCAGTGAAGTATATAACTGAAAATGCTGTTGAGCTTGGCATTGATCCAAACAGAATTGCCATTGCAGGGGACAGTGGTGGGGGATACATTGTCTTCGCTACAATGGTCATGCTTGCCAAGAATAACGAAGAAAAACTTCTTAAACTTGCAGTACTGGGGGTTCCCATGACTGGTGATTATGCTTTTGAAAGCTGCCACAATATGACCAAGCATGAAAGAGATGTAGCCAAATTAATCCAGACATTTTGGGAACATATAGCAACGGATCTAGAAAAGCAGCGTCAACAAGCTGATCCTCTTCTATTCCCAGCCATGGCCAATGATCAACTTTTGACAAAAATGGTTCCAACAATTGTCTGGCAGGTAGAATTTGATGGATTATTCATAGAAGGCATCCGTGTAGCCACACGTCTAAGAGAAGCTGGCAAACTGCTTGAGCTTTATATATTGCCAGGAGCAGAGCATCTTAGTGGCCTCACTCCACAACTGAAGTTGTTCAAAAAGAATATGGAAGACTATAAGTTAGCCATTGAGACTTATCTTTTGTAGAGTTTCTGCTGCTTTTGTTTTTCTCAAATTTTAATCCCCAACAAAAAACAAAGAGGCGTTGTGAGAAATATTCAGCATGAAGGCTTGACTTATTTTTGAAATTGCAAAAAAATTCTGAAAGTTTCTTTATCAAGCCTCATATCTGTGTATTTTTCTGTAAAACTGACATCACATGCCATTGTTTATCATTAGTGTCAGACTCGCTACACAATTATTAATGATTAACTTAAATTGGACAATTTTAATTTTGTTCTTCTTTTTGCTGTAGCCACAAATTAATTCAACTTGTGACATCTGCCCCCATCCCCCATTTTATAGCACTACACCCTTGCTGGGGATGTTTGCCTGCTTTGCAATACCAAAATCAACATCCATTGATGTAAGCAATTTAGACATGTGGCTCTGTAGCATGCACTGAAATAAGACCAAACTGAGATGTATTTTTGAATAAAAGATGACAGTTTGTTGTGTTTCAAATTGATAAGCAGATTTCACAGTTAGGAAGAAATTGTTAAAAACAAACAGGAGACATTTTATTTGTAGGCTCATAGACATGACACAGCAGTGTTAAATGAAAGGATTTTTCAATCTGAAAAGATTTGAGAAGATAGTGTTAAGTGTTTAAATGTGATTATAACTTTCTTCTGTATTAACAAAAGGACTCGATCAACATGAGTTTCAAATTGTGTCTCCAAACTAAAATACCATATTACAGAAAAGGCAAAAACAAAGAATTAAACACATCAAAGAAACCCGATCATCTAAGGATAAAAAATGTCTTCTCAGGGTTGCCAGACTGACCTTCTCTGGTCCAAATGTTCTCCTTTTGGCCTTTATCAGAATTCAATTGCCTATAAAACTTGCTTTGGCTCATTAATCTAATTTGGTCCAATCAAATCAGCCTCATTCTGAAATATTCTGTTGTTGATACTGATATTTGATGACATTCTAGGAAGAATGCTAAGTAAGTTTGGAAATATAAAATTTATCCTTTTAATCAGGGGTGGACAGTGCCAGAAAACAGGTGGTCTCTCAATGGGAGACTAGCAGCTCTTTTAGTGGTCTCTCACATAAAGCCTATTGGCTTGTGTTGTCAGTTGTGTTGCTTGCTGCATCGGCCATTTATCACAATCTAAGATTAGTCCTTGATTTGTGTCAATGTTTAGTTTCCGCTATTGTGATTCTGTTAAGTGGCAGAAATTCATTTTTCAAGTGGGGGGGGGGCAATGCCCATAAAAACAAGCAAACTCGCTGACAAATGACATAATTTATCAACAAAACTGGCAATTTAGCAAAACCTGGGGGCACCTCCCCCCAAACCCACATAATTTCTGCCACTTATTCTGTTAACTGTTGAATGTGAAATGACATACTATTTGTAGATTGCAGTCAGCAGCTTTTCAGACTTGGATGAGCTATTTTCCAAATGCAGCACTAAACCTCACTTTTTATAAGAAACATGCTATAAGGAACAAGAACTAGGCAATCAGAAAAAATTAAAAATCTTTCAGAAATAATTTGTTTTTGCTCTTTGACTCTTCAACTAGGTGAGAGATAAGAGGCTGCGATTTGTCAAAAACATAGAACTAATCACCCTTTCTATACTCTCTTGTTACTTTTGATCAGCATTTCTGCTTCCCTTTATGCTTTGAGGTTTATATCCACCGATCTTTATCATGTTTTTTTTGCTCTTCCGTGCTGTTTTCAGATTAAGAAACTCTTAAGAAAGAATGCTGATCAATGGATACTACTCAATAATTCTGTGTTTCTACAAAAATGTAGCCATTTTGCAAAAAACTAGGTATCTCTTATTGTCATTTTAAGGAGTAGTAATGCACATAAAACAACTATCTTCTTAAGATAAATCATCTATACAATTAGGCAAGGTAATATATTTTTTAACTTGTATATACTCAAATATGAATAGATAAACAACAAATTTTGCAAGGGCTAAATGGCCCACACAGCCAAACCAGCAGGGGTCTTTTTTAGCCTGTGTGCATTTTATTCCCAAAGGCCTGATATAGTGATATGCTTCTTCACATAATTTGTTTGCCTCATGGTTACCCTATGCTTCAATAAGCTGTCTCATGCAATTAAAAAACTGATCATCCCCAGTACATGGCAGAACCAATTGTCCACCCTTGTCAATATTCAATGACAATTTGTAAATATCAAGCTTCCCAGTATGTTCTTAGAAGCACAGATTTCAGAGTCACCATGGATAGTACTTTGTTCTACAAAAGGCTGGTTCAGCAGATGAGGAATAAAGCGTTGATGTAACTAGAATTGGAAAAGAAGAGGACCAAGGACGGAACCCTGTGGTCCCTAATTTGCGATTTACCCTAAAATTTTGGTTTGGTTTTGCACAAGAAAATTAATCAAAATTTGAAGCGATTCAAATACTTCACTTTTGGTTTCAGAATTGTATCAATTTGGTGGGGGATTCATTTTACTATACAACTGAAAACAATTTTTTATACATTTCAAAAAGTTACATAACAAGTTACTGCAATACCTTAATTTAACTGTAATACCTTTATATACACTAAAAAACCATACCCCAGGGAGTATCAACTCTGTTTACCCTGGGGCCATAACATAGTGGGGGAAAATGCACGTTTGTATACAAAATGCACTTAAAGATATAAGAGGGGGGTGGTTTGGTCGATAAGAAGTAAACTTCAATCGAAGCGTTTGGTTTAAAAAAGATACTTTATTGTGAGATTTAGAATTTGCTTGTCAGCTTCCAAGGGCAAATCTTCATTTCAATATAAAAGGATTTTCAATACAGTATTTTTTATCTACTTAAGTATTTATTTCTAAATAATCAAAGAAATTAAAATAAACTGATCCAATTTCAATCAATGGTTTTTACAAAATTAAGTTTTTGCTTTACCTGCAAGCATTTTGTGTCGTTCGGTTACACTGCAGTGGCTATGCGGCCTATGAACTCCTGCGCTCACGGTATGATGGGCAAAACTGGCAGCAGCGATTGTCGCGGGCCCATAAAAATGAAAGCTTGTAAATACAAGCGTGGTTTTGAGAGCAAAAGTTACTCCTTTTGGGCCTCTTCCTATTGTTCTTGATATCATTGGGTCAGATAAAGTCACAACAGCAAATAGAGTAAATTTAACAACCTAATTTAGGTGCTCTTTGCTCTTTTCCTCTTATGTTAGCGAAAATCCAAAACTCTTTTGAAACAGCCTCGACTTGGACACGTTTTCAAACAATCGATGTTCTTTGTGACTTTTTACAGAAAATATCAAATGAACAAGGATTTACGAATTTATCTCTAGCTAGCTACTTCATCTAAAAGAAACTTACGACAAATCTCTGCTGTTCTATATTTTGGGCTTCGATCAAAAGGATCCCTTAATTATGTTTGTAGGGTTCGAACATCTTTCAAGCCCTTTCACCAACAAATTATTGACCCTAAAAGTTCCCCAAAAATATCCCCCGCCATAGAAGACAAAACTTTAATCTTCCATTTATATACGGTATGCGTTACATATGTTTGGTTAATCAGTTAATCAATCAATCGATTAGTCAATTACAATCAATGGTACATTATCAGTCTACTCCGTAGAATACATTTATAAACTTTAGAAAGCATATTTACTGTATGTGGTCTGATTTGTTTCAAAGTGCGAAATGCGATTGTGTAGTAGCTGGTCAAGCAGCCACGTAGCTGCAGGGGGCACGGGGGGCTGTGCCTCCCCAAATGAAAATTTTGACAACAGCTTGCCCCCTCTGGCTACAGTTTTTTCAGATGATATTTTGAAAATTTGGCATATTTATATTTCCATGACCTTGATTTTGTCCAAATATATCTGTTTGTTATATATCTGTTTTCTTATTTTAAAGCCTGCCCCCCTCAGGTATGGTTCTTGCTCGAGTTTGCCCCCCCCCCTAGCCGACACCTACAGCTACGTGGTTGTGATCAAGGCTGAATTTCCTCACTGTGGTGGCCCGATAACCTAACACAAATACTCGATCATTCATTCTTCATAAAAAAATAAAGTAAGAACGTAGGAGAAAGACAAAACACTGCATATTTTAACGATTCATTTTTAATTCATTTGTTCCCAATAAATATTCCAGTTTCCTCTATTTCATTAAATTACTCTGTCAATAAACTGTCCATGAGTCGTTCTGAAACCTTATGATTTGAGGAGCGCCTTCACAATTGAATTAACATCAAGGCTACGCAGGTCACTGTAGGTCTGTCCAATTCCAACAAAAACGATTGGTTGACCGGTCGTGTATGTCATGGAAATTGCAGCTCCAACCTTGAGAAATATAAAATTGATCAGAAAACATAGCTAATGGTACAATGGTACACCAAGTGCCAAAATATTTCTTTTATTTGTTTCGAAATATGGGCTTGCACAAGGGAAAAACGCCAGGAACTAAAGCAGAGAATATGAAAAAAATTATATCATAAAAGCAAGCATCTGCTTTTAACTTCAACCGCTTCATAGTTTTTCAAGGAATCATCATCACTTTCCGATTATCTGTCGTTTCTCCGATTGACATAATAAACTTCGGAAATTTCCTTTTAAAAACTTTTACCTTACATACATCCTTACATGTCTCTTTCAAATCTTCTATAAAATGGGTAGGCAATCTTCTAACATTACATATATTTTCAGGAGATATCTTTCCTAATATTTTGTTAAAATGAAATATGACAAAAAATAAAATGAAAAGTGAAAAAAATTGAAATTAAATGTGACAAAAATTAAATTTAAATGTGACAAAAATCAAAATGAAATGTGACGAAAATTAAAATTAAATGTGACAAAAATTAAAATTCAATGTGACAAAAATCAAAATGAAATGTGACACAAAATCGCAGAAGGATTGGGTCGATATCGAAGCACACCAAAAACCTGTTCAAGAAATACCGGTGCGATAACTTGAAGGGTAGAAAAGGAGCAATGCCCTTTGAAACAAACTGCTAGGTTTTGTTGAATTTCAGCCTGAAATTAGGATTTGGGTTGCATTCATGGAAAAGAAACAAACGAAAGACCAAGAACCATAGAAAAGAAAAATATTGGTTGTCAAAGATTAGCTTACGGAAAAGGACAGGGTCATGCCCCTCTTAGCAAAGCCACTGCTAATAACCAAGATCTTTCGAAAAACAACATAGAAAATTGACAGGCTCACCTTGTCATCAATGGTATCAAATTTGGTAAGAACAATGCCATCTATGAGACGGGGGTTGTCTTGGCCAGAATGGTCTGCCAATGCTTGGTTGAATGATTTCAATTGGTCGACACCATCGTTGCCAACAAGGGCCTCTCCAACGAACAGCACCAAATTTGGGTCATTGATCTTGATCAACTACGGAATAACAAAATGGTTGACTGAGACAAGGGCATGTGGGAAACTGACAGTGGAACAACAAAAATAGAGCGATGGAAAAACTATGGAAATACTAGGAAGGGGACATATCAATAATGATCAATTTTGAACAGATATCTGAAAGAAACGTAGGCCACTTGGCGATAGGAGCTACTTACACAAACAATACATAATACATGATAATTTATCTAATTATTTTTATATTGCTTTTCGTTAATGGCTACATCATTCGATTCGGGCACTCCGTTTGACATTTGACAGAAAACGGATTATTCAACCCCCCCCCCCCCCCTTCAAAATTCTACCATAAATGTAAATATTAAATTTTTGACAACAAAACTTTCAGAATTGGGTCCAAGTAAATAACAGACATCTTTGGTGATTTATAAATCATTTTTCTTCCCAGAGGCAACGTATTATGTAAGTTGAAACACAAGAAGATGAAGGACTATCTGTATAAACATATGTATAAGTTCTACATAAAAAAATTTTCTGCTTGCAAGAAATATTGTAGGCTTTTTACACTGATAGTGAAAAAAACCTCTCAAATATTACCTAAATAGTTCTGTTATTGTATATATTTCGTAAAAGGGAGGAACACTCTTCAATGTCTATTCTCTGCAAATAGATTCAAAATAAAGTGACTACTCAAAACCATATATTTAACTTATAATGAAAACTCCTGTGAAATGACAACTTTAATTTCTCCATGTATCTCTTGTACTAAATTACTTATATTCACGACAAACTGAAAATAACAGGTAAAAACCTGTTTGTCTCAGTAATAACGAATATATTTTATGATTATGATGTTTACCTTAGCCAGAGACCTCATGAGTGGCTCATTGTTCTGCATACGTCCGGCTGTGTCGACCAATACAACATCAATTCTTTGCTGTTGAGCTGATGAATAATAAATCATATTTACCATGCTGTAACAAACACAGCAAGAAACAATATTTCAACCATTCAGTGAATACTCAATAACCCAACAAACTCTCTATGAATTCTTTATCTTACAGTTAATCTCTCAAACGATAACCTCAAAATTAAGAAACTACAACTGTCTTTCTGTCTTCACCTGATTAAGCACCTTGCATTTCAGAACCTTTTTTAGGCTGAAAGGCAAGGTTTCTATTGTGCATATCTGAGAAACAATTGTGCCTGTCGGCTCCTGTTCCCTAAAATACTTGGAATTTACCTACTTGAATAATGACATTGACCCTTGAATCGACCATATGCACTTTTTGACCAAGAGCCAAGAAAAATCTGCCTTTTGAAAAAGTAGGTAGTTTTTTAAAAGATTTACTGTATCTTAAAACTGTTTGGTTCAAATCCATTCCCTTGCGAAACAAACCTTGATTTACTGCCTCCATAGCAACGCCCGCTGCATCTTTTCCATAACCTTTGTCATACAGAACGACACTGGGTGGACCATTAGCTCTGGAAGGAGGGTGCAGCGAATTGAGATGGCGTGTATGAGTGCGCAGTTGTTCGACTGCTCCGGACCTGAAGGTATCGCAAGCTGCTATCATCACCCTGTGATTGTTTTCCAATAACCAAAAGCAAATCTGTAATAACAAAAACAGCTTCTGTACATTTTGGATAAGGGTTCAAAAGTTACTTTCTTGTAACAAGTCGAAATAATGGCACAGAAAGTATAATCAAAAAATGAAGAGAGCATGCAAATACTCATTGCAACTACCAGTTGAATTGGTATCTTTGTATTATACTTACAGTAAAGCTTAAAAAGCATTTGCACAAATGTTAAATAAATTCAAGCTAGGTGTGTAAGGTTAGCAAAGGTACAATAATGAAAATGAAATGTGAAAAATGGGACAGAAATCAACAATGAGGTGGTTAATCAACATGTCACGAACTTCTAAAGTAATTAATGAACTCAAAAGAGCAGAAACGTTCTTCACGTGAAAATTCTCTAGCCCTAGAAAATATGCTTAATTACCTTAGCAAGGTTGGTTGACTTTCCAACGCCATTTACACCACAGAAAACAATGACAAAAGGTCTGCAATTAGCCTTTGCTGTTTTGATATCTCTCAGAATGTCAATCTTCTTCTTTGGTGACAAAATTTGTACCAAAGACTCCTCCATACTGCCACGCACCGCGGAAGCAACACCTGGAAATTTGAAAAGGCTAGATTTCAAATTTGTTAATTATTAAGGATTTAAAAGGTTAGATATAAACATGGGAAAATGTTCTTACTCTATCAGATATTGTTCTAGCTTTTTATTCTGAGTAAATGAAGAAAATAACCTCCGTCTGACAACTACCTGTAAATGTGCCAAGAACTTTTCCTTCCAATTTCCGTGCAACTGAGTCACAGAGCTTTTCAGAAATGTCTGTTGCCACATTTTTAGCTAAAACAATAAAGATAAACATAATAGAATGCGTAATAACGCGTCCTGACGAATATAACTTTCGTAATTTTTGTTTGTTACCGCAATATTATGATTTGCGTAAGATTACCCCTTGAGAAAACATTCAGCTTGGGTTTTCGATACCTTTTTTAATCTAATAACCCTCTAATAGCCACCGAAGACAAAGGACATGAAGAGTATTCTCCGGCAGACTTATTTGATTTTCGCACACCAGGTGGGGGGCTTTAGCCTTTTTGCATTTAAGTTGATTTTTGTTCTCGCCTGTAGTTACACTGAAGATGACTCTAGCCAGGGTCGAAACGTTTGATTTAATTTAATGGACTGTAATGGATTTGTCTAAATTGGAATTGTTTTAATGGATCTATCTAAATTGGAATTGTATACGATGTAACAAGAAGTTGACGAATACATTATATCTTTTTTCTTCGTCGTCGTACTGATTATTAATTTCATTATTAAGCTGCCATATCCGAAATATTAATCTCATTAAGTGATGGCAACTAATATATCTAGAAAAATCTGGACAATTTTGGGACTTTGTTTTACTATATTTCTACATTTTTATTAAATTGTGTTTGTTGCATGTTTTGTTATTTCATATTATGGTGCTTTTTGATTTCGAAGGATGCTTTCAAGGACATTTTATTTAGAGGTGCGAAAAAGAGCACCTGGAGGTTCTTTAATAGAGCACTTTAACAGGGGCTCTTTAATAGAGCACCTTCATTTTGCTTAGAGCAAGGCCTGTTTATTTGTATGCTTTTTGCGTTGCTTTGCTCTAACATTAGTGTTGTTTAACGAACACTTAATTAAGAAGTGTTAGCTATAGTTCTTATCACTGTTAAATTAAGACATATGAACATTGTTAAATTAAGACTATAAAATTAAGACACATGAACATTGTTAAATTAAGACTATAAAATTAAGACACATGAACAAATTATAAAACTCACAGCAAAGATGTTCTCTCATTTTATCTAAAACTGGAGCCATTGCATCCTTTGTGATTGCCTTTTGTCCAGCCAACCCTTTGAAGAAGGAGAAAAAGCCTCCACCAAATGAAGATGCACCACTGGCAGTTCTAAAGAAACCAATTCCAGAAAGTAAAAGCAAAATAATTTTTCAAAAAAAACAAATCAATAGAAGTGATAGCATCAGAAACCTTTTATCCTTAGGGGTCAGATTGCAAAGCTGTTCCCGTATGCTTACAAGTTTGCCTGAATTGGCAAAAAAGGATCCTGCGCATGGCTATTGGCAAAAAAGGTTTTTTAGATTTATATGGTCTGTAATTGTAAAACATGAATAGTCATCATCAGAAGTTTGAGTTGGTGGACAAACACTTAATGAGGTCCAAGACAAACAAAAATCAATGTAAAAACTGGTGTACCTAACAACCACGAGGAAGGGTCCAAAATCTGTATAACTGTAGGACAAAGTTCCGAAAGCCTTTTTAATACAGGATTCGTAGACCACAGTTATTAGCCAGTGACAAAAACATTATCAAACCAAACCATTAATTTGATGCATTCTTCTTGGGCTGTTTACATTGATCAATTATTTCAATGCAAAAAGGTTACACTAAATTGTAAAAATGTTCAGAAAAGCATAAATGTATTTCAAATATCTATATACTTCTCAGGATCTTTCTTGGAATTATTTACTTGATCCTCGACTACTGAATCAACTTTGTCAACAGCAGAATCCAGATCATAGTCAACATCAATGCCTTTTAGGTCCCCTTTCATGCTTCCAACCAAAACAGTCTGAGATGATAAGACAACAGAACTATGCAGCTTCTTTTTAACTAGCACTATGGTGGCAGAAATTTTGATAGCAGCACAAATAAGAGAGAAAAGAGGCATGAGATTACAGCTTCCAAAAAAGAATTGTGCAATAACTTAAACAATTTCATCCTATTGTTTGTCTGTTGCTTTCACCCTTATCTAACTTCATATGACAATTAGCTGTAAAGCAGAAAAATTAGAGTTGCAGCTTATAACTGTCCTGTCCCACGTCAAAGAATAAACACTAACTTTCTACTCTATAAAAGGAAACTAATCAAAAACTTTTTTAAAAAAATGGACTCTAAGAAATCAACTGTGTAGAAAATTCAGGTACAAGATAAGTAAAAAATATCTGGAGGCTAAAGTGATGTCTATAGAATTAAAGGTCATTTTTAACACCTACATAATGCAATAAAATACTTACACTTTTTCCAGCATCTTCCCTTTTCCCTTCTTCAATTTCTGATTTGCTGAAGTCCAATGCCTCCATGTCTTTAGTTGTTCCACCATTGTCCCATATTCTTCCCTCCTTCTTTTTTTCCTTTTTAGCTGGACCAGAAGCTTTCCTGAAAAAAGGATTAACACAAACTTTAAGATATAAAAAGTTTGAAAAATGGTGTAAAGGCTAAAAAATAGCAAATTTGTTAACATTGGACAGAAATATTTGTTTAAGGATTGAAACCAAACTATGCTTTGTGAATGTGTGCATTTATATCTTTTAGACCTATCAACTTGCTTTCAAACACTGCAAATTTTTGATACATTTAAAAAATATCAAACAAGACTTCTTCATTTACATGTTTTCAAGTAAGCTCAATATAACTTTATTTCAAAATAAACTTCATAGTTTTAAACTAGATTAATGCAAAAACATAGTAGAATAATAAAATTCAGATGGTAGAGTAAATACACATTGGTGAAAAGATAATGCAAGTCAAAATTTAATTGTTTAAATTAAATTTTTTCATTGTGGCACAGGCAATCTATTTAAAGGAATTCAATTGCCTCTACACTAAGCTCATTAATCAATTGAATCGAATTAATGTGAAGTTAAGCTTTTCCTAAGAGTTATGTTAAACATACTCACAACACAGGTTTCTCCTTTTTGACCGGCTTTTTCTTTCCGCCTCCTTTCAGCATGCCTTTCATTAAAAGCTCTCTTCTTTTCATCATTTCTTGTTCTTCATCATCCATCTCTTGTGCATCCCCATTTTCAGCAATTTCTTCTTCAATTCCATTGGCTTCTTCCACCACTTCATTTGCTTTATCAACTTCCATTTCAGAATTCACTGCAAATATATGACATTCAATATGCTTTATATTCAACTGAGGGTTAAGAAAACAAATGCTTATAGACATGGTTAGAATTCTCTTCAACATAGACACTGTTCCATTTGGATAGAATCATCTTCAACAACAGATGTGCCACATTATAAACTGGAAAACCAAAACATAGAGCTGCAATTGAACATGTACCAATAGCCTGTCGGATAAATCACCCAGTAAGAATTTAAGCGACCACAAAAAAATATCAGAACAGAAAGTATTGTTCTCAGATATCATTTTAAACACTTCTTAGCCTGTTGGAACTACTTTGACTTTTATAAACTCTTATCAATTGAAGAAATTTTTCAGTATCACAAAATATGGCATTGTATGCCACTATGAAGAGGCTATTATTTGATAAATTCATCATTACAAAACAAAATTTAACCTGATTGTAGATCCATATCCAAATTGTTAAGCCGATTAACCAAACACAACAAAGGTTCCAATTTCACACCTAAGTCATAAGTGTTACTCTGTAAACCGAAAGCCAACATGACATGATAAGGGGTGTGCTATGATAAGAACAAAGGGGCTCTCATGCAAAACGTAAAAACAATAGCAGCAAAAGTAGAATTTGGCTATTTTTGGCATTAACAATGGAGACTGAGCTCCCATGGTGCCACGCCCATTGGAATGATATTGTGTCATATTTATTTGAATACAGTACTGTGTGAGCAGGTCTTCGGCCATGATTATCCACATACTTTTTTTAAAGACTATGTTTCCATCATAATGAAACAAGTCAAATGATTTGTGTCAATATTGAAACAATGTATTTTCAGATATTGTTGTGTTTTTCAAATGATTACAGTCTCAAAAGTCTTTTCATATTTTTCATTTTTAGTCAAAGTCTTGCCCTTTTCATGCAGGCAATAATCAATATGTGGTAAGGAAAAATTATTGCAGATGTGGCCTTGAAAGAAATCAGATGTAATTTCAAGAATAATATGTCATCAAATGATTAGTGGCTGTGGTACTAACTGGTGTGGTATTAACTGAGATCAATCAAACGTTTAAGGATGTTTTACTTGAATTGTCGGTTTCTAGCTAGGAGGCCTTCATTCCTTCAGTAGTCTTTTCACTGAGCAGCACTACCCTTTCAAAATTATAAAGTCAAAACAAAATTAACACTATATAAATTTCATTTACTGATTTACCTGATACATTTTCTTTGTTGTCATCTAAATCTGCAGCTTTCAATTTTTGCTTTTTGGTCCCCTTTTTGATTGGTATAGCAAGCTCCCCCTTATTTTCTCTGATTCGCTGGGCTTTTTTGGTTTCATCAAAACTTCTCATGACATTCTTTTTATTTTTATGTTCCATTTCTGCATCCCGGAGCAGGCGATGGAAATCAGAATCAAAATGACATGTGGCTAAAGACCCAGCTTCAAGTTGGTTTTTGTACTTGTCCCTGAATTCTTTTTGGATGTCTGTAAGCACTTTGTCAACATAGGCTAATTGCAAGTTTCTTTGGTAACCAACCTAAAATTAAATTATGCAATGCAAAAAATGCAAAAAAGAATGCAAAAAATGTTCTTATAAATAGATTTAGCCAAATCACCAAGTAGAATTCATCAACAATCTTAAATAAAACGTTTTGTATTCTAAAGCCCCCTCTCCTCCCCCCACCCAACTTTTTCAGGGATCCAAATTTTTTTACCGCTCTTTCTATTATTTTTTAAAACAGAGTATAAAATAAAAAAAGATCAAAGTGTTTATATACTGCTTGATTTTTGTTCATCTATTTACTAACTTATTGAGGTATATCTCCATTATTTATCTTTTATTTGCACCAATTCAGTAGATAACTCTCTATATCATTGCAATGTCATTTTCATTCAATGTGTAACTATGACTTTCTGGAAATACTTGAATGTTAAATGAGTGTTAAACGATGAGTGTTAAATTTGAGTCCTGGAGATGAATTTTTATTTTCTTTCACATCGGACCCAACCATGAAGGGTCCTCCTTTGTCACTAAACTTGATTCTTAGCCCTCTCAGGTTCAATTTTGTGGTGCTGTCTCTCTTATAAAGAATCTGCTGTAGATTCTGCGCACAATATTTGTTTATCTGGTCATGTTTCCTGCGAATAATCAATCATTTAAACTTCTGTCTTTTGATAACAAGAAAAAAACAATTTCACAGCAACACGCATGTGAAATACTTTTGGACCTTTGATAACACGCAAAATTTCACAGAAGACATGCAGATGTCAATATCTGAAATCTGAAAATCTAGTTATCTGAAAATTTCAAAACTATTGTTCTGGCGTTCCCCACGCAGGCCTGGGCCAACTCCAGTATGGATGGATAGTCTATGAAAAGAAGAAGCAGCTTAACAAAAAAATCACCTATTTTGAAAAAACAAATCTAGAAACATTATGAATAAAAAATTAAGACGTTTAGATAATAATTATTAAAGATCAAGATTGACTTCCTTTGCTGTTTTTGAAACATCGTTAATTTAATTAATTTTGTAGATTAGTGTACAACAAACGTAATAAATAGAAAAAAATCCATACCACAAAAACAAGCTCAAATTCATTATCCAGCTTGTATTTTAAAGCTAAAGGGCCATGGCTGAAAGTATCCACTCCTCCTTTTTCCTAAAAATAGAATATACTGTCAGGATACGTAATAGTTAAGGTCTCGGTTGTCTAAGGTTCAAGAAAATTTCAACAGGACAAGGTTTAAAGTTGACGCCACGAATAAATTCAATCAAAGAATAATCAATTTTTGCTCACCGACAGAAGAACATTTTGGATGAGATCATTGACAGGGATTGTGAAGCTTCCCACAGTTCCCTGAAAATACCATAGTACGATTCCTCCTTTCGTGAATATAGTTAAGAAGTCCAACATTGTTCCAGTCGAAACTTCCTCTTCTGCTAGGCCGGTTTATTCATTGTTCTTGTTTCGTTGCCTTAAAGTACTTGATGTAACACGGCTCCCTCGCAGAGGGCAAAATCATGTGCAGGGCAGTAATCATAACAAATATGGCTGCTACAGGTAAAGATCTTTCGCCAGCTGATGCTGTACAAAAGCTGTTCAATGCAGTGGATGAAGGTGATCCCAGACAGGTTATATTTTGCATGAGGAAAATAACTGAGCAAGCTTTTTTTAACCTGGGACCAACATTGTTGCAAAAGGCAGCTCTTCTCGGTCACTTTAGAATCCTAAAGTTGTTCCTGGATTTGAAGCTTGATCAAAGTAGTGCTCATGTGGACAGCAGGAATGCCCAGCTTCTGACATCACTCCATATCGTATGCACAGAAGGACACACTAAATGCGCAGAGTTTCTCCTTTCAAGAGGTGCAGATGTCAATGCAGTGGATTTTGATAACAGAACACCCCTATATTTTGCATCACACAATGGCCACATAGAATGCATCGAGGAACTCTTTAAAAACAATGCAAGTGTAGATTTGGCGCGTTATGGGGGATGGACCCCTCTGCACGAAGCAACTAGATTTGGATATATTGAGTGTATGAAAAAATTAATCGAGTATGTATGCAAGTCTATATCTCTAGTGCGGCATGTAAAAACCATAGTTACACATGTTTGTCTTTTGGTTAAGACTCATACTGGCAAAATTGCCCTTTTTAAGAAAAACAGCACGTGTTTTTTTATGTACAGCCTTTTGATTTTAGTTTAATGTTTTGTAGTTACTAATAGTTCTTTACAGCTTCTTTGTGGTACTTAAGGTATTGGGTACGAGCATTATTTGTCAGCGTTAATTTAATGTTTTATCTGAATACCGTAAACCCTTGAATTGCCCCTTCCTCGAAAAAGCCCCCCTCGAATAAGCCACCACCCTAGAACTACAAACTTTCAATAAGCCCCCCCCCCCTCGAATAAGCCCCTACAGCTACCGTAAATTCTCGAATTGGACCCCTCCATTTGATGATTTTTGTCATCTGAGGTTACCTATGGCGTTTTATTGAATTGCTACAACAAATTCATACTTTTGGTAGTAATTAATTAAAAGCTCATAAAGAAATTCCTACTAAAATAAACGAGATCTTTTAATGATATCTTCTTAATGTCTACAATAATTTTATAAGCCCCTCCCTCGTATAGGCTCCTTCGAATATGCCCCATCCAAAAATATCAAAACTAAATAAGCCCTCAGGGAGCTAATTCGAGGATTTACGGTATTTTAAGTTTGAAGTAAAGCAAATGAATCAGTGGCTATTAGCAACTAGAAAACTTTTAAGTTGACCCCTCGCCCACAAAATAAAACTTTAGGTAAATAAAAGGGACACTATTTGCACTTTTCTTTTTCACCAAGCTTCTGAAAAAACTTATTACAAAGCTATGTATCAATGTTGACTGTAACATAGAGACTTATCTTAAGAAATAGATCATTCATTTGAATAAGTAAATAAATGAAATATTAACTCTTACACTTCTTGTGAGCTTAGCTAACCTTTGGCTATTTATTGGCTATTTAAAATCCTTAGTATTTTTTATTCATGGGAATGTTTTCTATTACTATACCACGTTAGGCCATATTTGACTACAAGTTGCAGAAGTGTTCCTGAAAAATCAATAAGAAAGAAAGAAGAGTTTAAAATCTTAAAACTGTTATTAACGTTAGCCACGTGAGATGTAAGAGCATTATCCCTAAATCGCTTTTAAAGTGTCTCATTAATGTTGTTCAATGTATAATGCTAAACCTCAGAATAGAAAAGGCAGCATTTAAATATGACGTCTGATTTTTGCAGGCAAGGAGCTGATGTCTATGCAGTTTCCGATGATTCATCATGGACACCAGGTCATTTGGCCGCATCAAACGGAAAACTGGAATGCCTGCAGCTCCTTATTCAGTGTGGCATCGATATAGAAGCTAAAGGCGGTCCTTACCATGCTTCTACGTTGCTACACGAGGCAGCACACATGGGACACCTTGACTGTGTCATCCTTCTTCTAGAAAATGGTACGTTTATTTAGAAACTGGCGTCCATATCCACGTTCAATGCAGTCTAAAGAAGGAGACAAGTTCTCGGGTGGAAGGTGGGGGTGGGGTACCTTAACATGTTTGAAGGTACGGAAACGGCCATTATTTAGGGGTACCTTTTTCCTGAAAAGTGCTAAATTGTCGGTATCAGTTTTTGAAATTTGTGCGGAGCTATGAGTACCAATTGAAGAAACATGCAGAATTATGGGTATTTTTTTTGGAGAAATACTGCAAAATCATTAGGAGGGAGATTTAGCATCAACAAAATGAATGTCCAGTTAGAAATAAAATATGAAACATGTGTAGCATTAAGATTTTGGGGCATAGGAAATGCAAAATTTGGTTGATGATTTTTTATGTGCTTTAAAAATTTTATTTGCTCTGCAAAATTATGGGCATATTTTTCATCACGTTTGCAGAATTATTGATGCAAAATTTTAACCAAAATGGCACGTCTCCGTCCAAAATTAGGCATAGTTTACTCCCCGAGGACAAGTTAACATAATTCGATTTACAATATAGTGAAACACTAGGAAGCTTTTAAATCTTCAATTCTGAGATGGCACCAAAAATCCCTGCTGATCCGACATATGAAGCTGAAAACCTGTGTAGTTCAATTGAATTACGATATAAAGCACCCTACTTTGCTTTGACTAAATGCAGCTTTTCCTCAAGGAGGAGATTACATGCTCTGCCAAGGGACCTATTGTTTCCCCTATGAAGCACTCCTTGAGCTTTCTACAGATAAAAACAGTTTTTCGAAGAAACATCTATTAGATTGGCTTTCTGTAATATGGTTGAACACATTTCCTAAATGTTTGATGAAACCAACATATTACTGAACACGATGAAAAGCAATAAAAGGGTAGTTATTCGAAAGCCAATCAAATCTTGCCATAATCTCAAATTTTTCTGCAGCGAACCCTTAACAGTTGACGCGTCAAAGCAGCCTTGAAATAATTGAAAAATTCAAGTTGCTTCCATTGTCATGACAACTTGCTTTGCAACTCTTCCTAACATGCCTACCAGTTAAGCTGAGTTGCAAAATAATCAAGATGTTTAGAATTCGGTTTTAAGATAAAATATCACATGTCGCTATACTATCCGAGATGTTACTATTTAACTTTATGACAAACAGCTACTGCGTGATGATTACTTTCAGATTTATTTGGGTGCATATCATCTGATAAAAAATAGAGATACAAGAAATGATCCTGTTTGTCTGTAAAGAGCTGTTTGCCATTAAGGGTTAAGAAGTTTAATTTGTCATGGGGGCTGTTGTAAATTTTGCATACTCTGAAAATGAAATGATTGGTTATCTACAATCTTGGACAGAGCTGTTGAGACAAACTCCTCTATCCTCTACCCACATTCAAAATTGGGGAGTATGTTCTTAGTTGCGTAGAGATATGAACATAAGCTGGGGGTAGGGGGACTAAAAATCTCAACATTATCTGTCCAAAATTGTACTTACTATATTCGCTTCTTACCCCCAGCAGCTGGAGTAAATTAATGTAACAGCTCAAAGGTAACAAATTGGGTTTGTTTAATAAGTGTAAGAGATCGTTGTTTTTCGCAGGCGCTGATGCCCTGGCATTGAACGGACGAGGAGAACTGGCATTACATTTGGCGACTCGACAAGGCCACCAAAAGACCCTTAAAGTACTGCTGCAGCATTACCAAAAAATAGACTGCAGTTTTGTTGTTAATGCCTTTCCAAAAGAGCCACCAAGTAGCGAGAATTCCAATGTCCGCATATCCCGTAATACTGCTTTGCATTCGGCAAGTTTCCATGGGCACGAGCGATGCGTTGAGATCTCCTGCGGTATGGAGCTCTGCATCTTATGAACGGTGCTGAACTGTTTCCCATTCATATTGCTGCTAAACAGAAGCATGTTGGTTGTATAAGAATAATGCTAGCTCACGGAGACGGGTCACTGCTTGCTCAGCTAAGTGGCAATGAGTACAACGCCCTACAGTACCTCAGTATGACGACTCATGCCTTTGACAAAAAGGCAATGGCCTGCGCTTGCGTCATGGTCAATGCCGGTATCGATTTTGACGCCGTTCCGGAATTTGATGAGCGATTATGTTCTCTTTATTTAGCTGCGCGAAACGGGGCCTTGGAACTGGCGAGTTACTTGCTTGTAAGCGGAGTCAAGACATCCGTAGAGCTTAACTTGAATGACCGACTTTTAACAAACCCACGTGTTGCAGAATCTGTAAGAGCAATTAAAACTTTCCAGGACCAGCCTTTGCCCCTATTTATTGCCACCCGTGTTGCTATACGGAGACAACTTCAATATGGCGGGCTTGCTAAAATATTCACGCTTCCTTTGCCCCCTATCTTACAACATTATATTTTTCATGGGCATCCAGATACTGATGGCCTGTGTGATCCGTGAACTTTTAAACAAGTGATGTTCATCCAAGGTATAGTTTTGTACATAAATAACATCCTTTCACCACCTGTAAAGGCAATTCAAAAAGGATTGATTTACCGTTTTTGTATCCCATTTAATGTTTATTTTCAATAAGGACTGGATACCAAACTAATATCACCCTGGTCTATGGTCTACGGCATTAGCAGCTGCAACTATGTCATCGTTCGATTGCTTATGGATAAGGATTTATAATAAAAGCAGAAATATTTCTTGCTATACCCACCTAGCCCGGTTTACGCTGCCTTGGTGTCAGAGGCACATGATCTCGAGTGCATTAAGGAACCGCCCCCCCCCCCTTCATGAAAATCGTCCCTGAATCACTCTCCTCAGACTTGAATCTTCTTCAAAGTCGAGTCCAGAGAAAGTGGCAGTGTTAATGGCCAAGGACTTGTTGAAAGATATCAGAAAGAGAAAGCTCAATTTACAACATCAAGACCACGTATTTATTTCATAGATGTTGTGGAATGCTTTTAAAACCATGGTTCATTTCTCTGAGGTGGTAATTTGTCTGGCCTCTCCATCGAGAAATGTCTGGTGCCCTCTCCCAAACTAAAAGCACATGTATAAGAACTTCAAGGGCATAAATTTTTCGCGTGTGCGAATCTGCACAAAATCCAATCTAATATTCTCCGTGCAATTTTTAAGCTATTAACGTGCGAAATGGAATATACCATAGATCTCTAGAATTTTTAAACTTGAGGTATACTGCGTTATGAATAAATTGTAGATCAAATCATATAGTTTGGTTTGGCTTAGGGCTGAGCCCCCTTTAAAGCTGCAAAAAAACACAGTAAAATCGTTGTCCGTAACTTGCCGTGTTAGCCATTTATTTATCAATAGACTGCTTTTTGTCCAAAATTGTCCTTTAGAATCTCCATAAAATGTCCCTAAATATTCTGATCACTTCAGAAAATTAAATTTAAAGTGACGTTGAAAAGTTTTCCTTATTTGTTTTTCGCAAAATTTTGCTTTGAAGCCCCCGTGGTTGTTCTGATAGCACAACGTCTTTGCTTGCTTACCTAATATACTGTAAGCCGATTTAGGCAAAAATTTGAATTCATGCTCTTGCAGACCCCTTGTGTGTTGAATAGCCCTTATATTTTTCGGTGTAGTCGTGAAGTAGATTGTTTATATTAGCAGAGAACGAATAAATTAAGAATTGCTTGTGACAAATTTTGCTAAGTAATGAGATTAGTAAAGAAAACCTAAACGAGAGCCCCCATCGGCATACTCTTTCTCGTGTCTCAATGTCTAATAAGCTACACCCTTGTTTATAAGAACAATTTTATTAGAACACGAGCCTCAAAGTTGATCAAAAGTTAAGAGGAAATTATGAACAAGCTCAAGCTGAGCTACTGAAAAATGGGAAAGACCTTTGACAAGTTTGAAATGCAACGTGAAATCTATTTCAAGTTCCATTTGTCGGGGAAGGTAGGGCAAGGAGAAGAAATAAAAAGGTTCTGGATACCTTGGCCCCTGCGGACTGACTGTCAATATACAAATGGCAGAACATCTAAGACCAAGACTCAAGAGACGAATAAAAATCAGGGGTGTAGTGCAAGAGGGGCTCATGGGGGGAATCCTACTTTTGCTCTTGTTTTTCGCAACATTTTGTGCAATTTCCCCTTGTTATTTTGATAGCACTGCAACACTGATAATATATTGATACGTGACAATAAAATATAAAGTTAAACTTCCATTTTTAGCAGTTACCCTGCAACTGGGTTCTGCAAACTGGATGCTACATACTGGTTATCTGTCCATTAGCATGAATCTGTGTCGTCCGGAACCCGCACAGCATTGGGAAAAATTAGGGGGTCTTAAAAAAAGTGAAGGGGGGCTATAATCGCAGAAAAAGAGGTTCTACTGGTAGTTTACTACTTATTAAATGGGAAGGCTAAAGCCCCCAGTCCCCTTGTTCCGCAGTGCCTGACTTTCGCGGAACATCCAGCAGCTTTTTTATTTCATTTTATTTCTATTTTCCCTTCAGAGGTAAAATAGCTGCCAGAACAATTTTGATAGATTTTCCAGCGCCGTCCGTGTCTGCTTTTAGAAGCACGGATGGAAAAGGAAATTTTCATATGATTCCGCATGTCGTTAACAGCAGGATACTTCCGGCTTCAATAGGAAGTTTTCTTTATCTGAATCGTCAAAGAAGAAGACACTTGATCATTTCTGTATCGTGACAGCAATGGAGCTCAAAATTTGTTTTCTGCTACTGTATTTCGTCCTTGTTTCGGGAGACTTGGAAAACGTAAAAGAAGAACCTGGAACAGCTGCGAATGTGACAAGTGTGGACATTGACACGAAGCCCACTATACCCGTGACTGTAGAGCCAAAAAGAAGCCATGAATCATCATCAGACAATAGCAAGCAAAAAAGAATAAAGGAAAAATTTGGAAAAAAGAAATCGAAGAAAAGAAGCAAGGCACGTAAAGCTGCAATGGGGGATACAGTGTTGAAAGGCATTAATAAGTTTGCCTTCGACTTTCACAAAACCTTACCAACGAATGGAAGCCAATTCTACTCTCCATACAGCATTGCTTCGACATTAGCTCTTGTCTACGCAGGGTCTGGAGGGAAAACAAAGAAAGAAATCGCAGCGGCATTAGGATGGGAAAATTCACCTCAACTCGTTGTTCATAAGAGTCTTGGAAAGTTTTTGGCACGTCTATCCAGCGGTAAGCGTAGTATGAAGGTGGCTAGTAGGATTTGGGTTTACACTTTCGAACTCATACGAAGGAAGTACAAAAAAACTATAACTAATTACTATGGCGGTAAACTTGGCAGGCTTGACTTTTTTAATGATCCCGAGGGGTCAAGGGGTGCAATCAATAAATGGGTTGAAGAGAAGACGGCTGGTAAGATAGCAGATTTGATTCCAAGTGGTGGAATCACAAAGGAAACGCGGTTTGTGCTGACGAATGCAGTCCACTTTAAAGCATTGTGGGAGCACCAGTTTGACCCAAAGCAAACATCAAAGCAAGACTTTACAACCGCTGCCAATAAGAAAATCAAGCTGGATATGATGCGTGGCACGTTTGATGTAACCCTGAAGTCAAGTGACACCTTTCTTGGGGTAGAGTTACCTTACAAAGGAAACGAGTTTTCAATGCTGATACTGTTGCCAAAAAGCACCAGCCTTGATGTTGCTGAGAGGGGTCTGGACTCTACAGCGCTCGAGAAGATGAAGTCCTACAAAACACCAGTGGAAGTCATAATTCCTAAATTTAAACTAACATCCAGTTATGAGATCCTAAAGAATCTCAAGTTATTGAACATTAAATCTATGTTTGGAAGCAAAGCCGATTTCTCTGGTATGTTAGCGGAGAAGTTATCGCCCCTGTTTGTGACTGATGCCATACACAAGACCTTTGTTCAAGTGACTGAGAAGGGGACAGAAGCAGCCGCTGCAACCGCCGTGTTCGTTGGCCGGTCGTTGACGCCAGTTTTTCGTGCTGACCAGCCTTTTTTGTTCTTTATAAAGGATACAAAAACAAATGTCATTCTCTTCGCAGGAAGATTTTCGCCTTAATACAGCAAAGGATTCTGTACTGACCTTTGTCAGTGGCATAGAATTAAGCGTAGCTTTAATGACATTGAAAGTAAGTTCCAACGTGTTTAATCAATAGTTTGCTTGTGTTCTTAGTGTGCAAATCGTTAGTTACAATTATTGAGAAATCAATGTTTATGATTATTCAACATGACGTTATTTTGCTTTTGCTAAGAGTTCCAAAGTGTGACGTCATAGAAAAACATTTCTAGAATTTTTTTGACTACCAAACTTGACAAATATCATACCCCTAATAGTGCATAAGTAACTTAAATCTATTCTGCAAATTGGCTTGAAATATGGCTATTGAAATTGTTTCTTTGACCCATTTCATAGATTTTTTAACCAAAGCTAGAAATTGTCTGTCAAACAGAAGTTGTTGAAGTTTAGTTTATCAAAATTTTTGGCATTTGTTTCTGAATTGATTCTACCCCTTGTATATTTAGATATTTTCCCGATATTAATAGGGCCAAAAGGAGAAGAAGATTTTCTGCGTAATTTTTTGCAATATGAGCTTCAGCAAATTACGATAACGAAGAATATGTTATATCTATCATTAGGATACAAGAGGATTTTGAAATCTGATGTTAAACAGGGCCTTTTAGAATAGATCGTTGAAGGTGCTCGGAAATCATCTTTATCGGGAATCGTTAAAGAAGAGAAAACACCCTAAATTTGATGACGGGCCCCGGGGCACTGCATCGGCGCTACTGATTTTCCTGTAAATCCATGACGTTCCAAGTAGCAATACGACTTATATAGACAGATAAAAAACAGCTTCCATGCTGTAGCTTTAAACCCCAATCAAAGTATTTCGATCACAATAACACTTTCGTTTCCTGTAAGAAAGGGTTCTTGTGCAAATTAATGACATTTCAAATGACGAAGCAGCTTTGCTCGATTGAAGGAAGACTCGACAAAATCGGTTAAATACGTAGTGCCCTTTTCAATTAGGACTGCGATAATAATATAAAAATGCACAGTTTTGCGTGCGATGAGGAGCAAGCATATTTTTGCATTGCGATAATTTCAGTGGGTGTTAGATAAGATAAGGACCAGCCTTCTTCTAAGGATGGACATGATTTGAGAAAGATGCAGTTCTTTACATGGCAAAACAATAGTGCTTTCTAAAGATTCTTTTGTAATGACTGTTAAAATCTCCCTTGCCCCCCCCCCCCACTTTTCAACCTGCGTCGGAGCCCAAAGGTGCATTATCCAGGGAAAGGTTGAGGAAAAAGGAAAAAAAGGAAGGCCACTGACATCATGGACAAGCAGTGATGGCTGAAGCCTGGGATAAGTAAGGGGGACAAAAGGTGTGTCAGGGACACAAACGACGCTCCATAAAAACAGACGTTAGTGCTCCAAGACTTATCTTAGTGTACTAAAGGGTCCTAGATGCAATGCAAGCAATAAGATAGCCTTGAATTTTGGCTTTAGAACATAAAATATAATCACTAAACTTGACAAGGTAAAGTTGCTGACAGGGAAAAACTTGTGTTAAATTGATAGAAAAATAGGAATGGACTTCACCTTATTCTGGTGACAGTAGAAATGTGTTCCTGAGGATGAATGTCCCCAACCATTTTTAATTAAACTTATTAAAATAATTAAACTTAACTCTTTTGCAATGCGACTTACACGGTAAATCAAATTTTGTGTCAAAACAAAATCAACAGACTACTTGTTTTTTCTTATTTAGATTTGGACCACCTGCAAAAATTCAATTGCATCAAACGTATCGAGCATTTGATTTAATAATGGTGACGCAAAAGTATGAATAAACAACTCACGTTTTTGCTATGAAGCGTAATCCAGTAAACAAAATCTAATTCTTTACTTCAACAAAACTGCTTACAACAATCATCAAATATTAACGAGTTTGCAAGATCGAAATATAAAAATTTATGCGAATGCATTACTTTATTCAGACTGACTATTGATAAAGTGCTGCTTAGAAAACCTCACTGCAAATGTGCACCGAGACGTATCAATTTGGGCGTGATATTTTTCATTTAGCATTCAAGGGACCAATTAGCTTATAGAAAATAGCAAGCTAAAACCAACTTAAAAGCACGCATCGGAATAGAAGAATCGTTGACAAATTGAAAAATTGCTAATCAAGAAGAAGAAGTGACAAATAAACAGTCAGATATACATTGACATTTCAGTTTGAAGTAAGTGTAAAATAAAGCTTTCTTTAAAGTATTTTTGACATTTAATTCTGAATTTATTACACCCTCTTTGCTTCGTTATATAGACTCTATAGTTTTATGTCATATTCTCTAGCTTAAATTCTCTCAACGGTTTTAAGTTACAATATTGACAAAAAACAAGAATCTACGAGTTTTGCCTACAGCAAATGATCTTGGTATTATTTTGGTGTCTTTCTTATTGCATGTAATATCAGAAATGGATTTACGGAGGATGTGAAATACCCTTAGTTAGGCCAACAAGGCTTATCAATTAGAGGAGCCAATCACTGGACAAAAATAACTTCCCTGCTTTCAAGAAATCTGTTACGTGAGCAGCGATAAAATTTTAATTCCAAACTCTTTCTGCTTTTTTCTTGTGTTACTTTTGGTATAAAGTATCATGGCAATTAGGGTTTCTATTCCATTTGTTTTAGATTATAAAGCAAAATGCAAAGCAGTATTTATATTGATGTTTTCTACATTGCATAAGAAGTGGAAATTAGATGGACAGAAAGGAAATGAAAATATCATTTATCTAAGGGTTGACTTTTGGCACTGACTAACGAGCTGTTTACTTATCTTCTTCAGCTTTGATCAAAATTTTAAAAGAAGCAAATCAGAATGGAGCGCCCGCTGATCAACTGCATGACAATATTTCTGGTATTTCAAATATTGTCAAGACATGGCAACTGCATGATAGAAGAAGGTATGTTTAATTTTCTCTTCGCATTTGATCATGATGCCATGATGCTGCGTAAAATAATCGAATGTGACTTTATACGACAACCGTACTTCTAAGAAACATGGAAACCTGAAATGGTCTGTTTTAGAAAATACCATAACGATGCTGTCATTCTTAAGTGTTTTTCAAAGAAGCTTCTTTCAATTCTTTATGTTGGTTTTTCAGCCCTTGTTTCAGGCAATCAAAAGTTCTGTTTGGAAATTGTCCTTGTAAGCCTAAGCTCTGCCTTGATATTCTATCTTTTTAGTAGTTTTTGTGGTCCCAAACTACAGAAGTTCTTTCTCTTTAAACTCGTGATTACTATAATTGTCTAATTGCAATGTGATATTAAAAACAGCTGATCATGTCTATTATATCATATTTTTTAGTAGGATAGATATTTTTGCAAACAGATATTATATATAGGTATTCTATTCCCTCAACTTCACATCTTTGGCTTTTAGGGCTTATTCAAATTCAACTTTACTACTTTAATCTATCGCTTTGAACCTGAAGAACAGGGCTGTCGCTAGCGGAGGGGTGCGAGGGGTGCGGCACCCCCCCCCCCCTAGAAAATTCTTTTCGGCAAATTTTCTAAAAGTAGAGTTTTGTCGGGTTTTGCTTTCAAAGTTCCCAAAGCAATAGCTTTAGCGAACAGTTGGGATTAGATGAGGATGTGAACTTAAAGCCTGATTTACACGAGACGAATTTTTTCGTGCGAAGCGAATTTTTCGCCGCGAATGCGCGAAAAATATGCGCAGAAGTGGAGATTAGAAAATTCGCAGCGAATTCGCAGCGAATAATTCGCTGCGAAAAAGTAGAAACCATTCCTACTTTTTCGCTGCGAATTTTTTCGCCATGTAAAATAAACCAATCAGAACAGCAATTGAAGACATCTGACACGAACCCAAAGGAAGGGCTAGGCCGAATGGTGCTACGCAATGTAAACATATCTAAATCAAAAGTATGCAAAACGACAGAAAACTACGCAATGGTTCAAACAACAACATGGGTGAAGAATGAGTAACCTATGACTAGGCCTAAACAATGCTGGGAAAATCCTGCACCTATAACATAAACAATGGAATGGGACGTTTCTAGCAACAGGCGTCTTTGGTGCAATAAACGATAAAAGCTCCTCATATGTAGTTGGCGACATTCGAAAGTAATTATTCCTGACAATGTAAGCATAAGTCACTTACCAAAAGATGAAACTCCCCCTTCTGCAGACGTTCTGAATAAATTTTCCGAACCAAGTACCCATTTATTTGCTTTTTTGCTCGCTTTTTTTCAATAACAACAATCTTCGAACAGACGCCATTTTCTTTGGCATTATTCGCGGCGAATTCGCAAAAGAAATTCTGCCAGTGGAAATTAAACTTCGAATTCGCAGCGAATTCGCAGGAGAAAAATTCGTGGCGAAAAATTCGCTTCGCGCGAAAAATTCGTCTCGTGTAAATCAGGCTTAAAAGTATTGCCCAAAAGCCCTCAGCAATTAAAAAAATTCAAATGACTCCCTTTTGGCAGCCTGAGTCTAGAATCTAATGTCCTATATTTAGGGCGACCTAATTTCTACCTAAAGTTTGGGGTTTAGACAAGGGTCAAAGTTTATTAATCGAATCGTCAGTCAATCGAAAATTGAAGCGATGATTGACTAACGAGAACATCCTCTTTGATAAACAATATCAATTGCGTCAAAATGCCACACCCCTACATTGAAATTCTTAGGCCACGCCCTATTGTAAATTGGTTTCTAAATACGGCAGGTTCCGAGCTAAATGTTCGGCAAAACTTCAGAATGACACAACAAATAAACACAGATATAGTTTTCTCAAACGTATATCGTTGTACGACTTGTAACACTAAGCCTTTCACAAGAGCGAAGTGTACGTGCTCACAATGCTCTAACTCTTAACTAACTCAGGATTCGTAGAGAACGATATATATATGTTAAACTAGTTCCTTGTACAAATAAAATATGTAAATGTGCTAATCTTAGGTGTCTACATAAGAGGAAAAACAAGCTAAAAAAACAATAGGAAAGTGTCTAGATACGTATGTATAAGCTGAGTCAATCCGTAGTGTAGTTCTTAAAATAATACTATAATAGAGGGTGGGTTTCCTTAGTGAAAGTGTTCCTACTAGTATACGCAATGCAACAAAGAGTGCGATGCAAGTTGACGTAAAAGAGTATGCACAAACAAGTATGACTAACGCTGGGAGAGTGGATGAATGGGGCGAAGGAAATACGCAAACGAGGCAGGTAAGAGCGAGGCTTAGCGCTTGGAGTAGCGGTATTACACTATTTTTTCGGCAAATTGGTGACTGGCACCCCCCTAAGTGAAAGTGCTTAGCGACAGCCCTGCTGAAGAATCATAAAAATGTATTCAGTTTCAGTGGCAGGGTGGCTATGTTTTCCCTGGGGTTGCCAAGTCGATTTTGGCGCCCCACCCATCTACTGTGGCTATTTAAAAGCACGTGTTTCTAGAAGAGAAATCAATCTTTGCAACAAAAATTTCATGAATAGGTTTTTACTAAAAATATAAAAAAAGGAGCGAGTGTGAATAAAAGAAATAATCTAATTCTAATTATTTGATCTTCTTGATCGAGGGATATATATTTCGTGAATGGCTTCTTTGTAAGTAAAGGGTATAGCAGCAAAATGGTTTTCAGAGAATTACATGAAACTTAAATAAGATTAATTCCACCTACTTATAAAGTAGCTTCTTTACAGCGGGGCAAAGCAAATGTAAGGCTTAATCATTGTTATTCGAAAAACAGAGAATATCTCCTTGCCCTCGCAAAATAAGCAATTTACTTCAATTTGTTATCCTTTGGCCTTTTTTCTTAGCCATTTGCCCCCTTGCCCTGCAGCTCTTCCGGCGTCTTTGAAGTAGACCTCAAAATCACAGTTCAGATCTTTAATGACACTGCCATTGGGGAACAATATCGATCTAGTTATTCTATGCTGTGCTTGAAATTAATGTACTCTAAGTTGTTTGTAATATATTTCTGAATAGATTCTACTCTCTTCAACAGCATTGGATCGCAGCTCAAGAACAAATAAGAATGTTATAACTGACGATGAAAGCAGGAGTGAGGCAATGTTCAAGTTTCTTGGATATTTCAGCGTTCATGAAACCAATTCATCTACGGAAAATCACTGCGGAAAAATCTTGAAGAAGACAGGAATCGTGAACGTCGAGACAATGCGATATGCTTTAAATGAAATCAACAAAAAAAATTTGTTATTTGGCATGAAAGCACGCTACAGAATCGTTGATACCTGTCGGAACGTTGCAACTCTTGTGCGTTCGTTTCCTGGCACATTAAGAACATATTACATGGGGGTTGTGGGGCCAACGACCTCAGAGGAAGGAAGCCTCGTAGCAGTGCTACATGGTGCAAGAGAGGCTGCAGTTGTAAGCCACTCAGCTAGCAGCGCAATGTTCGACGACAGAAAGGATTATAAAAACTTCTTTAGAACGATCCCTTCAGATGTTTTGCAAGTTAAAGCATTGGTCGACACCATACTATTTTTCAACTGGAGTTACGTATCGATAGTCCATTCACATGGATTCTATGGCAAGTGGGGAAGCCACGAGTTCTTGAACATGGCGTCGGAAAATAATATATGCATCGGAAGGGACCATCCTTTACCGGCAAGACCAATGGTGTCTGACTACCAGAAAGCTATCAATGTCTTAGACAGTGCAGAGGGTGCTAATGTTGTTGTTTTGATAACAGGCCTGCACGATACAAATGCACTTCTTGAACAGGCAAGGATTCTCAATAAAAAACGTTTCACGTGGCTCTCAAGTACTAGCTGGCGTCTTAGTACGATAAACGCGGGACAGTCTGCGAGAGGAGCTCTGGTGTTAAGGTATGCCAGCTCAGCAGATAAAGAATTTGAACAATACTTCATGGGTCTTTCATTGGAAAGCAACAAATATGAATGGTTTAGGGAATTTTGGAAAGAAAACTTCAAATGCATTGGCAAGAACTGCTCCTGTTCTTCTAACCAGACCTTGCGAGACTGTAATTTCTCGCTAGGAGACATTTCTGTGGAGCCAGCTTTAAGCACCATTCATACAATTGCTTGTAGTTTGAGAAAAAGCATACTGAAACGGTGCCCTAGCTTGAACCTTACTTGCATAAACAAAATCAGAAAATACACCTATCATTTTGAAAAGGATGTTTCTCAATTCATCCGTGATGGAAATAGTTCTTGTCCGGAATTTCGCCACTCAGTGAACGTCAATAAAATGGGATACTATACTCGCGATTTTGAGGTGATGAATTTCGATGGCTTTAAGTACAAAAAAGTTGCAAGATGGTCTTTTAACGAGTCTTCCAGAGTAGGGTTTCTTCAGTTACTAAAGGAAAAAGAAATCGTTTGGGCCAATAATTCTTTGCCGCAATCATTTTGCACTGTTCCTTGTAAAAATGGCCAAAATATCATATGGGCTGACAATCTCTGTTGTTATAGTTGCAAAGACTGTGGCTCGGGAGAGATAGTGGTTGACAACGAATGCTCTCTATGTTTGTGGCACCAGAAACCGGATAGGAAAAACAACTCATGTGTCAGTATCCCTACTGCCACTTTAAAGCAAAAAGAGGCGGTACGCTCTGTAACCATTGTCGCTTCGGTCGTTGGAATCATTGCGAATTCCATTTTCCTTTGCCTTTTCATAAGAAACTGGAAAAACCGCATCATCAAGGCATCGAGCAGAGAGCTTTCATTGACCATTTTCATTGCGCTTTACATATGTTTTTTGTGTCCTGTCGTGTTCTTGCTGTATCCATCCGAACCAGTTTGTCGCTTGCAAAGATTTATAGTTGGTGTCAGTCTAACTTCATGCTACACTCCTGTCATGCTGAAGACCAATCGAATCTTCCGTATTTTCAATGCCGCAGAAGTTTTGACATCAAAACCAACTTTTGTCAGTACCAAATCCCAAATCCTGATCTGCAGTGCACTTATCTTTTTACAGTTTCTGTTAGGCATAATTTGGGTTCTCGGCGATCCGCCTGAAGTTTTTCAACTCAAAATTGAGGGTGGTAGTCGAATTGCCATAGTCTGCAAAACAGCATCATTCAACTTCATTTTGAATCTCCTGCCATGCTTGATTGTCATGAGTGTTTGCACCTTCTATGCGTACAAGACGAGAAGATTTCCCTCCAATTTCAATGAAGCGTTCAACATCTGTATAACAATGTACTTCAACTGCTTTGTCTGGGGGATCTTCATAATCGTTATTCTATTTCTTGAGACAAGAGACGATGATATATTCTTATACTTTTTTGCTATCGCCAACTTCACCACAATAATCGGCATTATAACATTTCTGGGTATATTTGGTCCCAAGATTTGGAAACTTTATTGCGCGAAAGATGTTGTGCCGGTAACTGAGCATTTCTCACAATTTCAAAGCAGCATCGTCGATAGTCCCCATCTTCGTACACTGAATATCAGTTCTCTTAGCACAATTGAAGAGGACCGCGAAGACTTTAATCCCAGAAAAAGGAGAAAAGACGTGGCGACAAACACTTAAATTACTGTGTTTTGAGTTCAATATTTGAGTTCAAGGGTTCTCTATCTTGCAAAAGAATTTCATATCTAAGTCGATTCAGAAAGAAACTGACAAAAATAGGAACTCTGAAAAGAGAGAAATAGTTGTAAGCAATGTTGCGTATTGAGAAGTGAGACTTTATGGGCTGAAGTGTGAATATTGAAATACTTTTATTCTGTTTCACTATTTAGGAAAGGAGTGAAAGAAAAAATTAATTTGGTGCGTGAATGAAGAAGACTGAACAAGTAACAATATTTATAAACCTTTTAAAGTCTACAACAAGGAAGAAACCCAAAAGCTTCGACTCTGGTTATTTCACAAAGAACAGGAAAGGGAAGCGTGGGTGTAACTGCGAGGATGTCTTTATTACATTACAATTACATTGGTCCATTGGTGTCTGACAACGTGTCAGCCAAAGGATTATTGAAAGCTAAAAAAGAAGCGACTTTATCGTGAACGAAAATGTTGCGAAAGTATTTTCAACTCAGCAACCAGGTTAGGGTTGTACTAATAATTCAGAGACAAAAACGTAAGGAAACGCTTTAATTGTGAATGTTATTGGCTAAGATTATGAGTGAGTGAGCCATTTACAATGCAAAAATCCATTCTTGAGCACCTAAGAAAGATACATTCACGCAGCATATTGAAACAAAAACTGAGATATAAAATGGTACTCCTTCTGAACCCACAAAATCCACCCTGTTAATGAACAGCGATTTAAAAACAGATAACAAAGTAAATTTTAAGTCCAAGGGAATTTCCATAGATTTGAATCTTATTGCACTCTTGTTTCGAAATTAGTTTCCATTCTTTAGGCTACGAAAACAAGGATCAGGGAAATATGATGGGTCAATGTGGGAGGATGGCTCAGTGCTTATGGTCGCCAAAGGTCTGTGTTTCGAATCTCTGACATGACCAAACTTTCCCTCAGAGTGAGGAGAGTCGCCAGCTCTCTGTAATTCCAGGCATAGGAATCATGAGGTGTGGTTACATTGAAAGAAAGGACCAGGACAATGCTTGATAAAGAGAGCTTTTTAGGGTCTTAAAACTACCTTAAAAACCTAGGTAGCAAACAATACAAGACTTTCACTTTGCGGACATCACGTTCAAAATTTAACCTGCAAGATGGATTTCACTACAAAAATCAACAAATAAATTAAAACACCAGGTACTGATCCCGAGCTAAGTTTTTTATAAAAAAGCGTGTATGTTAAGTTCAAGAGGTTGTGAAGTGAAGCACAGATCTAAAACGATGCGAGGATGGCACATTGGTTAGGATCGCTGACTACAGTACAGACCCAAGGACCCGTGGTTCGAGTCCCTGACATGACCAAACTTTCCCTCAGAGTGAGGAGAGTCGCCAACTCTCTGTAATTTCAGGTATAGGAATCATGTGGCGTGGTTACATCGAGAGGAACGACCAGGACACTGCTCGATAAGCATAGCTTCTCAGTGCCCTAAAACTACTTTCGGAAGCTAGATAGCAAACAATACAAAAATGATGGGTTTTCAAATCCATTTGACGGGATATCCAAAACCAGAGGGTTACAGAGTGGCAAAATGCTGACGTCATAAAATCTACTTTTAGATTTCCGCTAAATACCACAACCACTATGGATGATTATTTGCAATTTGCTTGAGATATGGCCACATGAGCACAGGCTCTTGTCCTATCAAACCACTGTAATTCTTGCGTGGTAATCAAACTTATGTAGTGATAACAGATTCATGGGTGCAGGCACGATAATACCTAGAGGTGGTCAATTTTAACCTTGTGAGATATTTTCGCAGGATCTTGTTCATTGCGCACATGGTTATCAACGCTAAAACTGAACAAAAGTGATGCTTAGAAAGAGAGCAGAAAGTTTGAAACATGAAAGGAGTCATCATAAAGTGAAACTCGTTATGCTACAAAAATACTACATCATTTTCAAGAAACCAGCAAATTTACACACCCTCTAAATACAACTTATACATCCTCGTATCAAAGAATGAAAACTATAAATTTAAACTGCTAAATACTTCTTTGGTCCTTAAGATTTGCAATTGCAACTAACATGCCGAAAGGTAACAAGAGTTATTGATACACAGCGACATTGTCGCAGCAAAAAGCACGCGATGACACCGTTTCAAGCTCATTAGAAAAGATCTCGCAGTAATATATCTTAAAAAAACGCTAGCCATAGCATTAGTCTATCCCATACATGCATATAATGAACTAAAAAGATGAATGGCATTAGCACATATTTACTGCTATCAATTTAATTTTGTAATACTGGTCGAATTTCAGAAACGAAGGTAGACTGTTCAGCAACCTGGAATTTATTTCTTTGTATAGGTTGCTTAGAATCAGCTGGACACTTCACAAGCATAAATTATACAACCAAACACATTAAAAGATGGAAAATTCGGTTATTCTCTATTTCTGTCTATTTTTGCTGCTTTGTTTTGTACACGACAATGTATTCGAAAGAGAGATTCGACTGAGAGGTGTTGGGGGATTCTCTGTGGACTTGCCTAGATTTATCCTTTACCCCTTTGGGGCAGGGGTGTAGGAATTCACAAATGAGATCTTATACAAGATAAAGATTGAATTTAACAAAATGATTTACAAACATTTTACACAATGATTACACCTTTTATTAAAAAATCATCAATTTTTTACAATCATTAAATAAATTATCTTTTTACAATAAGATAACCGTGCAATTATCATTTAGTACCAACTGAGAAAGAGTTCTTCTTAGTTGTGGTTTGCCCTTATGGAGTGAAGATAAAATAGAAAGAAAATATCAAGTTGTGATACCACAATTTCTTCTTAGAATCCTTTTCATTAAATGCAAAACAAAAGATGACTCTAAGGCTAGCTTTGCCACCGCCAGATTGAAAAATCCACAATCGGATTGAAAAATCCTGGGCAGTAAGGAAGGACAGAAACTTATTACTCCAAATCGAAATCAGATTTCATACTGGATGAAATCTTGGTTAACATTGACAAACAAATCTGGGTTCTTTTCGCTGTCCCTTTCCGACTCGCTGTTTTCTTTATAAACCTCATCATCGTGCTCAAAAACTCCATTGTCAAAGGACCGAGCTTCTCTGTAATCTGATTCAAAGGGGTCGTGATCAGTTATTCGAACCTCATCGTCTTCGAAAGGGTCGTGATCTTTGAAATCGACGTCATCAAATTCATCCTCGGTTTCCGGACCCTTTCGATAATGCTCTATCAGGTCATGCTCGCTTTCAAACCGAATTCCTAGATTTGTCTTTCCAGGATCGCCGTCCACCTGCATGTCATTCGAAGCAAACCCATTCTGCATTTTAGCCTCTCTTTGAACAGCATCTTCATACCCAGGTGGATAGTTGGTATTCTGGATATAGCTATCAAGGTCGATTCCTTTAGAGAATTTCATTACGTTGCCTTTGCTTGACTTCTTTTTAGTACGGCGTCTGTTAAAACAATCGATAGTTAATTGATTAACTAGAATCCGGGAAATATATAGCAGATTATGTATACCCATTGAATGAAAAATCTCCCCTTCTCGGAGCAAAGCGGGGTTCGCTTTATCGGGAGAAATTGCATAAGGAGAATTTTTAGATCTTCTATCGACGTTGTCGTCAGCCCCTTTTAGGGTAATTTCCGGAGCCACTTCTTTTGCACTCTGGCATATAAAAGGCTTTCAAAATCAGAACAAGCCACACCGTAGAATGTTCTTTCACTGAAATATTGTTTGAAAAAGACTTTCACAATAATACAAGAAAACAAGGCTTGGAATTGTGGAACTTACAAATCTTATGAATTGATCTAAAAAGACATCATACGTACGTTCTCTAAGAAGGGTAGAACCCTATTACAGACTTTCCTTATTCATTTCAAACCTTTACATCCAAACGATTTCTAGAAACTAGACTTCTGAACGACACAGGGGCAAAGGATAGGGGGAAATCCCGTCTTTATTTTTGATGAGATGGTATGGGGAAAAATGAAGTCGATGTTTTATGAAATCGACGATAGTAGGGTGTTACCCATACGTATAAGCGATCACAGTAACTTGCAAAATCCAATACCAGCGAGACAAAAATATAACGTTGCTGTTCTGTGATAGCACACAGTTACACTACCGTGGTAGGCATTTTCAAGACTGATATCTTTTATTTTTACCTTTTTGGTAGGAGAACCATGTTCTCCAAAAATTAAGTTCTTTAATGCAAAACAGATATGATAAAGTTTATAAGTACCTTTTTATGTAGAAAATGACGATGATCACAATGGAAATAATTAGCAGCAAGGCAAGACCAACTGCAAGCCAAACCCACCAGGGAATAGATTCATCTGCTGCTAAAAAAAGAAACATTCTGCTAAAAAATAGAAACATTCCTTTCAATTCTTAATCGATTGTAGCGAACCTTATTACAGGAAAATTGTCTTATAAATGAACAAAGCTCTTAACCGTTGCAGATTCAGATACCTAAAAACCTTTAAAAAGTAAAAAAACTAGATTGGCTTCAATCTGCAACATCATGGTGTAACTAGAAATCAAATGATTGTCGTTGAGTAGCGATGTTTACTGAAATTGCATTCCAACTTTGGATCCAACTTTAGGTTTAACTGCAGTTCTCTTTGATGGAGAATGGCCAAAACAGTTTAAAAAACCAACGAACAGCGATTATAGATTTACCTGAAGTTCGATTTCCGGGACTACTTGTGACATTTGAAGATTTAGTAGCTGGAAAAAAATCGTCAATTTTCGATTTAAAGAGGATATAATGATTGTTAATTTCAAGAGAGATCTGAGGTACTGCAAGAAAATATGCTTCTGTTTTTAACATTCGATGTTGTTGCAAGAACCTCTCTTAACTTAGAATTCATCATAAACAAACAAAAATTTGTTCTTTCAAAGCTAGATTCAAAAGTAAGTTGACAGTTCTTGATTCATGGGCTTTGGTCCTCGAAAATTACCTAAAGAACACTTTTACTCGTACACTGAAATATTTTCCCCCAAGTTTTTATATATCGAAAAAATTTGTGCCCCCTTCTAAACCGTTTCAACTCAAATTATTATAAGAAACGGGGCTGATTATAGAAAGCAGGTTTTCGGTTGGCGTTTTATTAATCAAGTGCATCCACCAAGTGTTTACTTTTTTGACCACGACGTCGTCATTTTAAAGCTACACCTGATTGAAGAATAATTTTCTAGCCAAATTGTCATTGGTATCAACTAAAAAGTGAGACCCTCACTGAATATTGAGATTGCCACAACAGTTTTATACGACACTGCTTGTGTTATTGTTATGTAAAATGTTTTGATAAAAAAATATCAGGATGATACAACTGTTTAGCATATATTGTGCAATTCTAGTCATTTGTGCATATATCACGTGTGATTAAATGATTGAGTGAGGGGTTAGTTTGGAAGATAAATTAGATGTTAGAAATGTGATCAATAGGCCTAGATTATCTTTTTGAATTAGGAAACATGCCTTAACCTATCAGGCAATAGATAATTTATGCATTAGAGAACTCAAAGAAAAGTAGATAACCTATCAGGCAATAGATAATTTATGTATTAGAGAACTCAAAGAAAAGTAGACAAATGAACAGGTTGAGTGAGCTTTGCATATACAGTCAACTAGAGTGAAATTTAATGCAAATGAAATCAGTCTATTTTCTCTATAGTACTTTCTTAGAAAAGCCTTTATAAAAAGAGAGTAGGGAACAATGAGATATGGATGCTGAGAAACTTGATGCATGTTGTACAATCACCTAGTTGATTATCTCAGAGGAGCCAATTGTTACTGTACCTTCATAGGAATTTTTTTAAATCAAACAATGAAAATTTTACACAAAATTTTGTCTCCATCTTATGCTGAATATCGAATTTCCACATTAAAAATAAAAACTTACTAGTCAAAGCTTCTCCATCAGTTGTACTAGATAAGGTAGGTTTTCGTGTAGTAGTAGTTGCTGCAATGGCACACAGACAAATTGGCATAAAGATTTTGCAAGATTTCATGGAAACTAATCTTATACCAAATTAATTATCTTTTTTCATGTCTCTTATTTTTGCTCTGCAAAATTTTTGCGTTCAGAAAACACAGATGATGAGTTAAGTTAAGATGCTCTATTGATTGAAGCTTTAAACATTATCATCAATGAAGCAGATGGTGAATTAATAACAAAGAATTTCTGGATGACAGACTTAGTTGAAGCGAGCCAGTGTTATGGTTAACAGGATTGAAATGAGATTAAAATGTGCAAACAATTGGTGCAAAATTTGCTTTAAAGTCACCAAGAAAACGAGGAAACAAAATAATCACAAAATCCTATGCAAACTGGGCCTATGCAAACTTTTCCATCGACCTGAGAATTTTGTCTTTGGAAAATATGAAAAAGCAAAAAAGAACTATCATATCCCTTTTATTTTGTTTTTCCATTTACGAAATTGACTACAATATATAGGAGCCCAGATTCATAATAAAGTGCAAATTTTGGTGTGCTTCTCAATATTCAATGTTACACAAATAGGTTCAATTTAGAAACATCAAATACAAAAAATGTCTTTGTTTAAACCTTAAAATAGACCATCTTGGTTTGCTAGCTTATATGTAAAGTTATGATCCCAGAGCCCAACTGAATACAACAAAATATTATGGAGTTCATTAATTGCCAACAACCACTTACTTGGGGGTTCTTCAACAAAGAAAAACCAGACACCACTGATGGTACCATTGCTTACTTCATTTTCAACAAAACAACTGTAATTGCCAATATCGTTCCTTGTAAAGCTAGAAATGGTCAAGATGCCACTAGTAGAATTTTCTAGAACAACAGTCCCATTTCTATAAAATGTATATCTTGAGGGCGGAAATGAAGTAGCTGAACATGTGACAATGACTGACTGGCCTTGAGCAATGCCCATCCCAGATTTGCTTGATGATATTGATAGCTTTTCTGGTCCATCTAAAATTGAATATGAAAGAAAAATCAATAAGTAAGAATGTAGGGGCATTTAAGATCACTATTAGCACCCCTACAAAGTCTGATATTCAGGCACCCAATGACCCTGAGGTAGAATATAAAGGCATTGAGTCATGGTAAATAGGCTTTCTCTATAGGTTATCATTTGGTTTCGGCGTGATCACTGCTGTTTCATGTGATATTGGCATCCGTTGTTGACAACTTACTATTGATGAAAATTGTTTTGTCAATCAGTACGAGGTGAGTTCATGTGACCAGTTCAAGGTCAACCAATAGCATTGCAGTCATGAAAATCATGAATCAGCAGATTTTGGCACTTAGCGTATATCCAGTCCATTTTATCATGACTCAATGCCTTAAAGATTAGGAAAAGGAAAGACAAGAGTGCCATTAACCTTGATTCCAAGATGAGGAGAGGTCATGTGATAAAAAAATTGCTTGCACTCCTGTGACTATTGCTAATCAGGGAGTTGCCTGAGGTAGAGAGGGGGTAGAGGCTCCTCCTTCCTGATTGTTTGATTGTATCGATCCGCAAGTCAAACCGTAAAAATCTCACAGCAAAAGCAGAAACTTTTGAAGAAACATTTCCGCCTCAGAAAACCAAACCAAGTAACTCAAGAACCAAGGCACCAAAAAACGTACTAATCTAAGGAAAACCAGGTCAATCTTCAGATAACCAGGTTAATCTAAGTAAGTTTGAGCCGTCATGCGGTGTGGATCCATTATTTAGGCTCATTTGCATAATAGGAAGACCAGTAGAAGAGATGCTGTTAATACTTCATTGTAGTTGAACAATTAATTTCAACTCATTTAAGAATTGCTTTCTTCTATGATGAAAATACTAACAAAAAAATTATTAGAGAATTGTTGAGAGCCATTTGAGTTTTGAGCAGGTCTGAGTACCAGAAGGTGCAGCAAAATATGTCTTACTCCAGTAAACCTTAATCTTTTTCAAAGCAATGCTTTGCCATAATTATGAGCAAAAAATATTGAGAAAAATATTTGTACTTACACCAAATCTGTATTGAGAAAGAAGTATTTGCTGCAGGACTGTGTGTTCCAAAAACAGCTCTAGCCATGAAACGACCTCCACTGTTTCTTGTTGGTGACTTGATTGTTAGGTTACTCTGAACAATTGTTTCGTTCTGTGCATTTGTACCTACTAATCTTGAAGAATTTGGATACAAACTTGTATTGACCAAAGCATCATTTCGATACCATTGGATAACGGGTGGGTAGTCCCCAACTACTTCAGTTGAAATAATGACATCTCTTCCCCCTTCAATTCCAAGATTTTGTTGAGTAGGTAGCATGGTAAATGTTGGAAGCCTCCCTGAAAGAAAAACAGTTTTGAATTAATTTGTCTCCAATTTCAATGGATGTTAATGTTTTGTTTCCACAGAGTATTGAGAAAAAGAGTTACTGTAAGGAAAATAAAAACATTCAGTTTGGTCCAAAGGCACTCTCATAAGAAAAAAATCATTGGAAATTGCATCTTGTTTTTCAAATTTTAAAAATAAGAAATTTTAACTTAGCTAGAATCTAGCTAGAATGTGTGCTAGCTCACTTTTAAGATTTTAAATAAATAAATCATGTTGCATCAAATAATATATATAATTATAATTAGGAAAAAATTATTAAGAAAAATTTTCAATACATGCAAAAATCTTTTTGTATAAAACAGGTAAATGTCATGAAAAATGCCATTGTACTGTCTGTTGATGAATACCAGTCTACACTGCCAATGGTATTAGATTCTGGTTGGATTGACTTTTCTAGTGTTATTTCTTATTGTCAAATTTATTTTAATCAGTTATGCAACTTGTGACCTTAAAGGTGCTGGGATCAGAAAGATAGGAATAGCATATTTGGTTTTTCATGAGGTTATCAAGCTCAGTTCAATAGGATTCAATTAAAGGGGCATCTGCTTGTGTCCAGAATTACATTATGGGTCTATGACAAGACTGTTTAGCAACCATGAAATACTGCCATTGGTAAGAACAAATAAGAAAGGAATTGCTATTATTACATCAGCTATTAATTCTTTTTACTATCAGGGGCAGACACTTGATCAAATATTGGGGGGGGGGGGCAAGCCTATTGTTTTAATAAGATGACATCACATTTCCCATTGTTTTAGAACAAAAGACCATTGTCCTCTAAAGTATTGGGGGGGGGGGTGGTTGCCCCCCCCTTGCCCCCCAAGTGTCCGCCACTGTTTATTATCATTGATGATCCAAAACCGTTTTTTTTGACTGTTTGTTCTGTTGCTTATCCTTTTAACTGGCTACCATCAAGCCATTGTATCTTTTATCCTCTCTTTTTCATGTAAATTAAAAGCAGATATCGTTCCATTATTGAACAACACATATCTGAATATTTTTGGCAATTGTTTTAGAAGGCATTCTGTATAACAATCTTATAAAAATACCTTTTTTGGAAGGATTGTGAATTTTCTTTCCAAAAATATACCTTTTAAAACATCATTATATATTTGAGCAGCCGTTGTGAACTCTGAAATATCCAAGTATGGCACATATCCTGTGGGCTTATGTGCCATTAAGCAGGCTAATAGGGAATGACATAGGGTGAGCAGACACTTATATAAAAATTGAAACGCTGTGATTGGGGCCAAACTTCCAGGATAACATTTGACATTACATACCGATGGGGCACATAAATAAGTTACTGCTAAAAATCACCAAATACTCACTGACAACATTTAGACTTGCAGTACTTGTCATAGTAACTTGATTGGGCACTGAAAACACCAGTTGACAAAAATATTTTGCAGTCATATTGACAGAGACATTCTGCAAAACCATTGTAGCTTTGTCTCTAAGACTATATCCATGACAAAAAAATAGAGAGTATCCTGAAGTTTGCTTCAGTTTCAGCATGCAATATGAGCCTGACCCATCCACTCCCCAGGTTCCAGTCAAAAGTTCTCCACTAGACCCTCTGTTGTAATCCCATCCAAAAATTGCATTGGTGCCTTGTAAAACATATTGCAAAGGTGGTGGTTTTGTTGTAAAGTAAGCTGTTCCAAATACACCTGCAAAATATAAAAGCAAAATGTTCCTGTTAAAATAAGTTGCTCACAACATTCACATGTTTCTGGGATAAAAAAATAAAACATTTATTACCACATATTCTACAAAAACAAATATCTAGCAATACTGTAACATCTAAATGAAATTGAAATAGGAAACTGCTTTGTAGACATATCTTTAAAATAGTTCTGACCTAAAAAATATGAGTGGACACTTAATCATATATGGTTTTCATGACTTTGACCGGCTTTATTAGAAATGTTAGCTGTGTTTTGGCCGTTTTGTTTAGTTTCGAAATAACTCGTAAAGTTATGAGCATTTCATATCATAGCATCGTTTGAATCTGATGGTCAATATGAATTTGGATCCAAAGGGAAAGTTGAAGTTCCCATGTAATTTAGGGTTTTCAAACAATGAATGTTGAACTCTTTTGGTGCTGATTGTATATAGCAAAGAAATTCGTTTGTATAGGCCATTATTTCTTAAACTAAAGGCACCCAAACAAAATCATTCAAGAAATCAAAACATGTTTTACTCAAATAAAATCTTACCATTCATCCTAATACAACAAACGACGAAAACAAGCGATATAGGATCCAGTTTCATCTTCGTGATGGTAGGCCAAAAACCAGGACTGTTGGTGAAGGCCACAGTCACCTGATGTGTGTAAGCTCCTTGTTAATTCTTGAAATATCATTCACAAAAAATATAAAAGGCCCAGGCATCGACATCTATTCTGTTTGTTATCATTTGCTTGGCTGGTGGCTTTTACCGTGGTAAAACATCCCCCTGACTTCCATTGAAAATCTTTAACGGCTTTGAAAGCTGTCACCAGGGCGAAATTCCGTGTTTCTCTCCTTCACAGTGCACTCACATTGCGCATTATGACTCATTGTCAAAACAAAAACTTTCTTCAGGGCAGGGTCAGTGGCACAGGGGGGAGCAGACCTTCCCCCATCTTTTGCTAGGAAGATTTTAAATATTCCAAATTTTCATACAATTAATTTTTTAGGCTACCACAAATACATTAGCCCTAAAAGCACAGACAAACAGTGTCAGCAAAACTTTTTTGAGACGTTAAAGAGAGAGGGGAGGTCTAGAGGACAATCTCCTCACATTACTTTCCCTATTTTAAATTGTTTATTCTGCAAAAAAGTTGAGGTCTTGGCCCAAGCTTCCTGTGGTGCAGGGCCTTGGCTCGTAAATCTTCATAAAGAACAAAAAGAGAGCCTTATAAACTTCATGGGGTAGAAAAAACTTATTAATAGTTAGAAAAATAAAAAATTGAAAATTGCAGGGCTTACCACAATTTTTTATAATCTATTTGCATGGGTCCAGGTTGACGGGGTCAATAACTTCCCCTCTTCTGGATAATTTTTGAAGGTGCGAAATCAAAACTTCCCTTTATGGGACATTTCAATAAAAGGTATCAATTTCAGCAATTCACGATGTAAAGTTATATTAAATCAGCCCTTACTAACGAACATCAACAGGTGTATAAAACTGATAAGTGGCAGGAATTGCAAAGGTATTTGGGGCGCCCCTAGCTTTAATTGCAGGGGTATGGGGGTTAAAACACATTTTTTTACCGCTTTGTCGGTATAGCTTGTAATTTGTCGGAAAAATGTGCTTACTTTGTGGTTCTTGCCCACAATTTTGGGACCAAGAGATAAAAGGGAAAACAATTTAAAATATACAAGAACAAGAGATGAACTAAGAAGAAAGATCATTCCGCCTCAAGAACCCAATTTTATGGGATAAATTAAACAAAGAAATAAATAAGCAAAGGTCAAACGTCAGTTAAGACAAAACCACTGAACATATTGTCTTTTGGCAAAGAAACAAGCTCATAAAAAGATGAAAGTTTTATATATACTACTAGAAACAACTTGTCCTGAGCATGACACAAACTGCATCCGGAAATGAGGCCTTGGTATGGGAACACCCGGGTTCTGGGGAGAATGTCACTACCCCTTAATAATTTCTGTGCTGGGTCACCCTTGGGCAAGGTGTAGCACCCATAAGCCTCCCTCTTCTGGGTAACCGAAGCGGATGATGAGATGAATTGGCATTTCACCATCTGTACATGCTGCAGAGTCTGGCCAACGGTGTGCTTTGGCGGAAGAGTCAGCACCGCAGTGCCGACGCGGTCTACAAGGGTGTCGTCGAACCTGATTCAGGTCTGCTCCAGCCATCGGATGCGGTTGGTCGCTTATGTGCAGACTGTCTTGGTCTATCCTTGCCTCTGTACTTTTGCTACCAACGGAGAGGGTGCTAGCAGTACTGGGCAAGCTACTAGTTCCTATGATTGCCCAAGCTGGGAGGGGAGTGGAAAAGCCCTGTGGCGATGGAGTGAAGGCGTACCGGCAGGTTTGATGAACTGGAAGCCACAGCGCGATCTCTGCACACAGGCGATCGGGGTGTGATGATCGTGCTCCTGCTGAAGAACGACAGCGTTGCAAGGCAGCTGCTCCGATGACCAGGCAGCTCTTTTCAGAGATGCACTGCCTGCCCCAATCCGGGGAAGGTCCTAGAAAAGGTGGACTAAAAATTGCTCGTTCATACACTCCTGGCTGGCAAGCCGCGGTCAGCGGGAATCCATAACTGCGGTGGGAAAACAGAGAAACTATCTACTAAACTTATCCTGGCATCATGGAATGTCAGAACCCTTTTTTGACAATGAAGAGCGACCTGAAAGAAGAGCAGCTCTCATCTCACGTGAACTGGAACGTTACAATATTGATATTGCAGCACTACAAGAAACCCGCTTCTCTGACCAAGGACAACTCAAAGAAAAATCTTACACGTTCTACTGGTCCGGTAAACCATCTGGTGAGCGAAGAGAAGCAGGGGTTGCCTTTGCAATCTCGAATCAACTTGTTAAGATGCTCGAGTCAATACCAACTGGAAAGAGTGACCGTCTGATATCGTTAAGAATTCACATCGGTCAAAAGAGATACCTGACACTAATCTCAGCCTATGCACCAACAATCAGGGGCGGACTGGCTGGTCGGGCTATTCGGGCGATCACCCGAGGGGCCGGTCGGTTTAAGGGCCAGTTGATAAAAGTGCAAAAAAATAAATTAGCTTAAAAAGTGAATGCGAGGCAAAAAAGTATACCCACGCGTTGATCTGTTTGCCTTGAATTTTCAGAGACTTTGTGGGAAAGAATAAATATACACGCGAGTACTCCAAAGCCATCAAAATTATGAATTCATTATTGTCACCGCAGCCCAAACAAACTTCTTCAGGAAACATATTATTGACATCTTGTCATATTTTCTCTTGACGGTATTTCCTTTTTGGCGACATATTATACTGTAACACCCCTGTTTCAATGCGATACATAAGATTTTAACCTGCCCTGATGTCTTTTTACTTAGCTTTTGCTTGAAGCTGGTCGTGTTTTTGCCTAAGCACAAGCTATTGCTAAAGGTAATAAATTTAATAGTTCAAAAATTAGAGTTCACTAAGCGATTTGCTCTGTGATGTGAAGCAATGAAGGGGACATACGTAGAACAAGGGAAGAGCAAGAAGGCTTCAACCAAAGATGGTGCGCAGAAATTTCGTGAGGAAAAGCTGCGAGACTTAAAAAAGGATTCAGCTACGATACAAAGCTTTTTTTTATCAAGCAAAAGCCACAAACGTCACAAAAAAGAACAGGGTCTTGCTCTTGCTCCTTTCAATAAACTCATACAAGTTATGGTAAGTTTATTAGGCATATACTATCTTAAGTCAAAAGGACCCCCGCCCTACAGGGGTGTGGTGCTACACGATAAAATTTCAACAGGGGTGCCCATGTTTTCTTTTTGGGGTCAGAAATTGACAAATCGATATCTTTGGGCTGCTGAAAATCATTGTGGTTTTCCGGAGGATTAGAAAATTATTTGTCACAATTGGAGTGTGATAGAAGCTTTTCCACTTTAATTATATAAAGAACAGATTACGTAGAAATTTTTCGCAGCCAAACCTGGAGTCCTTCATGTTAATGTTCTTAGAAAAACACCTGTTAGATGACATCAAGAACGATCACATTATCAACATATAAGTTACTGTATTTAGAAAAAAAGTCAAACCAATGAGTTAAAATTTTTGTTTATTTACTATTTTGTCAGCAAATGACATATTTAACATGTTCTGTTAACCATGTTTTGCTAACCAGCATTCATCCATGAACAAAATTACTGAATTTAAAAACTTGTTTTCCTTACAGACTAATATTTACTTGCATTTTCCGAGGAGTTTTTTATTTGCTATTTTTGTGGGCCGGTTTGATCAAAATTTGCCCGGCCCAAAAAAATTAGCCAGTCCGCCCCTGCCAACAATGACCAACGACAACGAAACTAAAGAGCTTTTCTACCATTCGCTAGACAGCCTGCTCTCCGAGACCCCTGTTGCGGACAAGCTCATCCTACTAGGAGACTTTAATGCCAGAGTGGGAAAAGAACATGAGACATGGCCTCAAGCGCTAGGAAAGTTTGGAAAAGGGAAAATGAACTCAAACGGCGAGCTGCTTCTAACAAAGTGTTCTGAACACGATCTAGCCATCACAAACACATTCTTTAACTACTCAGACAAGTGGTATCACTCCTGGAAGCATCTAAGATCTAAGCACCCTACTCTCTTGGATTACATCATTACTAGGATGTGTGATCTGAAGGATTTCTGCAGCACCAGAGCTATGAGAGGAGCCGAGTGCACTACTGACCATTTCATGATTCGGTCCAAGTGTCACATTAAACCAAAACCTCCTTCTATGAAGAAAAAACGGTCCAAACCCCCAAAGAAAATGAACGTGAAAAAGTTGAAGGAACAAAGTGTAAAGGACCAACTTGTAACTGCGATCAATGATAATCTCCAAACACTATTAACTGGTACCAGTGATAAACAGTGGAGAGCCCTGAAGAATGCAGTCTTTAGCGCTGCATCAGATGTCCTTGGCAAACCTACTAGGAAACAAACAGATTGGTTTGATGAATCAAATGAAGAAATCATGGAACTTGTCAACGAAAAGAATTCGCTGTTCCACAGGACACTAGATAATAGATGTACCAGAGGGACAAGAAACAAATACAAGGACGTGAAATCTGAACTTCAAAAGAAACTCCGACAAATGAAAAATGACTGGTGAACCAAGAAGGCAGCCGAAATACAGAGTCTGGCAGACAACAACGACTCCAAAGCGCTCTTTGCATCATTGAAAGAAGTTTATGGACCACAGCGTGCTTGCTTAGACCCGGTAAAGAGTATTGACGGCAGCGTGCTCCATACAGCGTGCTCCATGCAGATGGTATACCACCGGAGGTCTGGACATATGGCGGACCAGCACTGAGAAACCAACTGTTACAGCTTTTCTGCAACATCTGGTCAACAACAGCAGAAGTTTCCCAGGATTTCAAAGACGCGACCATCTACAAAAGAAAAGGGGACCGTGCAGAATGTGGAAACCACAGAGGAATTTCACCACTATCAGTTGCAGGAAAGATACTGGCCAAAATTCTGCAATTTCGACTACAGACCCTTGCTAAAGACATTCTTCCTGAGAGTCAGTGTGGATTCATAGCCAACCGATCCACCCAAGATATGATATTCACACTGCGGCAACTACAAGAAAAGTGTGCTGAACAGCGTCAACCGCTCATAGTCACCTTTGTTGATTTCAGCAAAGCCTTTGACACGGTTCACAGAGAAACATTGTGGAAGCTATTGAGTCGCTATGGTTGCCCAGAAACTTTCATCAGAGTTTTACGGAGTTTCCACGACGGCATGTCTGCCAACATCTGCTGTGGTGATGGATGTTCAGACTCATTTAGTGTCGGATACGGCGTGAAACAAGGGTGTGTTCTTGCGTCAACTCTATTCACTATTTTCCTTGCTGCAGTCCTAAAGAGCATGCCAGAAGAACTTGGTGATATCAGCATCCGAACCAGAGGTGAAGGAGATCTTTTCAACCTCAGGCGCCTCAAAGCAAAGAGTAAAACACGGGAAAAACTGATTCGAAAGCTGCTTTTTGCAGATGATTCGGCTCTTGTAACTCACAGTCTTCAGGCAATGCAAGCATCAAAGCGATTTGGACTAACGATCAACACCAAGAAAACAGAAGTCCTAATTCAAGACACCAAAACACAAAGCTTGACCCTCGTGAAGTGCTCCTGAACGGTACCCCACTGACTGAGGTAGACAAGTTCACTTACCTGGGCAGTACCATTTCCAACAATGGAAGTATAGACGCAGAAATGACGAAGAGAAACCAATCTGCAACATCAGCCTTCGGAAAGTGTAGAAGCCGTCTGTGGGACCAGAGAGGAATCCATTTGAAGCCCAAATGAAAGTCTGTAGAGCCACTGTGATACCAACGCTTCTATACAGCTCTGAAACGTGGACTTTATACAGACGTCACATTAAGAGACTTGATAAAGTGCAGCAGCGACATCTCCGCCAATTAATGAAAATCTCACGGAAAGATCATATATCAAATTTTGAAGTACTGGAAAGGGCAGAAATGCCGAGTGTTGAAGGAATGGTTACCGCATGTCAACTTAGGTGGACAGGGCATATCATACGTATGGAAGACAGCAGACTTCCAAAAGCCGTGTTCTATGGAGAATTGAAAGAAGGAAGGTTCAAGGAGGGTTGGAGCACCACGATTGCGCTACAAAGACGTATTTAAGAGACATCTGAAGAATACCAACGAGTATGAAGACTGGAGAGGAAAGGTCAATAACCGTGGGACCTGGAGGAAGGTGATGGCCGGCGCTGCTGGTGCCATCAGGAGAAGAAACGTGCAACTATTGACCAACAAGAGGCTACGCAAGCTGGAACCAGAACCATCACCTACTGAGGCGGCCTACAAATGTGAAACTTGCAACAGCACCTTCAAGGCAGCAATTGGGCTGTCATCTCACTTGTGGCATGGGCACTAGCTCCTCCCCACGTCATCGTTATTATCGACGAACTGCTAAAGAAGAAGAAGACTAGAAACAACTTTATTGCCAACATAGATGTAAAGACTGTGAAAGACTTTATGTTATTAGTTTAGTGACAGATAACTGTAAACTAGTTATAAAAAGTTTGCACGGGTAATTTAGAAGAGTATTTAGCGTGACAGCGTGTTGATGTCATTCTGTTTTTTGCCTCAATGTAAAAAGGGACCACAGAGCGTAATACGAAATGAGGCCTAAAAAAGCTTTTAGGGGCTAGACATGCAAAGTGCAAAGCAAGATTATATACGTATTTTTTTACGCACAGTTTTGAAAATTATCGAGGAGGCTTAACCCCCCAGCCCCTGCATCCCCTAGACTTAATGGTTTAGTCTGTTGAGCAGCATTGCCCCTATGTCCCCTGGTGCACGTCATATTTCTAAATTCGATGTTTCATCAAGAAGGGTAGGGTGAATGGTTGCTTTCAGTTCTTTTTTAGAGAAGAGATGTTTGTCAAAAGAGTGTTCCAAAGTTTTCTAATAACAGGGGGGCCATGGCTCCCCACTTTTCTTGCTAACTATAGATATTAAATCCCCCTTTTAGGTATTAAATAGGTAGCCCCTTTTTTGCCCCGCCCTCACTTTAGAATCGGTGGCGCGGGCCCTGAATAGAAAGTTTATACCATCAAGAATGTACCCCAGCAGCTCTCTTCCTTTGTTATGTTGGAGGGTATTGCTAATTGCTTTCCTACTGTATGCTGGCAAGCTATGTCCACTTCTGCTTGGCAAATTTTCGCCCTCTTTCTTCCTATCAATGAGCTTCATTGCGCAAAAATGATGACAGAGAGGCAAAGTGAAATTGTCCATGTACGACCAATCGCCTATTGGTTCTCTGTACAGTTAATTTGTGATGCTCCTCTACGTGTTCTGTGTGTCAATTTTTTGCTTAATTCGCAGGGTAGCTAATATAATATTCCCCACAAGTCAAACATTTTGGAAAAGGACAATTTCATTTGCCATAGATAAGCAACACATAATTTTTGTGGTCAAGCACAAGCAAATGTCATTCTGCAAAATCTATTATTCTAATATATTTTCTAACCGTACTGACTTGCTTGATCAAGACTCGCTATTAGAAATTGATGAGGACGATTGTCTATTCATTTTCATAACAGGTTGTTCTCAAGAAAGATTTAAATATTTATGAAAAATGACTAAACAATTGTTTTATTATGAAGATAGAGAGGTAGGTGTCTCACATTAATTTTTAATCGCATTTTCAATGACTTTGTGTTCAGAATCTGGATTATCCACTTTACAGTTACTGGCAGTCAGGCCTTTTGACAGCCTGAAGCTTTATAAATTGATAAGCTACGATAATTTTCTTAACAATTCAAAATGTGCCACCTTAAAATCAATTTACGCCAATGCTTCTACATCTTCTTCCTTATAAGTTCGTCACTTTATTGGAAAATAGCAAGTAAGTATGTTTAAGCGATTTATTTGCATTTAAGCACATACAAACTTGTATTTATTTAGAACTGTTTTTGCGATTAGATTTTCTCAAGCCACTTAATCTCTAGTTTCTACAACAATTCAGTTTAAATGTTTTTCTTCAAGAGTGAATCTCATTATTTCTTAAAGTATTTTATGCTTTTTCTCAATAAGTCTAAATTGTCTGCTTAACGTCTCTTTGCAATGTACTCAAATCCTGTACAAACACCTATTGTTGATTATGCTAGCTGCAAGTTTAATATTTATCAAGAGGCATACCAATTATAAATACCAAGAGGCAAGTAGCATGGCATTCAGACGTAAAACTCGCGTCACTAGCATTAAACATTTAAATAGTCACCCCAGGACTGAGTTTATATTTTGTACCAACGAAGAGAAATTCAATTATCGTTGACAGAAAATCTTCGTCATTATAATGAAAAGGAAAACAAAGATGATATGCCAAAATCCAAAAAAGCATGGACAGCTTAAAAGGAAAACAAATCGGCACTACAGTTGCAAGCTTGCTCTACCAAAAATTTCCCTAATTTGAGATTAAAACTTTGCTAAAAGGTTAACTGCTTGTATGGGAAAATTGACACTGATCAAGACTTTTAAACTTAACACACAGGTACAAAGAATTACGTTGCACCTAAAGTAAAATTGTGGGAATTCCTTTCTGTAAAGCACATAATTTTTAATTTTGGCAGCACCTCTGGCTCTCTGGACCAAAGTTCCACCAAGTATACAGTATATCGAAGAAGGATCCAACGCCACTATTGCATGGGACTATGACTTGAATGGCGAAGTGATTCAGTTTGCTAAATGGGGGAAATTGAAATCCGACAATGGATGGGACAAGAGCTTTATAATGAGAAGTTTCAACGCAGCAAAAGCGCAAGTTGTTGCCAGCTTTGCTGATAAAATCAACTGGATAGCAAATGCAACGATGGTGATAATCAATGTCACGGTACAAGACAGTGGAATCTATGGGTGCTCTATAGATCTGCTTTCGGGGAGAAACATTATAAGCAGCATGCAACTCAATGTTTTCCGTAAGTGATTTCATGATGTAATGATTTGGTGACGATATTGATGAACAAGCTGATTCAAATATACTAGATTGCGCGCTGTACAATGAGATAGAAAATAGCGATGAATTTAAGTAAAGTTTACTAGGAATGAATATATAACGTAATATATTAATATATTTTTGTGTTAATTAATAAGCTATTATTTATTCCTAATACAATTTACTTGAATTCATAGTTATTTTAAGTTGATTAAAACGATTGTTATCAATAGTTTCATTAATGATTATGATTATGTGCAGGACTTTCCTATTCACAGGACTTGCTAAAGCTAGTGATGCAAACATGACCAATCACATATCAGTGAAACCAATAGAAGGCGGCCATTTGATACTGCACTTTGAGGCAGTGTCCAATTATCCACCATCTGGTGTCTGGTTTGCCAAAGACAACGAAGTAAAGTATTTCGCTAACACAAACTCAACACGCGAAATAATTGGAACAGAAGGAGCTAGCAATGTATACAGGTTTAAGCTGCTCAAGAGCAACATTCACAGAAATGACTCTGGTTTGTACCAAGGATATGTAACGTTTGGTGGTGCTAAGTACTGGTTCAAAAATTTCACAGTACTTGTAAGATGTAAGTCAACTTATCAATGTTGCGCTTTAAGAGCAAAACATGCTAAATCATTAACTGCTAAACAGCTTCAATTTGCATGTGGTGTTTTGATAAGAACGGAAACATAGAATTATGGCTTTTCTTATTACACATGGGTGAACGACATTTACTATTTTCGATTGAGAGAATCACCCTCCAAAATTCACTTCAAGGGAAGCATTTCACAAGAAAGTAGGAATTTAGCACCCATCATGACAAGTAATGGAAATCCAGCACTCTTCGGAACTAGACCCTTTTTTATAGAAATTTTACTCGATTTTAAAATGTCAAAAAGCTATTTAAGTTTTAATACATTGGAACTGATATTGCAAAATTATTTTTTTAAAAAGCAGAGTATAATATACGTTGTAGGTTTTTATGTGTTTATCTGTTTTCAAAACGACAATAAGCGTCAAAACTGAGGGGGGGGGGGGTTGCTTAGGGTAAAACTTATAGGCTTCTGAAGGGGCTACCAAACAATTATACTTATCTACTGTAGTAAGTATCTGAATTATATCTCACTATTCCCCCGAGATCTCAAGCTTTCCTTGTGAGTCAATTTACTGCTTAGAAACCTGAGACTTGCACGGATAAATGAGTAACTGCTTGAAACTTGAAATTTAGCTTTTCATCGTAGACTCGCCTGGTAATTCAACGGAATTCAGGACCAGTACAGGATCTACTATACTCCTACGTGGAACAACTGCAACATTGTCATGCAAGGCTGTCTCGTACCCAGATCCTCATTATGAGATAACAAAATCAATGACGTCATTGTCAAATAACTCTAATGGCAATTTTTCTCTGCGCAATATAGCAACGGAGCACGAAGGGATGTATTTTTGTCATGCAAAGAATGAAATTGGTGACGGTGCTGTTCGCTCTCTTAATGTAGAAGTTGGAGGTGAGTGGCAAGGCTCGTGTTTAGGAAAGAAGTTCAAAGTACATGAGCAAGATCAGAAACCAAGTATAAATTTGTTAAACTGAAGATATAGAAATCTGTCAAATTCTCTTGCCTTTTCAATTTCATATTGAATGATATTCAAGACATAATATTAAAAAAAATTTTCTGAGCATGTAAAAGTTTGAGGCCAACAGTTTAATTGTTCTTTAATGGTTAAGATCAAGCATCCAAAATCCAGGGTAACGCATCGATACTTCTGAAAACACAGCGTCATTTTCTTATTTGCTCTCTTATTGCAGTATGGAAAAATATTAGTGTTGTAGCGGTAATACGGTAAAAAAACCAGGAAATTTGTCAATGATGGAGACCCTGGATGAGGAAGATATCAATGATGGGGAGTCTTCGTCATTTAGTCTCAGAAGTATAGTTCGAAACTAGTCACTGAAATATTTTTTTGAGCGAGGATTTTTAGTAGTGTACAATACTTTATCCCGGATTCATGAGGGCCTGGTACCCAGGATAGCCATTTTTGGGATTCCTGTCATATATATGTACAGTTAATACACAACCTGAATAAGGTGGCTTTGAAATTTTGATGAAATTGAATGTGAAAACACTTTTCCTTGGGTAAAAATCCATCGCCATAATTGCAATGTGGGTTTAGTGAAGGGAGATATTCAAGATTTTGCAGACTTTCCAACCGTTCTTTTACTTTTTTTTGTTTTCAGATGTTCCACAAATCACAAATAGTGCAAAGAAACATCATTACATCCCTGTAGGAGATACATTGTTAATAAACTGCACAGCAATAGCTTGGCCTGTGGCAACAATGATGTGGATCAAAGATGGTACTCCTATACACGCAACTAGGAACGTAACATTGAATAAAAAGACGACTGTTAGTCGCGTTGAAATTGTTAACACGACTTTGTCAGATGCGGGGAACTGGACTTGCATTTCAGAGAATATGTTTGGAAGAGAGCTAGTTCATCAAAGAATTGAAATTATTTGTGAGTACACACTTTTTATACAAAATATAGTAAATAAGAATAATAAAGCTCCAAATCGCTGGAATTTAAAAATAGTATAAGAATAATGCAAGGCTCAAGCATTATAAATACTAAGAATTCTATCTCTTCTCTGCATGTGTTCGTATGAAAACATAAAAAAGAGACAAAATATAGGAAAGGAGTAGCAAAAACTGGGAAGCATCTATGACATATAATTCTATTGCTTCAACTACATCACGCTAGCATCTTTGCAAAAATCAATTATTACTATCATTATTGGTTGAATATTGAATCTCCAGCGTTACCCACAACGTATCGCAATTCTTTCATCAATTAATTCTATTCTTTATTTATTTAAAGGGATGGTCGAAATGGAAAACAAAAGCACACATTATTTAACACCTAGAGAATCTTCTAGCTTCTTCATTCAATATGACGTGAAGTCTAACCTGAGGCCGAAGGTTGTCTGGACACGTGACAGTGTACCCATCTCAGGTGAATTCAACGTGACAATGGAAATCTTGAAAGAAGAAGCAAATCTAACACACTATAGATTTTCTTTAATGAAGAACAACGTGCGTCCAACAGACAGTGGTGTTTATAATGCCATCATTTCATACGGGGATCACAAATACCGCTCAAGAAATTATAACATATCTGTCGAAGGTATGTATCTAGAACTTGGAAAGCCATGATGATATAAGCAAGTAGCATCTAATTTAGGGTCACAGATGAAAAGCCCCAGACTTCAGAGCCAAAAAGGGACCTTTATGTTAAGAAGGAAGCAAAATCATTTTCATCATCTCCTGGAAGCTTTAGGACACATGGCCTAGGTATTACGATAATGGTAATATTATTGAATTTGCAGATATTCATACAGTCACAGCGTAATATTCATGCATGCTCAAATATTGCTGATAGGTTGTTAACGCTGCAACTCTTTGACTGCTTTACTAACTATAATGTCATTTCATTCCAGCCATTCCGAGGAGCGATGCAATTAAGAGAGGTAAGAAGGTCCCGAAGACCACTTTCCAATGTAGTGATGTCTTTAGTTTCTAAATACCATTATTACAAATCATGCAAACTTGCATGAGAGATAAGTTTATAGCCCAAACATCTGCAATTCTAAAACTCTGAATGCATTTACACTTTTGAAACAAGTATAACAGTGAATACAGTGGGGGCCACCAGGGGGTTACCGTAGAAAGCCCTTTTGATATTTCAGTGGCAGTTTCACCATCATAGAATCATGGCACGGACAAAGCACTGACAAAAGCATGCACTGAATTTATTTTCACAGCATATTGATAAACGTTCATTAACTTCGAATTTTAGAGAAAGATGATGACGCATGGGTGATACCACTTATCATTGGATTCGCTGGCTTGATACTGCTTATATTCGCTGTATTTTGCGGAACAGTTTATGGTCGAAGGTAACGCTTTTCTGATACTTCTAGACTGATTTCTTAAGTGCTTTGTAATTGAAGACCTTACACAAAAACATGCCAGGGGTTGGGTCCAAAGCAAAGCATTGAGAGATATTTGGCATTGGCATTCAAGTTTGTGTATTAGTGATTAATAGCTGCAGTACAAGTCTGTTGATGACAACAAATCTAAGTTATGATATAAACGAGTACACAGTTAGTTTCAAAAATAATTATCTTTTTCACTGCGTAGCAAAATTCCCTGTTGAATTTCAAAAGCTGCTTATGCACTCCCCACATTTACTGTCTCGTTTATGAATACGGGTTTTCATAATAAGCATTTTTTGCAGGAAATAACAGCTTATGACAAAAAATTGATGCCTTATCATAGAAAACAGATCATAAAGCAGGAGAAGAGCAATATCTTTCAGAATTGCCACGTGTTCAAGATATTAATTATCATACTTGACAATTTCACTTTAAAGTAGAAAGAAAAATAATAGATACGTCAGATACCTTTTCAAACAAAAAGAGAAAATTTAAAGGTTGCTTTACGAGACTTAAACAACTTTTATAAGAGTTATTATCCGTATGGGATTATCTAGGTGCCTAAGGTGAAAGGCGGATCAAGATAGTTCGCCATTCAATCCAATATTTTACCAGAGATGCATAGATATTTCGTATTGTCGGATTCCTACATGAAAGAGACAAGCACAGACGTAGGAGCTTAGGGGCATAAGGGTCTTAAGGGCAAGCGTCTCCACTCTTCTAAAACAGAGGCAAAGTACATATTTGCTTGCAGGTCACTTAGGCGCCCCTTTTTGCCTTCATTTGCCGCTCCTCCCTTTCCAATGTTCCATTATCTATGGAAGAGAAGGAGGTAATTTTTACCAGCAAGAGTATATGATGAATTTCATTCTGTAATTGCTGTATTTTTGTTTAGAATCAGAGATTATGACCGAGAAAGAACACCCCGAAATGGCATGGTACCAAATGCAGAAGAAACAGGAGCATTCAGCGCAGTAAGAGTAGCCGACGGCGATTCTAAAGAGGTGAAATTTAAGAAGAAAAATGATGGTAATGGGGAAGAGCTCGGACAAACAAATAATGGGTTTCACAGGGACAGCATTTATCGTTTCACTGTCAATCCAATGTTTTCAAGCCCAGAGGCAAGACAAGAAAATGCAAGAAGTGAAGATGAGGACGGGCGTTTACCTATATCAAATGCTATATATCTTCCAACAAATATGAGTAAGTTGCCTATTATTAACATTTTCACATCAATCTTACTTTCTCACATCATTCAGTACTGTTTGTAACGAATATAGCTGTAACGGGAACCCTATTGAAAAAGGGGATATTCCTGAATCATAAAAGAGCATTGAAAACTTGATCAACGAAATGTGCTCTGTGCTTCGATTTTGGGGTTGTGCCACTGTGCACAGAAAAAAACTATCAATTTTTTGCACAGCAAAAATTATACATCATTGTCACTAAGCTTGTTTTCCTTTCAACCCAACGTTATTCTTGTTTGATGTTCGAGGGACTAATGTTTTTGACTTAGGGACTAAGGGACTAAGTTTGGTGTATTTACCCTACTTGCCAATAACCCTAATAGGTGTACTACAACCCAATGCAGTGCTCAATGGTCTTGTTTTTCCTGTAAAAGTCCTGTCATTGTCAATCGCTTTCTTATGCAGATTACGATACTGACGAAGCATCAATAACGCTTGAGAGTGAACTTAGCAGGGAAGAAAATTACTTGTCTTCACCAGCAGAAACAAACGATGAGCAGGAGGCTGATGGACAGGAACCCCGAGAAGAAGCTTCATTGGAAGACACGACGGAAGATGATGAATTGGCAAACAACGAAACATGGGAACTGGAACAGTTGGGACTTGATGACCTTGGAGCTCAGGATGTAGAGGTGCTTGAGGAAGAAATACAGGCTCAGGAAAATGAGGTGGTGGAAGAACAAGACATTGACCAAGGAAAAGATGATACAGACATGCCTAGTAAAAGCTTCATCTTGCCACCTATTGTTAGTCAAAAGCAGGCACCAGATGAGGTGGCTTATTCTTTTGAACTCTTTGATTTTCGAACGAGTGGCTTATAGGAGAGCGGTCCACACTTATAGGAGAGCGGAGTAACTGGTCCAAACTTGCAACGTTAGTGTTTAGTGAAGGAAAGCCAGAATCAGATGCCCTAAGAATGGAAGTTGGCATTGTTTTCTCAGGTTTCATGAGTGAAATAGGTAGCTAAGGACGTCATAGGGGAATTTATGATGATACAAAGCTTCCATTCAAACAAGAAATATTACTAACTATCTTCTAGCTTCAAAATCAATTCTTAGATACATGCAAGCAAAGGTTTCAAAACTCTGTTATATTAGAAAATTGCTCTTAGTAGGTTTTTTAGTTTTGGTAGTGTAACTTGCAAATTTCGTTCCTAGGTTTCTTAACTTCTCTCATGTCTAAAGTCCTTAGTATAAAGCTTTTAAAGTAAATTATTTTTAGGGTTTTGGGAATTTTAAAACAACATCACGGGAAAGCTGAAGTAGCTAAACAGAAGCAGCAGCTTAAGTTCTCATTTGCCTCCTATCCTTTTTAAAAAAAGAGTCACAAAGTGCAATTTTGCTAGTTATTTTTCTAAGTCAAAAATACCATGCTATCATTTCTAACTTAAAACAGTCTCAGCCTCGCTGTATGTTCACTGGCTGGGTCTGTACTATGCCTCCTTTTATCGTGTCCTTATTAAGTGTGAGGGTAAAAATTATATTGTATGAAGTTGTCTTTTTACATCCATTGGTGTTTCGAGCAAAGATCCTAATTTGAAAATATAGAGCCATAGCTGTAATTTGCACCAAATAAGAGGTAATTTTAGCTGTAACTTTTTTATTTAACTATATTTGTGTACCTGTCTTGCACATTGTTTGTTGTGCGCAAAAAGTTTGGATAAAATCCAACAACCTATATATTTATGTAAAATTTTCAGGCAGTGTATGGATGACTTTTCTATTTTGAAATCCTTAACTTCGAAAGGGTTGTGTTATAGAAAGTTTTAGCGTGTTTAAAACAATTGCTTATGACCAATCTGGGATGTCTTTGTATAATGCTAATGCTTTGGAGTGTACGGTTTTAATATCGTGTTCCTGGGGTTGATGTTGTGAGACACCCTATAAACCCATTCCAAGGTACCATTAAAATCATCAGCTAATGGAAAAAATTGCATAATGGACAGGAATTTCAAGTATCTAAACCTGATTCTTTTTAGCGTGCTCCTCCATTTGAAACTGTATCCCTCCGTCCATGTAGTGTCCAACTACAGCAAACCGGGGTAAGATTTTAGAAGTCTTGTCTCAAGTCCTCAGCAAAAGAGCACTTATTTCTGTATGTTTGTTTCCGTGAACAATACTAGGGCTACCTTAACTTGATTCTCACCTGACACTCTCCCATGACAATCAAAACAGATACATTGCATTAAAACAGGAATCTATTGTTTTTCTGCCTTGAGTGTCACACCAAAATCAGGTAAATTCTGTGTGTACCCCAGTCAATTTGTGACACGTACATTAGAGCTGACAAAAAGTAGGACTTTAAAAGCACGTGAGATTCTTGAACCAAAAAAATTCCAATGCTAAAAAGAGCATTTCGACCGAGGCGTGTTCTTCACTCAAAGGTTGTGAACTGGAAGAGAAGGATTCGATTTAGGCCGTGCAAAACATCAAAATATCCTTCGCTGTGCAGCTCAATCACATGGCTTAGAACCTGGTTTTGAAAGATAAGGTAACACAGAACTTTATATTATAGTTGTCAGTAAATTCACTTTTCAGTTTAAAGCATTTATGTCTTGGAGCTTTTGCGAATAATAATATCACCGGAACAAATTATCCTCAAATGTGACAGCAATATAATCTTATGCTTGCTTATGTATCGTTGAAGATTTATGCTTGACTTAATTTCCTATTGTATCTAATTTGTATCTTGTACCTAATTTATCTGTGGAGACCCAAATGCAGCGTGGCATCATAGTTTAGGGGGCAAATCATGCTCAACACGACAAAGGAATTTTCTTATAAAAGGACACGCTAGTTTCTGCAATAAACCTTGTTGTGGCCAAGCAAAACAAAATTTTCTCTATGACTTTCTCACTCTGCCTTAACCTTTTCAATGCTAGATGTTTTGGTTACAGTAATATCGACACAAACTGGGTAACAATACTTCAGTTTCTTTTAAACGTTTGCATATTATAAGGCCACATAAGATGGCTGATGGCGGTGGGGATGAGCGGTGAGGCAAGACTCTCCAAGAATAGCATGCCACAAAGCAACGAGTTACTTTGAGTTACTTTTGAGCCACTTTTTTCATTACAATTTGCAATTTGAAGCGAAGTAATTCAATTTCGGGAAACGTCGTTTATAAATGCACGTTGGTCGAGAAGACATTCTTCTTGTTGTTGCTTTGTTATTAAGTTCCAAGAAACAATACTTTTGTCAGAAAATCTCTAATGTATACAAACGATGTATTTGTTGTAACACATAGTAATGTACAGGGTGTCCACATTGTAATGATGTGTTCACTCTTTAAATAGTTTAGAAAGTAGTTAAGAGATGTGTGGGATGCTTTAAAAAATTCGAAAAAGACTTTCACAAAAACATCTCAAAATATGACGGAAAGAAGTAGACACTTTTCTGCTTTTTGGTATTAACAGAGGGCTAAGCAGTACTATACTTCTGGGAAAGAGCAGCCCAAATATTTTCAGAGCGAACACGTGTCGAGGATGAGATGAACAAGACAGTAATGACTTGTGTCTATACCTTATTCTAGCCCGCCTCATTAAATTGTATTTTATAAGCAAGTCTGTTCTTACATGTTTCAAGGGTATATGTAGATTCATTTAACGTAGTTAAAAGCCGTCACGTCTTCCGTTCTGCTCAGAAAGGGTGCATGTTCTATGAAACAGTTTACGTCTCCATGCCCCATGCTTTCTCCCGAGTGCCTGTGATCACTCACTTCGCTTCCTTAATTTTCTTGCTCGTGAATCTAATGATTTTTCCTAGGTTCTACAGAAACAAAAAAGATGGCAGCCCTAAAGGTTGCGATGGTGACCACACTGGCTTGTTACCTTATGCTGACTTACGTGCATAGTGCACCACGGATTCGTGAAAACGAAAAAGCGTTGATCAACACCGGATTCGATGCAGGCCTGCAAATTGCAGATTTCGTTAAATTGCTTGGAGATCCAAAAACGTCAAAGTTTTTCAAAAAAGTTGGCCAGATGGCTAAATTTCTTGGCGCTGCTGGCGGCTATGTGTCCTTAATTCTTACGTTTATTCCGTCAGGGGAATCAGAAGAAATGATGCACATGAAAACTCAGTTTGCGCTTGTAAACACAAAGCTAGACAAGGTAACATCGGAGCTGAACAAGATTGAAGGGCTTATCAAATACGAAAATCAAAGAGCAGCGTACCTTTCATCTGCACATGCAATACTTTATGGCCATAAACAGTTATTTGGTTTCTTTGATGAAGTTCAGCGCACCAAATGCAGCAATGTCATGTGTCCTAGAATACGAAGCAGAATTGCTCAACGATACATAAAATCACTTGACGTCAAACTTCATTTAGACAAGATTCTACACGGCACAGCTAGAAAGACCTCGGTTTTTGGCGATCAGTTGCTTTTGATGGTAAAGGAAACATTTCAATGTGACTTTTCAAAAATAAATCAGTTCACAAACGGGGTATTGAAGCTTGCATTCAAGGGGCAGCAAGTCATCCTGGCGTATGAGAAATTAACAGGAAGTAAGCATAGTGTCACTCGAAGCGTGATTGATTGGCTAAAGAACATCTACGAGCTAAGAAGTTCTTCACTCAAAGTAAAACATCAGTGTTTTAGGAACATAAAGACCCAGCTAATCCACGATATACGGAAAAATGATTATCAGATTGGTTCGAGTACTAATGCCATCGCGAATGCAAAAGTCAAACGGTTTTTAGAAGGAAAGTATCCTTGGATGGACATCGTGGCATTTTCATACAAGGCCTATGGAGCAAACGAACAATGCACAGCTAACACTTACGGACCATTTTGGTCCATGCCAAGTAGCGAAAAATCGCGAAAGAGGATGCTCATTGTCAACTTTATTGATAAAAATGGTGCATATGATCAACAGAAGTATAGAGTCATGGATGCTTTAGATAGGATCGTGCAGCATACGGATTTTTCTGATGAAAGAAGCAACTATTGCAAAGTACTGAATAAGATAAAAAAGGAAATGAAAAATATGGGAGTTTGGAGATGGGTGCTAACTGCAACTGTGGCAAAAAGTCTTTCAGGATTTGCTATTAAAGGAGAGAACAATAAGCAGATTATACGAAGAAGATACAGCTTGTACTTTCGCTATGGTGCGAAAGGAATGCGCAGAGGTCCAAGACACAAGCTTACAGTTGATATTGTTATAATTTTGAAATCCAATGAACAAGCTGGAGGAAAAGGATGTATTTTACAATGCCAGAACAATGGGCAGTGTAGAAAGTACCCGTATTCGGGTTGGCAATACTGCGAATGCAAACCATTCTACCAAGGACAGCACTGTGAAGAATACAGTGAGACAGATTTGGCCAAAACAATTGATGCAATGATGGAAGTCACCTTTAAGTTACCTGTTCTAACGGACATAAGTTTTGGAATCAGTGATCTAAGGGATTTTGTTGGGGCCAGTTTTGTCAACATGCAAAGGGGCATCAGCCTTTTGGAAGCTGGGATCCAAAGCAAATTTGACATGTTGTCGAGCAGCATAGCAAACGGTTTTAAATGGGCAAGGTTAGTCTCTCAATATGCGAGGTACATACAAACTATAGAATATTTTAACCATCGTTTCGAGGAGCTTCCAAAAGAGTACAATGACAAAAAGAAGTTAGAAGAAGCAGGCAAGAGACTGGCTGAAGAAGTACTTCATGTTTCTCGTGGCATTGGTAAAGCCTTGTTCTATCTCAATCAATTATTTGTTGGAAAAAAAGGCAAACCATTGTTAAGTCATCGACCTTTGCTGTTAGTATTCATGGAACAAAAAGACCTTTCTGGGGAACCTTGCAATCAGAAGTACAAACAGGCAATTGACAACTATAGGCGAAAGTTGATTTTATTGCAGCAAATTGGTTATATGGTTTGGGCGCAAGCCTTTGCATTCGCAGGAAAAAAAACTGCAATTGTGAGCAACATTTACCGAATGCGGTTGAAACTGCAAGAAGATACTATAAAAAATGCGACTTGCCAATACGTCATTAACAACTCATTAAACGTGCAATGTAAAGGACACTATTTGCATCCTGGGATGGCTCTTATTAACAGGTGCAAAAAGAACTACTTTGTTACAGGCGCGTTTAAAACATCTTGCACAGCAAAGACATCTAATTGTAGTCGTTGTCAATGCTACCAGCCAGGGTCTATCACTATGCAGTGCGAGAATATAAGTGGAAAGTGCAGATGCAAGGAACTGTTTTATGGCCTAGGCTGCACAAATAGAGACTGTGTTTGGGGAAACTGGTCAAATTATGGATTGTGTTCAAGCTGTGGATACGGAGCAATAAAGAACCGAACACGCGAGGTAAATATTACCGCTCTCGGCGATGGCATAACTTGTAAAGGGGCACATATTTCTAACTCAACTTGCTTTACAGGCTGCTGCAAAAATCAATTTCACTGTAAAAGAACGAAGAAATGCATACAAAGTAGTTTCAAGTGTAACTATGACAGCAATTGCGGAGATGGGACAGATGAGCTGAATTGCAAAGAGCGCTGCAAGACTTATTACACTTGGCCTCCCTTATATATTGGCTATCCAGATGGTGTATACAATTTGTATAATGAACGTCCAAAGTGTAAGGCAGGTTCGGTTTTAAAGGCGTTCGGATTGCAAAAATTACATGGCCGGAAAAAAGTCCGGGTCCGGTACAGGTATATATGCTGCAAGCTTAACAAGAATATTTGTCATAACCGTGGAAAATATAGCAAATTTACCAATGCCGACACCACTACATCTACAAAACGCCTTAGTGAGCTGACAGTTGAGTGTCCTGGCTCATCCTACCTGTCAACCTTTGCTCTTCAGTCTAACAAGGGCCTCACAAAAATGCGATACTCCTACCAGTGCTGTATGTTGCTGAGTGCTAATCACAAGAAAAGGTCACGTTGCTACACAGATTTCACTGCCTGGACAGGAGACGGACGTGGAAACGTATTGTTTTTGGATAGCCAGTATGTGAATTGCAGGGCGAGGTATTTCTTAAATCATTTCAGACTTGAACGTAAGGGAGGCTGGTGGTTCGCTAAAGGGTACATAAGATACCGTTATCGGTGTTGTAGAATTTATCTTTAGTTAAAATGAGGTGACTGAATTTTCATGTTGAACAATGAAATAGACTTGTGTGGCTGGTGAAACGCATCTGGTAAGTGATAGCTCCACTATCTTTAATTATGCCATTTGCCAAGCATAAAGCAAAAGAACCACTTCTGTTTGATGGTATTCTGTTGCTTGCCCATTGCTGTTTGTTAATAGAAATTTTAACCCCTTTTGATACCCACAGAGAGATGGGGCAGGGTCAGATTGACCCAGGGCCCAAACTGAGAGGGGCCCAAAATCAAAAATGGTTTTGCGACATTCTTGAATACGACAAAGTACTTTTCTGATAAAGCTTTTCAGTTAATTGGTAATGGTAGCGGCTTTGTAATAATAGTAACAACAAAAATCACAGTTTTAAAAAAGCAGTTACTAGCTCGATCTTGTTTGCCCAAGGCCATACAATATAAGTTATATATAGAAATCACTGATCGGTAATATAAATCTATCTATTGTTATGCTGTTTGTCCCCTCTTTGCTCTTTTTGTCCTAGCAAACTTATCAACAAGCATCGAGCTTCAAAACTTCTGGATAGTCTTCCTTGGCTAAAAGAACGTTTAGTAGATAGCACACCCCCTGTTTGGTTGGCGAATGGTATAAATAATTACTTTTCTGTTGGCCAAAATTGTATCATAATATGGTATTATAAACTCGGGAATTGCCGTGGTAGTTTGATTAGCAATACTGTACACAACATGGGCCACTGTGTTTTTTTTATAGAGAAGATACACTGTTATTTTGCTACCGGTGGTGGCTGAACCCATTTAAAGATTATCAGGGGTCTAGCCCCAAACCCCCCCATACTTTGCACCTATGCCAGATAAAATCAATGAACGCTATGATCAGTGAAATCGCTCCCATATTCCTTTAGATTCCATCCTTGATCTTCTACAAAACTGCACTTCTAAGAATTCCTTTCATTTTGTTGAAACCTTCGACGACGAATTCATATTTTATTCAGTACTTGGATTATAAAATTTTGAGTTTTATTGTTTTGTAGAATTTTTACCGATTTTCAAAATGTTGAGTTAATCAATAATTATAGATATTTTCAATGAATTTGGGAATTGTTCTCGAACTGCAAGTACTTTTTTCTCCTGTCTGTACATTCCATCAGTGGTCACCTGACTTGAGAAGTCAGGTCAGTCATTTGCAGAGTTCAAAATGGCGGATGTTTCTGTTCCTACACCACCACCACCACCACCACCACCACCGCCGCCTCTAGGGAATGCTGTGGATCAACCAAGTTTACTCGGTGATTCAATATTACCAGCTAATCAAAGTGGCACATCTTTGTTATCTTTGGCTCCATCAGAAAGTAGCACGACCAGTAGTACGACCAGTGAAGATGGCCCAGGGAAGAGAGCTGCCTCTATCGACGAGATACGGGGCAATGCTAGGAAGTGGTCTCTTGCAGGGGATGCAGGGGTACGAGAATTTCTCCGAAGCTTTCACTGTTTTTTACTTAAAATATTGGCTTTGTTTCATTTCCATTGGCAATATTAATTATTTCAGGCACGTCAGAGGAAAAGGATAAAAGATTCTTAGAATCAATTTACTTTGATACAATAGGAAGTTTCTAGGAAGAAGCTTGAAATCAGTTTTGCAAGAAATACTTAATGAAAGTGGATTATATTTTGATCTGACAGAAGACTGATATTTGAAACAATTGAAAATAAAGCATAAAACTGTTTCAACTTGAGTTGTTTGAAGACCAGAAATATGTCATTACTGGTAATGCAATAACCTTGATTGCCTAGCAGTAATAGACGTGAATCAATCCAATTTTTAGCAGTGCCTTAACTCTCTAAGTTACTGTCAGTTCCCTAGCTGATGTACTTGAGGCTCTTACCTGGCTGTAGAGAAACAAATTGTGCATTTCTTATAAAGATTTAATTCCTTTTTCCAGATCCTTTTATACTTCAAACAGTTTTCCCAGAACATGTTGCGCAGAACTCATGAGCTTGAAAAAGTGGTTGACAGTCTTTCTTTTGAAACAAAGGTGATCAAATTTTTTACTCTATATCATTGTAGGATGCATTTTAACATACAAACTAGACTAATCTATCTAAGAGGCACATCTTTTGCCCCCAAGCTAGGTATCTGCTTTTGCCAATTGTAGGCACCAATTAGATTAAAGTTTCTACTTCAAGAAATTCATCTCTAGTTTTTTATGCAGAGGATAGACTATATTTTTTAGCTCATATCAAATAAAGGATTTCACCTAGATAATATTTTCAATATAATTTTGAAGATCAGTCAGGTCAAAAACACATATATCAGGAATTAACTAGCATATGTTAACAAAGATGAAAAATATCTTACAAGGTTTGCAAAAAATGAAGTCACTTTAAATGCAAATACTTTTCAGTTCCCCTTTTGTGTCTTTCGTGTTATTTGCTTACTAAAATAAGTTGATCATGTTTTTTGATGACTAAGTTTCTAGGTTTGAAGGATATCATATGGCCTGGTGATAGGATAAGCAGACAGAAGCTTTAGGTTTTGGGTTATAAATCCCTTGTAAATATATAATACTATTGAAAGTCAAATCTTTAAGATATCAATTGGAGGTAAAAGTCAAGGCATAAAAACATATTGTAATCCAAAATATTGATTTTTGTTGTCTTTGAGGGTCTCATTGTCAATGTCTCATTTATCCAAGATTTTTTTATTGCTGCATGTGCCACCAATCATGGGTCATATGATTTTCTGTTCTATCTTATTTCTAAGCCTTGTTACAAAGAAAAATTTTGCATGTTAGGGTGGATACTTATTTAAGGCAGGCCTTGTGAGGAGCAAAAAGCAGGTGCATGAAGAACTGAGCACCGTCAACTTTATAGGCACTCAATTGAGCATCATTAATATCATCAAAAACAAAATTTTGTTTTTTTCGCCTTAAATTTTTAGAAATCATAAACATGCTAGGTGCTTGATTAATCAAGCTCCTAGAACTTCAATGTTGTTCCCTTCAATGGCTCTTAAAAACAGATGCAATGTATTCAGTAATATCCTTGCGTGTTAATTTTTCAAAGAAAAGTCATTGCATGTTAATTTGTCAAAGAAAAGTCCAATGTATCAAATAACCTTATTTTTGATATTTTTTTCAGGGACTTGACTCCAAAGTTCACAACACATTTAATGATTTTTTGATGTTGTCAAATAGGCAGTTTATAGAAAATGTAAGTTGTATTTTGTTTTATTATTCTTGTTCCACTTCCTTTAGAATAAAAGAAAATGTATTGCATGCCTGCTAAAATGTAGCCAACAGTTGAATAATTTGCAGAAGTAGCTGGCAATTTTTTTATCATCTTGGAGGCATTTCTTGGCTTTCTATAAAATATATAATGTTTTGTTATATCTTATAGAGAGTTTATGATGAGGAAATATCTCAGGATGAAGCAGTTGAGAAAGAGCCCCAGCAACCTCAGGTAATTGCAAAAGACTTAGTTTGGTAAATTGCTTTTATCAAGGGGACCGAAAACTATATATCTTTATGTCAATTTGCATTCTTGAGTTGTTTTGTTTAAATTTGGCTTTCCTCTATGAGCATTGTTCTAATGCGTAGTGACTGCATGTGTTGTTCCAGCTTGTAATGAGTGGCACTCGAGCTTGATCAAATGCCTCCACATGCACCTAGATAGTTCCAGGATTTTGATCAATCAAGCACCTTAGTAAACTTACAGTCAATCAAGCACCACAGTTTCAGCTGAATTTATTGCTAAAGGTCGAACCAACATGTCTCCATTTTCCAACTGCCACGGAACAATTAGACTAGTAAGTTTCGAACTGAGCTATGTGTTTTTCAAGGTGCTTAACTAAGAGCCTACAGAGCTAACCATTGCCTGCTGCTTTGCTTAAATCTATTTATCTATTTAGACCCTTGCCATTATCTCTTAATACGTAGAGTAAAAGTAGAGAGCAACTTGAAGCAGAAATCCTCCCCAGATTTAGCCAGGCAGTAAATCTTGGATTCCAAGTTTTGGACGATGCCTTCATTACTGTAGAACTGAAGCCAACAGAAGGTTTGTGTTTTTATTTTTCTTGTTATACCTTGAAGAATTTTATTAAAAAATTGAAGTTATGTTTATTGAAGTTTTCATTGCAAGTTGGTAGAGGAGAGTTTTTACTGGTAATCACTGGCAGAAGGTTACAAATTCTATTTTATTTGTTGAAAAGTCTCTTTTCTTCCATATTGAGCCTTTCAAAGAAGCAATTTTTTAATTATAAGATTAGTTACAATTACTGTTTACTGGTCTGTCATGAAGTGCTGCATGCTGTATAGGCAGAACTGTACAGTTACTTGACAAACGACAAACATGAAAATCAAAGTAACAACTTAGAACCATCCTGTTTTGTAAACCCAGATTATCTTTATGTGTATTCGAATGCATTGACAGTAAATTTTGTTGTGAAGAATAAACCATTTTGCAAATTCAAGGCCAGTAAGTTTGAAAATTGCAGAAAAGTTTAGAAAATAACAGTTTAGTGAATGTGATTGAATGCTATATTATTTTTGCACTTATCTTTCAGTGCCTCTGTTTGTTTCTTTGAGAATTTTTGATTTGTCTCTTTTTTACATTGATAATCTTAGAGTCAGATGAGGAAGACGAGGAAAGTTTACCAGCAGGATATGTCCCTGATCCAATCATTGAACCCAAGGTATCACTCACAGCTTCAAGAATAATTTCTTAATGTCAAAGTTTGAAAGATGAAGCTTCATTTAACAACCATGTCACTATATCTGGCTATCTTCAGAGGATATAAAACTTTATTAATGTATTAGAAAAAGATTTTTACGATCTAATAGTCAATAGAAGGTGATTCTTAGTTCACTTAATCTACATTTGTAGGGACATTTTTAAGGAAGTGTATTCTGCTGAAGCACAACACTCGAGAATACACTAGAATCCTTCCATTGCAAACCTCACTAATTTCAAACTTCTTGTCATTATGACAAAACCTCACTAAAAATCCCCCAATATTGCAAACTTCTTCTTGATAACTACAGATCACTTTGTAGTGGGTTCTTACTGTACAGGCAAACACAAGGAGGTATACATGCAAGCAGCAGAATTAAACATGATTGACTTTAAAGAGGCACTTATCCAAATTTTTTGCAGCCGAAGATTTGAACGATAATTTATGAGCCAAGTTCGTTTGTTTGTACTCACTGTGGAAGTAAAGTTTCGAAAAATGGGAAATACATTTTCGATATCCCACTTCTTTTCTGGTCTGCTTCGCGGAAACAAAGGGTTCGATATCATCTAGCAGTTCTCGGTTGGGGTTTGTTGCCCCAGCTGGTTCAATCGATGGCCGTCGTTTTTTTCTTCGCTTGTAAAGGTAGATGGAGGATGCGATGGACCATTCTAGTGGAGGGGAAGTAAAAGAAAAAACGGCTTCGGTGTTTGTCGTCGGTATAAACGAGTAAATCTTGTACCTTTGTTATGACACGCTCGCATACTCGCACCATTCCTTGCATCATTTTTTGCACCATTTTTCGCATCATTTCTCGCACCATCTGTAATCACCGTAATCGGCTTTCACCGTAATTATACCCCCATATTTCTGCCCCGGTCTCGTTTGACACAAAAAATTTTGTTCCCACAAAGCACATAATCTCTACATAGACCAACCTCCATGCATTCGGGAAATCACTTAATGATAACAATTTTTTGCGTTAGTGCCTCTTTAAAAGTTATAGAAATAGCTTTGCCTTAAATGGACCATTTTTTTAAGTTCTTCTGTCATTATAATGCAAAACCATTCCACTTTTACAGGACATGTATGCGTCTCGTCCCCTTCCACATCTAATTGGAACTGCTGAATTCTTTAGTGATGAAACTTTAGGACTTATCGAAATTGATGGTAAGAATGTTTTTTTTGAGTTACAGAGAAACTATAAATAACAGTCACATTCAAAACAAATATCCTGTAGTTGAAGTCTTGTACGAGAAACCTCAAGACAACTGACGTCATTCTGCAATGGACAGTCAATCTCGTTTCCCAAGTGCCCTCTATACAAGCTTTCGCAGCAGTACTATTTAGGCTGCTTATTGGCATTTACGAACATATCAAATCTAGCTGAATATACCGTTATTAAGATTACAGTGTAAACAATGATTTCACGATACCATCTTTCCTTTTACTTTTCTGAGTCCATTATAAGTGTCGCTTTTTATGTACATGTCGCAGCTAACCAGTTCTACTTTCTTCAAGTAAATGGAATCAAATCTATTTTCCTGCATGCTTTCCTGCGAAATTTTAATTTTTCTTACCGACATGCAGTTTTGTGCAATACTGAATGAAAATTTGTAGCTTCTCATATCTTTGACTTGACGACTATATAGTGTTGTATTTCAAAAGAATGAAATTGAATAATATGCATGCTAAAAGTTCAATATTCTTTCACTTTGTCAAGATACATATCTTATACTAAATTTTTATTTTGTAGAAAATAACAGTGTAGTCTTGGTTCATTAATATATCATATTACATCATGTGTGTTTATTGCAAATCATGTGTGAATATCTTTAGACGAAGAGGAAGAAAAGAAGAATGACGAAGATGATGATGATGTGTCAGAATCAGAAAGTGAATCTGAAGAAGAGGAATCTGACGTAAGCATTTTCTAGTTTATTCTTGTTTTCTTTTTGAACTTGAACAACTCCCCATTTATGGTGTTAGTCTAAATCTGCATTGAACGAGTTTTTTTGCTTTTAAATGGTAGCTTTCTTATAAGGAGATATTCAACTTAAGTTAATGCATTTTTAAACTTCACCCTCCCCTAAACTCTTGAAGAATTCTAGCGGTCTTCTAAAGGGCTGTTATATGATTTGTGGGACACTTCTGAAAAGGTTTTGCGGGGATCTACGCTGTTCTGACTGACAATTCCCACGTATAGGCCTATTTCCCCGACAAAGTATTGAGTAATCCAGCAGAAAAATCGGCATTGAATATAGTCTCCTCTCTTGTACTAACGTGAAAAGTATATAAAAACAATTCTTTATATTGCAAGTATATAAAAACAATTCTTTAAAATAGCCAAACTCTAGAATAGGTTCCCAGAAACAACCTTTATGTATACAGCAGAAAATTATGTCACGAACAAGTCCATCCTTTAGAATTAGTCGTGGAAACAGATTTCAAGTGCAGTATTAAAGGAAATTTCATTTTTTGTTACAGTACACAGAATCTTCCGATGAAGAAGAAGTGAAGAAACAGCCAAGGAAGCAGCAGGTGAGTGTTGCCATTTCGGTTGACCTCATGAAGAAAATAGCAAGGTGAAAGGCCAGAGTTCAGAAAACTATCAAACCTTTCTGCGCCTTCAAATTTTGCTTTATAAACCTTCCTGCTTTTTTCGGTCCTCACCTTATGTAAACTACTTTGTGATGGAGACCAGGGACAAACAACCTACAATTCTAATTTGTGATGAATCTTTACGCTAAAAGAAATGAAACAAGTAGAGCGACAGCAAGACGAATGGCAGTAAACCCTGTCGGTCAGCCAGAATAATCTTCTATTTAAATTCCCTGCCAGGGTGATTTTTGTTCATATGTGCCTGAAGATTGTCTTTCGTTGCTTTCAAATCGCACACTGAACTACCTCTTTGTTGGAAAATTTATCCCAAGTAGATTTCAATGCCGCCATATTTAGATTTGAGGATGATAACATATGGCAACCTTTGTTGTCGCTGTATGAAATGGAGGCTGGGACTATTTCTTAAACTGTCATTGATATGCTGACTGTTTTACTCAAAAAATATCCAAGAATAAGATTCTACCTTCCTTTCAGTTATATTGAAATGAATAACTTGATCCCTTCCTTATCACTTCAAAGATTACTACCTTTTTCCTTAGTTTTTAAATATTTTTGGGTAAAATTTTACTTCCTAATTTTCCCCGTCTTTGCCAAACCTTCCTACGCGACCAGAGGTCGTAGGGTCGCGTGGTTTTCTGGACTCTGTGGAAGGTCATGAATTCCGAATTAGCTGTCTTCCCTTTAGGTAATCTTTCAGCGATAATTTCTTTTGACACACACGCCCAATGGAATGCTGCATGAGATGCCTGTACTACTACACCCACGAGGATTTCGATACATCTATAGTCCATTTAAGTGAAATCAATGTTAGTCTCTCATGCAAAAAGTTGGAAACACCAAGAATGATCATAAACTATTTATATAGGATGCGAGGGTATACTTGTTGTTTAAGGATAAGAGGCAGTTTGAACGTCTTTTAGTTTTGTCCAAACGTTGTGGTAAATATTCCTTGATGATTCAGCCGTCAAGCTTCGTCTCCAATACTTTAGGTTTCAGATGATTCAGAGAGCGAAGAGGATTCTGAAGACTCAGATGGGGATTTATTCGGGGATTCGAAAAAGAAAACTGCTGATATTGAAGATGATGAATCGGAAAGCGAAGACAACGAAGAAGCATCACAGGTATTGATATTAGAATGTAATTTTTATTTCTTTAGTGTTTCATTATATCTTAAATCAGTAGCATAGTATGTAATATAAAGAATTTATCTTAGCTTTTGTTTTTATCAGCCACTGCTTCGTTGCACTTCATAGATTTTTTGTTATTGTTTTAAAGCCTGTCAGAGATATATCTTCAGAATGAATAAGAAGGGGTTTCAAGGCTGGAATGAAAAATTCTGTTTTTTAAAAATACACAATGTCGTGCTTTGTCATTTAGCCACCGAAGTATAATACCCAATCATGATAGAAAGTGAGCAAAACTTCATCAGGAGAACTTTGTATTCGTGGTTTGCTCATCATTCAGATTTTCATACTTCGATGAATCTTAGATGAAAACTATTTTGCCACGGCCACCTGAAGTTTAACTCTATCTCAAAACTATCAATTATTCAATTTAGAATGTATGAAATATTCAAGAGATTGATTATTAATTCCTTCCACAGGCAAAACCAAAGATAAATTTCCAAGCGGAGTTGGCTTCGAAGATTGGAGTTCAGAGTCAAGCGTCAACGGCCAGCGTAGCAGAGGACAAAGACGATAAAGCAGATGCCCAGTCCATATCATCAAGGAAGTCAGTTGGGGATGCGCAACCAACAGTGAACGCTGAAGAAACAGGCAAGTCAAGATCAGGCTCGCACTCAAAAAGAGAAGGGAAGCACAGATCGAGTTCACATCGAAAGCAAAAGGGAAGTGTTCGCGAAGCAGCAAAACAGCAAAAGCATCACCATAAGGCGCAAGAGGAAGGTTAGCCTGTACTTTTCATTATTGTTCTACTTATTTATTCTCTACAAAGAATGGCACAGAGATGGAAGCATGCACTTTTAGAAATACAAATATTTTATTCTAACAAAGGCCACGAGAGCGCTCCTCTCCTTTCTCCTGCTCTCTGAAAAAGTACAATGCTGTGTTTATGGCGACTTGCTCTTTTGTTATTTTTATGCCCTCCAAGTTTCTAATCTCCAAATTACGGATACAAGTTGGACCAAAGCTCCTGTCCCTTTTAGAGAAGCTTAGACTGTTTTTATGACGTTTAACTGTAGAAAAGGAATTTCTCGAGAAAATTATTTTAGGATATTTTGAATTTTCAAAAATTGGCAACCAAAAAAGTACATCCAGGTTCAGCTATACTTGTCGTGGTGCACCCCAAAATTCATGTCATAGCCAAAGGAAAACTGACTGGTTTTCGTGGAAGGAGAGGAAAGAATGCATACTGTCGTTAATGCTCCTCGACACATTAGTTTTTTTTTCATATCTTAGTCAATTTTCCGTCTAGCCACCTATTACTATTATGATCTTTGATCTGAAAAGGTCTCTCTGTATTAAGCCATTGATATTTTGAATTTCATGTGACGTTCACTTGTGACCGTTTCAATTATAAATCTTTAATAACAATAAGGCTAGTAAAAAGTGAAATTATTGTAGGAAAAAAGTTTGTTGTTTTGAAGTGCTTGAAAGGAACAGGATAACAATAAAATCTTGATTCGTAATTTTTTCAGAATCAGACGATGATCTATTTGGTGAATCGAAAAACAAGTTTGAGGATGACAGCCCATTTGGGAAGAAGAGCGGTATGTTTAGTGGCGGTGGAACTCTTTTTGATAGTGAGCCAGTGAGTACATTTTTTACCTATTGGTCGCGTATATAAGTTGGCAATGATCAGATATATATTATGATCAAACAATTATCAAATACCTATACTCGTCTGTATATTTTATTGAGGAAAAGATCTTCTATGTAGGAGTATTGTTGCATTAAACCCATTGCGATAGAAGATTGATTGCCATATTTTTGATAAAATTCTTGTTGCAAAAGATGGTGGTTGCAAAAATGGTTTTAAAATGGTCTGTCCTCTATTTCTTGCGATGAAGCCAGGATGTTTTGTATGACTGACCTTATTATAAAAAGGGCCAATTCTGCATGGGAAAGCTGAGAAATTTTGCATGATTTTCATGACAGAATTAAATTACACATGTTTGTAAAATCAAAAGTGTGCGAACAGACTTTTTGTGCGAATAAGAAAGAAGAAAACAGGAATTTTAAAATTGTGCTAATGAAATGGATGATGTCAAGATATATCTTACTTTTGGTCTCTTTTATAAAAAATGTTACTTTACAGGGAAACGATCTTTTTGGAGACATCGAAAATGGTGACAAACCATCTTCTCCCATAGAAGAGAGCCCAGAACCACAAAGTAAGTTGTGAAAGTTTTTCCTAGTGAAATTTGCTTTCAGAGTAAACCTCTGTTTATTTCACTAGCCAGATTTATGTCCGAAAACCACAAAATAGCTTTTTTTGCAGAAAAGCTTTAAACGATGACAACAAAGTGCTGTAGAATTTAGATATTCGTTTCATTTTCGGTTAATTAATAAGTGAATCTTAAAAAGGACAGCCGCGTTTATGAAGAGAAAAATTTATAAAAGCCATTTTGGTCGTCAATATTTTGGAAGGCATTCAACCCCCCGCCCTTGTCCTACTTCATTTAGTAAAAAGTTTATTTGTAGCTTCTTAATGATATCGACCATACTATCACAGCAGCACTCCGCACGGGACATAGTCAGCGTAACTTATTGCATGTACTTTGCTGTTGTACTGCGTCCCCCTACTAAATCTACGTAATTTTTTCGTCTAATTGACGTTTTTAATCTTATTCGAATCCAATACGTGTCTTTATCCATGCATTTCAATAGCTATATTTGATATAAAGTTTCTTATGTATCTGAAACCATTTTTTAGCAATCTTGCTGTAAATTATACAATAATGTTTTTAGCTCCAACTGAAATTAAGCCAAGGACCAAAACAACAAGCAGTGGAAAGAAGATTCCAGCTGGAGCTGTCTCTCTTTTTGGAGGTAAAATATTTCATGGTTGAACTCAGCCTGAGCTGGTTCCCTAAAAATATAATTTGATTTTCCTGGGTTTAAGCGATACCCCCAACGTATACCAAGGGTATAATAGTCCACAAATAAAGAAGATTGATGTTCAATTTTCTTGTTTATAGTTCTTGATGCTGTGTAGATAGAGCTGCACCAGCTCTTGTATTGAATGATCCCATTTGAAATTTCAATAAGCTAAAAGTTTTAAAGCAATGATCAGGTAACTGAACTGTGGGCAAAAAGGATTGATGTTGTCTTAAAGATGGGAAAATGTTACCGGAAGAACATTTTTAAAAGCTGCCATTTGGTAAAAGGCTTAGTATTTGTCACAGTGTCATGGAATCCATTCTTTGTGACATATGATCTCAATATTCATTCTGAAGTTGTTACCATGAAAATTATCAATTTAATGTTGCAGATACTGACCTTTTTGGAGGCGGTAGCGATAAGAAAACGAAAGAAGTTTCGGTAAGCTGATTTCTTCTCCGCCATTTCCCAGGTGTCTTTCTCCTTATTGTCACCATTGACCGAGTGTTATTTATTTCACTGGTTTAAATGACTTGGTGGTTTTCCTCTGTTGTTTTCATAGATCACGTTGTATTACATACATCACTTTCTTTTCATTCGTTTTATCCATTTCTCATAAGAGGCTTTCATACTCTTGTTTTGTTTTATAACTTGCATCGTCATAGGTTGTAATTAATCATGTAGCAATCATTGCAGCGTTGAAATCTGTCGAGAAATTGTTTTACCTGTAAAGCATGTTTTGAAATAATTTTTTTCAGCCTAATGTACGCATTTTCCAAACTTCTACGTTGACTTACAGTATTTTTTTGCTTATATTCACCTCCTATCCCCCTTTTGAATAATGGAATGAAGTAGTAAGTCAATGATTGTTGTGTTTGCGTTTACAAAGTTACAAATATTTCTATTGACCTTGTATTTTTGTACAGCTTAAATGCATGTAGTGAAAACAGCTTCACGCCCGTTGATCCTATTCTGACTTCTCTTTAAGTTTTGAAAACGAATTTTTGCGATTGAGACGTTTTGCAAGAATTGTATGTCAACGTGATTGGAAAATGAAACTATTTTCTCAGTCATTTAATTTTTAGTATAAAGATTGATACCATGGTTCAATAATTTATTTGGAACAAATGCGTATCAATACTTTTTAATAGCTTTTTCTCATAAATAATTAATCGAATTATGAGAAAACTATCTTTGTTAAAGCCATTAGATCACTAAATATTTTATCATAGACCGAGAAAGAAACTTCAAAAGGAGAGGAAGTACATGCTAAAAAGCCCCCACCTGTCGTCAAGGGACTTTTCGGTGAAGACGAAGAAGATGCCCTTTTTGACACAGCACCAAAGAAAGATACCCTAAAAGGTTTGCAAGTTCATTCATCCATTTTAAAGTTTGTGGTGATCTTAAAGTCTACATTAGTTGACATGGTGTATTCGTGTATTCCCACCATTACTGTTTTGCAACGATTATCTTCCTCGGAACCCACGGAGCACATGCTGTACAACAGTTTGTAAAAACCCAACTTAGACATATGATGATGTAAATCATAAAGAGGCGGAGTTTTAAGTATAATGCCCTGTTACAAGAATATGTTTTATTTAAATTAAAAAAGCTAAAATTGTGAAATGATTTTGTGCTACTTTTGTTGAAGAGCCGCCTAAGCAAAAAAGGAAGAAAACGCTGGAATTATTTGACGAAAATGAGGATCCTATGCTCGGAGCTACAAAAAGCGAGGCTGTCGCATCAGGACAGCCTTCTATCAAAATTGATGCAAATGGGCAGAAATCTCTCGAAGATTCAAACAAATCCGAAGGCCTGTTTGGAGCCGTTGAAGCAAAAGAATCAGGAGGTTTGTAAAATCACAGACAGAGAATTTTAGATTCAAGTCAAGCAAAGTTTACATTGTTTACACTGTAATCAAGGCTTGTTTACATTGTTTAGTTTTCGTAAAATTTTTGCCTCTCAAAATTGAAAGCAGGAAATGGATAATGTAAACTGGCTTAAATTTGTGGACATCTTTGGTAAAAACAGGTATGAAATCCTGCATCACACAAATGCTTTTTTGATTATGTTTATCACACAATTTTTTTATAATTGTACAGAATTATGCATATTATTCAATGCTATAAGTAAATAGATAGGCCCATGGTTACAGTATGGAAAATTGATGTGCTAGAAACTGGCTTTTGAAATTAAAATCGAATCCTTTGATATTGGCAATCACAGGTAAAATGGAACAATAATTATCATACATTAAGATATAAACATAAAAAAATATTTTCCTGTCTCCAATAGAATCAGCCATGATTTTTTATTATTTCATTGATATTCTTTGAACAGTTGATTTTTGCGAATAATGTTTGCAAGATTATTCCTGGCAGCTTAATATACGGATTGGTAGCTAAGACATTTGCTATGCCTTTTCTCTGGGAATCCTCCTTTTGTGGATCATATTTGAAATTTCAATTCACACAAAATTCACAGCTGGGCCACTGGCATTGATAGGTTTGGCTCTTACAGATTTAGGTCCCTTTTTTCTGAGCGTTAACTGGGAAAGAATGTGAACCCCTTTTTTCACTGTATATAAATCTTTATGGCAAGATTTTCATATCCGATGATTATTGATAAACACTTGTTTATCGAGGGCAATTTGAAAAGGCAGAAGCTGGCTTAAAGCCACTCAAAATGGATTATCTTCAGCCCTTGGAAATCTTAATATTTGGAAATTTAGCCGAGCCTATGCTATCCAGACTCACACAGATACCTCTTCCTAAGAAAACAGTATATTGAATGTTAGCTGTTGTTATAGCTGGTTTTTATCCTGTATGGTTTTCGGCTTTTGGTTATTGTTACTTTGCTGTCAAGTCTTTCTTAGACTAAATTTGTTTAAATCCTCAGAAAATCTACTTTAATGTCAGTTCAGAAAGCTAAATCAGTTTAATGTCTTAGATACAAAGCAGACAATATTATTTATTCTTAATGTATACGATATTTTATGATATTTGACAACCCCGTGGGATGTGAGCTAATCAAATTAATGCCAAATCGTTCTTGACCGACATCTTGTTTAAAGAGCTTAATGTTAACGTTTTTGGAAGTTATTTACAAGCTAAAATACATAAATATGCGCTTCTTATTCTTGTTTTGCTTTTGAGAAAATTGATAGTGTGATACCTAGCTTGTCGGGGCCTGTGCAACTCTATAACGCTCGACGGGTTTCTAATTTCAAGCGGCTTTGTCTAGACACGACGAGTTTTGTTGTGCATTCTAAGCAAGAATTTCAATATCAGGTTAAAGTGTGAAATGAATACATATAGCATGATATATATATCTGGCTGGATTGGGATTGTACTTAATTTGAGAAGAGCTTCGTTGTTTCTTTTGAGTGGTACTCTAATGCATGGCATGAAGGATTGGGTCCCCACAGCCTTGTTTTTGGAGCATCCTGTCTGAAATGTTTGAGTGATGTAAATAACGAGCAAAGCCATCGCGTCACACAAAAACCGGTTGCTAAAAGCACCCCTAGATGTAGAGCGTACGTAGCATAGCGAGAGTATGTTAACAGAACCAAAGTATTTGAAGGACTGGTTTTTACACAACTAGTTAAGGACCAATCTTTGTGCGAAGGAAGAGCAGGGCTAAAACAAATTAAGATTCTATAACGTTAGCAATTACCGTTTCAAAAACTCTCAAAGAATCGATAAATTGGGGTTAATACAAAGTTTTTTTCAACTTTAGGAAATTTTTGTAATAAAGCTGGTTAAGCTTATCTGTGATCTTCATTTGGTTTTTCTTCAAGCCAACAGTCATTTTTGTGTGGTATGTCTCCGTCTATTTTCCATACTAGAATCTTCATTTCTGTAACTATCAGTGCTTTTTGCTTTTAGAAAAACCCAAATTGGAAGTGAAAAAGATCACATCAAAGCCGAAAGCCATCAGTTTATTTGATGACGATGAAGAAGAAGAACACGACTGGTTTGATAACATCAACCCAAGCAAGAATAAAACGTAGGCCCATAGCTCTGCATTTTTAGATTGAGCATACGTGTAAATTGTTTCTTTTTATTATCTTTGCTCGTATAACCAGCTCTTCTTTTTTAATATATTTTACATCCAAGGAGAAGCTGCAGCCCTTGGTTTTGCGGAGGAAGTTTGAGCTATAGGGCACTGGCTTACATGCAGTTTCAAGGGTGTCAAATTCAGTCTTTGCTTTTTCTCAAGGCGTGTGTTCCACAGATCTAATCGGCTTAATTTTTTATTCAAAGGTCTTAGGTTCATTACTTTTTTTACAGTGGTTAATTTTTCTGGAAATACCATAAATGTTTTGAGTTCAATAAATGGTGTTTCTTTATTTTAAAACTGATTCAGGGAGATATTTTTCACTTGCATCATCTTCTTTCCATCTAAATGCAAATCTTATTACGTTCAGCACACAGTTCTCATGCACTCATGATACATATCACACATGCACTTGTAATACATACACAGTTGTCTAAGCAAGTTTTAGTGTGTAGAACAGGACTGATCAAAGTAGGAACTCCGAGTTTCACACTCGATGCGACCATCAGGCAACTGTAGATTTTCTACGCATAGAAAATTAATATAGGAAGCAATATAGACCAAAAACAAAGGAACATAATGGATACCCCAGCTCAAAGGGAAATAGAAAAGTATAAATAGGCTGCATTTGTAACACGCAAACAGTTCAAATGGTGAATTTATAAGCATTTGGATTTTTAATGATGAAAACTGTAGACCGCAGAAAAATCTTAGTGTTAAGAAAAAAGAGGAACGAGGAAAAGGAAAATAAGGACTCGAAGTCATCCAACACTTAGACCTTTGTTTTCGAAATCTTAGACCTTTAAGAGCATAGCTATCGTTCGTTAGTTATGTAAGTCGTTAGGCCAGGATCAAATTCCTAGTGTAAATATTTTTTGGCCGCCTGTTTTCGTTTTTTGAAACTTCCGTGAAGCCAAGTTGAAGTTATTTTAATGTCGGATTCAAACAAGCCCAGACACATTTGTGAACGTATGAAATATTTGAAGTAAACCAACGCCCAACTGAATCATATTCCATATGACATGAAACCTGAAACCCGGTCACAATGTTCCGCAATTCTCGTGACTCTCAGAAATGTCAGTGATTCATGATGTACATCGCAAATTGGAAAGTATGGAATGAGCATTATTTTTGTAGGGTCCTTTAGAATCAAATATGTATTGGGGTTCATAAGCAATTAACAGTACACCCGTTGCTCTAAATTCAGTACCTTCATAGAGATAATAGAATGTTGTTTGGAAATTATTCGGGGGCTGCAGCCAGTCCCCCATCCTCCCATTTCCGCTGACTCTATAATTTTTTGTGAAGTTGCAGGAAAAGGCAGTCTAACACCCTGCCAATACAATGTAAACAGCTTAAGCCAAAGCTCTGGTTAAAATTTAACAAGCTTGGGTCGAATTCGCTCCTTGATGGACGTGTGGTCCGCAAAATTAAATTCATGTTAAATACTTTTTCGCTTTTTTACAGTATGTTATGACGTAATTGGACCTACGTTAGGAAATTTAAACGCAGTACATACGAGGCTGAAATGAGGATAAGCCCAGTCACATCTCGTTAGCCCGCAACCGTTTTTAGTTATTGTCATTCGAAAGCAGATAGTGCAAATGATCATGGGTTCTTCTCTGACGTCATAGCCTTCTAGACCGTGCTAGGAGGATAGAGCTTCATGGGAACGATTTTTATTTGATGGGAACGATTTAGGTTGTTGTAAAACTTAATTTGAAAGGAAATCGCTTATACAGTTTTGCTTTTAAAGTAACTTTCGGGACAAGAAGCGAAATCTTTAAAAGCAGAATTATCATGATGTTTGCGTGTTGAATCAAGTTGCGTTTTAATTTGGACGTTCGCTAACAGAATTTCGCATTTTTTAGGCCTAGCAGCAGGCCAAAGGAAGCCGAAAGTAGCGCAAAGCAAACGAACTCGCTGTTTGAAGATTCAAAGATATCTGAAATAAAAGCAACACCTGGAAAGGTATATTTTTTATAATTGATTGTAATTGATTTTAAAATTACATGAAAAGCGGTAAACTCTTTGCTCGCCACTCATTGCTCGCCCAATGCTTGTTGTGTGTATGGAATGATGGAGGTGCCATGCAATAGGTACGATAGAGCTGTACCAGTAGTGAACAACAAGTTTCATTTCAACTGTGTTTTCCCATCTTGTTCTGTATGCAAGCAGTGTATTGTCAGCATATTAGGCGGTATCGTTCTAATTCGAGTTGATGCCAATCTCTTCATATTGATTGAGTTAAAAAGTTCCTTAATCAAGATCGTAGTCCTGACTAAGTATTTCACTTCCTATATGTATCAAGGTTCATTAACTCACTCACAAGGTTCATAAACTCATTATAATGTATCTTGGACTTTTTGACTTATTGGGATAAAAGCTTAATCAAGAATTTTATGTTTTGTCTCTTTTTCTTTTATTAATGCTATTTTTCTTTAGCAATGCATCTAGGCTGCCCCAATAAAATCTACTACAGGGAAGACACAATAAATACTTCATTTTCTTTATACTGGTACTGGTATTTGCACAATTGGAAAACCCAATTAAGATTAAAACGATTAAGATCAAAAAATTTCCAGCATAATCTTTAATATAGATATACTGAGTGAATCATATAGATAAATAATCGTTTCTCCCAGCATTGAATGTAAAGCACTTAAGTTTTTTAAGTTATTATACTTGGCATCAAACAAATCACCCCCTTTTACTTATCTGATGAAACCTATGTACGTATCACATTAGTATTATTCTACTTTGTCTTAACATAATCTGTTTTTTTATTTTTTTTCAAAGAAGTTGTTTTGTAGAGAAAGTTCAATGCTTGTTTATTACTTTTAAAAACAGAATGAAGAGGCAAAGAAGAAATCCAAGGCCAAAGTTGCTAGCCTGTTTGATGAGGATGAAGATGATGGTTTGTTTGCCACGAGTTCGCCAGCCAGCAGCCTATCTAAACCGAAGGTGGAGAAGAAGGACCCTGAGAAAAAAGATGCCAAGAAACAGAATGAAAGCTCTAAGCCTTCAGATAAGAAATCCTCCAAGGGCGATGACTCTTTGAATGTAAAATCGGAGCGGAAAAAACATAAGCCGAGGTCTTTTCTTGGGGATGATGAAAGCGGCTTGTTTGGGGACGACAAGGATGACTTGTTTACAACCCCCAAGGAAAAGGTATTATGATGAACATTACAGACTTGTAACGATAATTGAAATTTTACCAAAAAGCAAGATAGTTTTTTAGTCAACTATTTTTCGTGAGCGGATGTGTTTTTTAAGAGAATATTTTGCCTCCAGTTGATGCACGATATGAAAATATAAATCTTGTAAGATCTAGACAAATCACCGCCAATAAACAAAGGTGACAAGGTGTGCCTGGCTGTGGCACTTTAATTTTTTAATTTCCTCGTTAGTATAGCAGCTTGTGTGCCTCAAAAATCGGTTCTAGCTGGGGTTGACGTAAGTATCTTCTAGCATGCTTGAAGAATGATTTTCTCATAATCGTTTTTATCAAATTCTGAACAAATACATAGGACCACTAACACAGAAGACTTTTTATTGATCAGTCCTGGTTTTTGATAAGGAATCTGTGTGTTGAGGGTTTGCTTTTTAATCTATTTTTGATATCTTCGTTTAACGTTTCACTCTGTCATTGAGTGTGCATTCAAATGTTTTCTGCCTCTGACCAAGGTATCAGAGAAGGCTGAAAAACAGAGCAGCAAACCTAAAAAAGCAGCCATTTTACTCGATGACGATGAAGAAGACGATCTCTTTGACGCTGTAAAATCGCCCAAGACAAAGCATGGGTCGGAAGCCAGTAAAAAGCAAAATACAGTACCAATAGTTTCGAAGAGTGAGGTGAAAGTCTCCGAGGATAAGAAAAAGAAAGCAGACTCAGGCGTAAAGGGAATTTTCGGTGATGATGGGGAAGAAGAGGAAGATTTGTTCTCTGCGAAAGCAGAAGTTGTAGATGAGGTTCTTAACTTTATATTTTGAGGATGTAACTTGTTGTTGTAGAGAGCAATACCCTTCATCAAGTTAAGATCAAAACAATATAGGACAGATATCTTAAACGAATATGTATCTTTCTTTGTATCATTTTGTCTTTCGGAGCAAAGTACGACAAAATCTCTTTTTCAAAGCTTTTGTCTCAATTTATACCGGAGTGCAATTTATTTTTAACGGCCGGACCTTGTATGTATTTAAAAAACTGTTGCTTTTGCCTTCCAGATTTTTCTAAGTCTATATGTCAAATATGCGTGTTTATTCCTCACTGAGTTATAAAGGCTCGTATTTCAAGAAAAAAACCTAGAAAGACCCATATCTTTTAGTCACTTTATTTTTATTTTATCAGAAATTAGATGCCGGCTTGCCAAAAGAGGCAGAAAGCACGGGAAAGGAAAATAAAGTTGATGAAGAGCCCGCCCCCAAACCCAAGAAGCTGGCAGGGGCTGTTTCATTGTTTGGCGGGATTGACCCATTTGCTGCCAAGAAAAATCTAAGATCGTCGAGCAAAGAACAAGCTCCACGTAAGTTTATGAGCTGTCCTCTTTGAGCCCTGTAATTTTCAGTGGTAGTGAGAGCCTTCTCTATTGAAGAACCTTTTCGGAAAATCTTCTTTGATTGATATTCCGCGCATGTGATCTCCTTTTTTGGACTGTTGGCAAAGTTGCAATCTCAGTTATCTTGGAGGACTCTATCATATTGATGCAATTCATGTTTTTAAGAGAAATGAAGCTGTTGTTTTTCAATTCGTATGTTGGTAGTTTTATTTTGATGGGAAATACAGCATGTATCACGATTGTTTTTTATAACAATCTTCTGATTATCGGTAAAGTAAGATAATACCTGCTTTCTTTTCCCAAACTATTCTTACTTGTAGTTTGGTATCTGTGCGAGCGTTGCGTTTTTACAGAAATATTTACAACCCACATTCACAGTAACAATATGTCCCATGTTTGTTTGTACCAGCGCTGACTCCAGGAGAGTCCAAAGATGATGATCTATTTTCAGAAGATTTATCAAAAAAGGCTTCGAAACCCGCCGTGACAGACGCAGCTGCGAAAACACCTGTTCTCGTACAATCATCGAAGGTTGGTACTTTAAATGTTCAAAAGTAAATAGTTTTGATTCCGCAACAGGTATTCTTCAAGCAAGGAATTTTTCGTTCAATGACTGATGTTCAACAATCATTGCTAGTTTATCTCAGAATACTTTTTGTGTCTGGTTATTTATTTTCAGCAGTAACTTTCTTCATTTGATTATAAACGCTTCAGGCGTTCTTAAGACGGTTTACCATTAATCGAGCTCCACCAGGGATGCCAGGAACCGACCTACATTAAATCTTATTCTGTTTGCTTATTTACAAAGGTATTCAAAAATATGTAAGCTGCCTTGTCGTTTATAAACGCCTGTTCAAAAATAGAATTTTCACTTCATGGTGGTTTCGTAAACTAAGTCTCTATTTGGACCATAACAATGAATAGAAGGTTAGCATAACAATGAAATGTCTATAACTAGCTTTTCTTTTGTTACTGACAATGAAATATGGGAAAAACTGTTTTCCTTTTCTATTTTATTGGTTTCAGCAACCTCGATTTTTCAATAACCGTTTTTAGAAATGAACCTGTTTTTTAACTTTGCGGGCTATCCTAGCTCTCAAGACACGTTTTGCTGCTGTATCGATAGACCAACTTAACCGTCGACACCGACGTCTAAATAGCCAAAACTATCGTTCTAGATTCTATGACAGCCTGTTATGGATACAAAAGAATCGTGCTTTCTCCATTCAGGCGGATTATTCCCAGCTGTTTCCTTGCTTGTTGATTCAACCTTTTAGTTTTCATTACATCCGCTGTCTTTTCTTGCATTTGACTCGAATTGCATCAGATTACGAAGAAAAGGCATTACTACAGAAATTATATGTGCTAAAAGAAGTTTGGAATTAGCGTTACTGCACGTCCTTAGTCCGTTTAGTCTTCTTTTTAGCCTTTTTTAAGTGTGACGTCACAAAAGCATGTGTTTATGTGACAATATCTTCGCCGATTCGTATTACATTTCACTGATTTTCCATATTTAGAGGTATTTCATGATGCTCTTTTAGGTTATGGGATTCAAAGTTAAAAATTCCAAAAATTGATTTTTGTGACATCATCACTTTAGAACGTAATAAAAATCTTTCCACTGTCCATAGGTACATTAACATGCACACGCGCCTTCGTTGTTTCTCTTGAACTGGCTTGTTTTTCACGTCACCGCCACACAACTTTGAATGCACTTAAAAAATTTCAGCACCCATTCTGCATTCCCGATATTATTTATCATAGGAAACCGAACAACAAGCCAGAAAGCCAGTCGACACAGATGCCTTGCCAAAACAGGAAAAGAAGGAAGAACCAGTTGTAAAAGATAAGGTATTTAAAAGCACTTTTGTTTCCACGACTTCTATGTTATTTGTCATTATTCTAAGTTTTTCATTTTTGGTAATGGTTACTATATTTATTTATATTTATTATATATCAAACCTTTATAGTGTTGCAAGGAATTCAAAATCATGGTATTGTCTTTTAAAAGTTATTTCCCTTAAAATAAACCAAATCTCTGCAGCTACTTTTTTCCATTTTTCTAAATGTCCCTCCCCACCTGTCTTACTTACATTGAACCAAACCCAGTAAATTTTTTGTGCCAGTAACAGAGCACAATACCACTTTTTAGCATTGACCATTGATCCGTGGATATCTACTCTTTTTTTCATGCTAGCCAAAGATCGTTTTCAATCCTGCTACAATGGTTCCCGGGGCTGCTCCTCCACCGCGCAATGAAGAACCAACTGCAGCCTCATTTGAAGACCCACCAAGCACACAGATATTAACAAATCCTACCAAGGTATTATTTTACGAGAGTTATAAAAAGGAAACTACATTTTGCATGGTGCAATTTATAGGACCAGTTTGGGACAATTACCCATGTAGTTTTTTGGAGGGTTATTAATACCTTTAAGAGGTGAGCTTAACTATGGTGACAAAAGGTCGGTGCAGGGCTAAATAATTTCAAGTTATAAAATGTTTGATATATCTGTGACAGTTCTAGTTCATGTTTTTCACTTATCTGATTACTTTAGTCAAAATCAAAGTTGCGATTGCAGGATCGTGCCAGGATACAAAAGAAACGTCGACCCCCTACGAGGCAAATGCGGCAAAACTCCGCCAATGCTCCAAACGAACAGAAGACAGTACCAGAAACTGCTGTTGAAAAAACTAGCAACAGCAAACCTAAAATGACTGATAATTTTGATAAAACTGAAGAAGACATGAATAGCAGGATTACACCAGTGCCTGAAGTAGTTGTTAATAAAGAATCCAGAACAAAAGCTATAAAGGCTGAAGACATATTTGCAGATGAAGTTGACAATCTTTTCGGCACAAGTGCAACCCCAGTAGCAAAAACGATGAGTGCTAAAGCAAAACAAGAGAAAGCGAAATCTGAAAAGAAGCAACTGGATGCGAAAAGCGATGAATTATTTGCCAGCGATATCTCTTCCAAAACTGAAACTGATAATACCGAAGAGCAAAAAGAGAATAAAACGAAACCTGTAAATAAAGATGTAAATTTGTTTTTTGATGATTCAAATACTAGCGACGAAATATTCAGCGTGGTAAAAAGTAACACTTTTGTTGAAGATGAATCAAATATCAGAAACAAGGAAATTACCAACCAAGAGGCTAGTAAGGCACCTGGAAATGGATCAACCTCAGTAGAAAATACCATAAGTAGTTCCGCCAAGTCGACAGAAAATGCAAACGTTTTTTCTGGAAATGGATCAACCTCAGTAGAAAATACCATAAGTAGTTCCGCCAAGTCGACAGAAAATGCAAACGTTTTTTCGGATGAAGATGATTTGTTTGGATCGTCTACAAAAACTAACAAAGAAAAGAGTAGGGAAAAAGATGATAGCAAACCGGCTAGCAGTAAATCGAAGGATAGTAAAAAAGGCAATGAGGATACTGATAGATCCAAAAAGAAGAAAGAAAAATCAAGCATATTTAACGAGGTACCATCTTCCCAGATTATTTTCTTTTAGTTATTATCTAATCATTTTTTCAAGTTCTTTCTGAAAATCCGTTGCATATATTTGATTTTTTGTGTTAACCCAGTGGTGTTTGGCCTAGCCATTTTGAATAACCGAGTGTTTAGTGTACCCTTGCTTCTTAAAAACAAGTTTACGCTCCCATGTACCCAGTTTTGGTTCTGGATTGGCTGTTACTCTGTGGAGTATGGCGTTGGAGCATCGTCTTTTTGGAAAGACAAGAAATTTAACAACTATTTGCCTTTTTATCAAGATGGTGGGGTGAAAGATTTTAATCGTCAGCATTTCAAGGATAGACTCACAGCTGTAGTCAACATATCAACTTTTCATGTGTTCGTAAAAATCAAATAGGCTAGAATTCTACTGGAAAGAGCAAATCTCGCGCCATTTCATCCTTAACCGTCGTCTCTCTCCTCCTCGAGGACGAGTATAAAAACCTTTTTAATTTTACGTCATTTGCCTTCAGAACTAACAATAGCTTTATTTCAATTTAAGGGGAACGATGATGATTTGTTCAGTGGCAACACACCCAAAAAGGAAAACAAGGCTGATAGCAGTAAAAAGACGAGTAAAGCTTCAAGAACTGTCACTGACGATGAACTATTTGGTGACAGTGGATCGATATTTGATGTTCCATCAAAGGCAAAGGAAAAGAAGAAAAAGAAAGCAGATGGTGGAAGCGAAGGTAAGTTGCTATTCCTTTTAAGACATGCTGATTATCTTCACTCTGCTAGGTTTAGTTGTGGTCGGAAGCAAACTGTGACTAAAAACTTATAGAGCTCCCTTATGTGGAGGACATGTTTTGTCTCATGATTTTCATGGGGTTTCGATTAGTCAGACATGTATGTTTGAAAACCTGTACTGTAGCAACGATCTGAGCAGGTTTCACAGTCTATCTATGTCCAACCTAATTATATTCAGATTGATTCTACGTAATTATCACAGACTAGCAGGTTGATTTTACGAAACATAAAAACTGGCATCATAATCTTCTGATTATATGATTTGATTCATTGACTGTTTATGTATATATCCTATTTTGACTAGTTTTCTCTGTACAGCAATATAAACAAAGCTTTCATCAAATCTCATTAGAATAAAATTGGTGAAACTTAATTGTCCTAAGTCGCAATTGTCATGTTGTGGGGAACCTCATTTTACCTATGACTGAAGTTCGAGCATGAATGAGGCCACTGAAACTCTGCACTTAGTATGAAACATCTCTTCAAATTTTGATAAACCTCCGTGGTTAACCCTCACATTGAAAATCAGTCTTTTTAATCCAGAGATATCACTTTTATTTTGTTTCTATCGCGCAACATGAATCCTTCAATGGTTTTGTAAATGAGCGTAATGAATGGGTTTTTCACGGTTTCATCGCCCTACTGTTTCTTTATACTTTTGCAACGAAGATTTGGCGTTCTTGGTTTTATCCCATTTTAGCTATAGAATCTGCATCATGCATGAAATTGCGGTGTTAAGACATAGCTTAGAACAGATTCCAGAAAATTCTCCATCCTTGTACAACCAATTTTGTCAAGCTACAAGAACCGTCGATGAATTAAACCTAGGCCTGGGCGATTAAAACCTTTTGATGTATAATTGAAGAGGGGCATAGGAAACTTGTTCTGATTTTCCCAGTTGAATCAAAACCTATATAGTTAGCTGACAAGGCGGTATGGGAGGTCTGAAACCTTCCAGTTTTTAATTTATTGAATACATGATTTCACCCAAGTGGAGATATTCGTTTTTTCAGCTTGATTTTGTCTCTTATTTTTGTATTTGTCAAACCCCATTTTTCTTTGATTCCAGACCTTTCACTTGTTATGTTTTTTTGGGATACATTGCTCTCTTCGTTTGCGCTTATCTTAGAAATCTCTTTTCGTTCATCATACCTCTGTATTTTGTTGGGATAATCAAGAAACGACTGAACTTAGAGTGAGATAACAATATTTTTAAATAGAATATGCCATGTTTGTAAGCCTGTTGCCGGGCTCGAAAATTTAGTGAACCTGTCTCCTGCAACTTATCGCTAAATGTTTGCTATTCCTTCAGTTATCGACCAGAAACCTATGCTACCTACACGCGGGTAGCCAGGACTGTAAGATCATTTCCGAAAGATTATTTGGTCAAAAATGACTTTAGTCACATTATTAAATTTGGTGATTTGGTGATGTTTCTTGGAATTTGCGTCTCATTTGAAGGCTCGATGATATGCATCGATCTTCCAGGCGAATCTACCACCTTTTTGGGTTAAACTATAACCTGATCCAACCAAAACAATACCCTGTTCCTAAACTTTTTTCAGATGGCACTCCGCGTACCTGGCTTCTACATTTATTCCATTTCGCAGCATAGAGGGCTTGTGCAAAATATACCATTGTTGGTATTTTAAAGTCAGAGAGCGCCTTTAAAAAAAACCGTGTCGTCCCTGACATGCCAGAATACCACCATTGTTTTTTCTGCTCAAAATGAAATAGTACCTTAAAACCTGGTTTGTACCGTTTGAAAGGTATTATCAAGTTTCATTTAAGAAACGATTAGTACATTTACGTTTTTTGAAACTAAATATTCTATTTACGTGAATTCATTTCCTATCGAGTTGATAAAACATTTAGAAAATAGCATTTAGAATTCCATAAGGAAACTGATTCGTGCTTAGAAGGGATTCACTTCGTGTGTGAAGTGTCACGGAAGCTTCTTGTTGGTCCATAGACGATGTATTTCATAGAAAATACTTTTTTTGATTAAAACCTAGAATTTCTCAAACAATTACTTAGTGAATGACTCAGAACTTTTAAATATTAATTACCTGCAGCTGTAGGGACTTTCACACAGGTGCGGTATTTTGTAGGGCTTGCAAAAGATTCTTCTGATCGACCTTTCTATTATTGTTCGAACTTTGTACCGACCCTAATCATACTCAAATGTTCAATGCTTTAAATTTTATCAAAGACCAATGCAGAAAAAAATGTAGACTGTTCTGCTTTCTTTATGCGTCTGCACAGGGAATAGATAAATGGCCTAACAATGTGCAGTAATGAAAGGAAAGTTATTTCCTTCGGGATATGAAAATATTTGGACAGTAGGGTATATTATATGTTATGGATTTGCAGTAGGTTAAAGCATGCTAATATTGAAGCATAGCGAGATTATACGAAGCTTTAAAACAACGAACATGCGTACAAACCATTCAACAAGAAAATAGGATGAAGCAGCTGGTCGGTTCGGTTTCTGGGGCACGCTTTATTTTGACGCCAGTATGTATTCTTTAGACTTGAACATGAGTCATATTTCCAGCAAAGCGATTTCGGAATTTTTTCCGGAATCGAAGGAGTGTTTGAAGCAGTTCTACTGACGAAGGCTGGCGTCAATATACTTTCCCGCCACAACGTCAACATCATTTCGAGGCTTTTCGAGGCTAATAGCTTTTCTGGATTCTGGACAACGTGGAGGCATGATGGTACCAAGAAAGAGGCGATTCACTTTCAAAGTCTCCTTGGCGCATAAAATATTACGAAAATGAGTGGCAAAAATTTTAACAAATTTCTGTTACCACAGACAATAGCTTGTCGGCGCGTGATCCATTATTCTCTATTTTCTGAAGCCTCTAGTTTTGAAAATGAACGAGTATTTTACTTGGCAGGAAAGAATCAACGCTCGTGATGTACCGTTATATTCTGATTCTTTGCAGTCATGTTTCCTTGGCCTTTTGTCGCCTTTTCGCTATTACAACGACCTGGAACCTAAAGTTCAGCAATGATCTAAAAGTGATAAGAATTGATTTCCACGAAACAAAACAAGCTAACTTGAGTTTAAAGTGTTGGTTACATACTTTTATACAACGTTTCCGACGCCTTACATGGAAGATTTGTCAATTTTAATTGAATGACCTATAATTCTTAGAAAGGAAATTTTGTGAACCAACTTGTCGGATCGCCTACTCATAACTCCCTTGTACCACTTCCAAGTCCCAAGTTCTGTAAACCTGCATGCTACGGCATATTCGCTTAGCTGCCCAAGGTGTTGTGGACTTCGCGTTGATAGGACTGAGAGAGCGTATACTTGCCCTGGCCTGTTGGTTATGTCATGGGTTATAGTGCGTGATAGTGAAATGCCAAGTCTAGAAAGTAAACACTGCGTTCATTTAAAATGAGACTATCAACTGGGGAAAATTAATCTTGAAAAGGTCCTCTCGATGTTTGTTACTTGCCAGTAAACCTCATCTTTAACTTCATTCCTTGAAAGGAAAAAACGAACTTTTGAACTCATTGGGTTTCTTGTTCAGGCCTGTGTGTAGCACCTTGTAGTAAAGGCCTGTTTATTGCAAAGAATGCTCTTTAGTGTAGGAAGTATTTCAGCCTTGGTTTTTGCTACATCTCCAATTACATACAATAATAAATATTGTCTGAAAATGTGTTTGGGCAGCTTTCCATAAGTGACATTACAGTGCTCGGTCTGCAGTAATTTAAGAAGATGATGTGAGACAATGAATTAGCATGTTTTATGATCTTTGGACTGAGGTTTTATTTCCAGGAAAACAAAAGTTAGAAATGGCTTTCCACTTACACGGCTGAATCCCTATTGGAGGATCCTTCCCGAAACTTACTTTTAGGGAAATGGAGGTTAGAAATCGACACTCATAAGACCAGGTGAAATCGAAAAAGTGCGTATTTTTTAGGTTATTCCCAAACTGCTTGACTGGCCTATTATTTTCCAGCTTTAAAAGTCCCCTTCTTAGCTAGTGACCAGCTGCTGTGAAAGATTCTAATCGCCAAACAAGTGTTCTGATAGGACACGTTCGTTGAATATAATATGAAGAAATCCTTAAGGCTTAAATGCTATCCCAACCCTTCTTAGGTTGTTTGACTTAAGCCCTAGAACAAAATCACATGTTTTAGGAGCTGTGGAAAAGATTAAGTTATTTCTATTGTTTCCCATTCTATCCGTGATTCTTTGCAAAGTTTGCTTTCCTGAAAACACGTACATTCTTGCAGCCCAAAGTTCACAGTAAGAGCTAATCGAAATGAGTGAAGTCTTTTTTCTAGAAGGACTGAGCAAACCCTCTTGAGATAGGAGATGAAACACGAAAAGACTTGTGCTTTGTGGCGCTCTTCTCCGGTATCGCTCCTACAAGAGTTCTAAAACAGAGAAAGCAGTAAACTAATTGACTTAATATATTCATAGAAATCAGGCAGAACTATAAGGCCAAGTAAGGTGGCCAAAACTATTAGCTGGTCCTAAACGCGAACACCCGTTCTTACCTTTTCTCTCCTTTGCTTATTCGCCCCTTTTATTTCCTAGATATTTTTGCTACCGGGGGTGAGAAGAAGACCAAACCGAAGAAGAAAGCGGAAAAAACAACGAAGGCGAAGGCAACAAAACCACCAACAAGTGTGTCGAGTAATACTGACAAAAACATCTTCGATGATCCGTTAAATGCATTGGGAGGAGAATAAATTCAAAGATAATTAAACGATGTAATTATGCAGCATATAATTATATACGTGATTTAAACTGATAGTGATGATAATTTCAGTATAATTTCAAGCAGGATTCTTTTGCAATGCAGCTGCGGAAATTATTAGGATTATGAGGTAGACGGTAATATCTGGAAAAAGCCATGTGGTGTATTGCGACCGTTCCGTACGGAAATTCGTTAAACCGCATGTATATTGGATTTTATGTTCCCTCGAAAAAATATACCCAATGTAAGTTGTTATAATTTTCAATTATCGATATGCAATACAGGGTGTAGCCAATAGGGTGTTAGCCAATGGGGTGTTAGCCAATAGGGTGTTAGCCAATGGGGTGTTAGCCAATGAGGTGATGGCCATGGGAGTGGTAGCCAAGAGAACAGCCTAGGGGATGGTATTGCTCTCAACTCTAAAATTATTTGGCTGCCTGCTGCTGGCTCAACTACTGGCTCTGCCGTCAATAGTGGGGCTTTAGCTCGTCGACCCTCTCAAAAAACCAGAAGTGATCATGTAAAATGTTATATAAATGAGTTACGCGTGAATAAAGTCGAGAGACAAACTCTCAGAAATCAACATCAAGCGCAAACAGTTTTTTTCAATCTAATTTATTCGTGAACGGTTACATCAATAGTTTTTCGTATAAGTACATACTCTATCTCCAACTAAACATTCGTTTATGGGAATATTTGTTTGCTATTTCCACACCGTCATATCAGATTTGTCTTCTTACGTTGTCATCTCCACTCTTTTTCTTCATAAGAACAATTTTATAAGAACAGGAGCCTCAAAATTGGTCAAAAGTTAAGAACAAATTAAGAACAAGCTGAGGCTGAGCTTCTGCAAAATGCAATTTTGAACAACGTTTTTTCTCAAAATCGAGAATTTTTAGTGATGTGTGGGTGCTTTTCGGTGAATATTAAAATTTGTCAGCAAATTAAGGCTGTCTCACTCATTTTGTTGGCAAATGAGGCCTGTACACCACCCTAGAGCTAAAAAGCTAGCACTCGCACTGCTTACACCCTATTAGGTTAAGAACAATCGACCCTCAGATTTTCGAAAAAATTAAAAACAGTCAGCCTGAACTTAAATTTACTGGTTCTTATAAAAAAAGAGTGTTATCCTCCATCGTAAGTCAATTATCCCATTTCCTGTCTTACTGTTCTTATCCTGTTTCATGGAACATTTTTGATGGCACAATTTCACTAAATGTTCCCATCTTTTTTTCTCAAACAGTAACTGACTGACCGAAGAGCCAATTAATCCTGTCAAATATCAATGACAGTGCAAAAAACCGTATTTCCTTAGATAAAATTGTTACATTTCAATAACCTAACACCTATTTCCTACCTGTATCGTTGTTGTGTTCCCTGTCCTCCTATTCTTTCTTTATGTATTTCTACACCTTTTTACTTGTAAATGACGCTTAGCATCTGATTCAATCAATTTATTCAAGACACCTTTCTAAAAGAACATAAGCTTCCACTCCCCCCCTCCCATTAACCATCCTGCCATCTGAATTATCTTGGTTAAGGCTATGTTTATTTGTTTGCAAAAGTCTTAATTTGATCCTTTTATATTTTCACTTTATTGCTTCTTACATAGCCCTTGCGTTCCATTTACGTTCTCGCTTTCTTTGCATTCTTCGCTAAGCTCCGTGTAATTTTCTATGCGCGCTTTATTTCGTCGCGCTATATCCTCTGTATTTCCCTTTCCAATTGCATTATTCCCCTCCATGCACTCCATGTATCATATATGCTTCCTTACGCTCTATTTACTTCGTCTATTTCCTCTTGATATTTGCTATTTGATATCACTTTTTGCTAGACAACTACCCCTTGAAAAATGAAGCTCTTTCCTATCCAAACTTTGCTTATCGTGTTACTGATTTCTTTTATGAACCTCACGCCTGCCTGTTACACTGACTTATTTTCCCACAACTCCAATCTGGTTTCTGTGAATTTTTTTGGAATAATTTGTTTAGGAAATACAGCGCAGTTATGTATTGAGTAACCCCACTGAAACGTCCTTTTTTACTAGGCCATAATTAATACATGCAATTTAATTCTAGCCATGCCAGGAAATGCTTTATCATTAGCCGTTATTTACTGTTCATCTAAGACATTTAAAGCCGAAAACCCACTCCGGAAAATGATCCGCGGATCGGATCAGATTTTATGTTGCGCACGCGCTTTGGACTGATCCGCGACGGATCGAAAAAAAAGTTGAAATCGTTTCAACTTTTTTTTGGACCGTTTCGGTACAGTGATTTTCTTTTGATCAAAACCGAATTAGAACTTTTTAAACGATAGAGCACTTGCATTATGGACTCCATTCCGCGGATCGAACGGAACTGATCAGAACAACACGATCTGGTCCGATCCGCGGATCGTTTTCCAGAGTGGGTTTTCGGCTTAATACACGCAGTGAGAATTAGAAAAACTTTGGTATCATACGTAATTAGTATGTCAAACTGCTACCCTTTAGAGTTGTAATCAGAACATTGAGAAAATTTAGTTTATAATCAGATATTGTAAATTTGAAATTTAATTGCATTTTCAAAGTTGAGTTTTTCCAAAAGATGTAGACACAGAATATTTCATTTCATTGGTATTTCAGTCTAAAGAAAGCATTGAACTAAAATCCGACTACTTATGGGTTTGGTGATTAGGTGACCATTGACAACAGCTGGAGATGTGAGGAGGTCTCAAGTTTATATAGGCAAGAAACAATCATCGGAATCAGAAGAACCACGTTTCATCAATATTGAGAATTAGAAGCCTAGTGAAGAGAGAAAAAGTGAAAAGAACATGCTTTAAAGAATTGCTGATATCAAAACTAAACAAGAGATAACTGCTTGAAAATGATACAAATTTGACAAAAAATCGGAAACTAATAAACTAGAATAACTAAAAAGAAAAACAAGCTGAGAACAAAACAGGGAGAAATTATTGAAGGCTTCGCCAGCTATTCTGTGGCTACGTTATAGGCCCCTGGATTTTGTATTTCCATTTGCTTCTCCGCGCTTGTCAGTTGATTTTTAAGCCGAAATGATAGTCCTTTTTACATACCAATTTTAACAGTTAAAGTAACAGAGTATGAAAACCATTAGCAAAATCTCCTTTGACAAACGTAAATTACAGGAAGGTCTTATTTAGTTTTCATAAAGAAACTAACAAGATATCTCAATGTTTGTATATATAAAAATCATTGTGAAATTCTTTAAATAACAGCTTAAAAGTATTTAAGCTGCCTGCAGAAAAGGGAATTTCAATCATGTATAAGTTAAACTTCGCATATTGATTGCGGCTTAGCTAAAAATGAATTTGATTTTATGGTTCAATTCTTAGAGCCTATCAATATTTTTCGCTTAAAACCAGGACCTCTGCAATAATTCTCGAGATGCTGTTAAGCAGTGATTGGGCAATTGGTAGCTGTAAGTTTTATACGTTCTCTCATAGAGCATGTGCACTAATTTGGTACGATTATTGTTTATGATGTAGATGTGGGATGGCTCAACCCTCGTTTTGAAATTTTTATAAAAGACCCAAAAATTTTCAGAAAAACTAGAAAGGGTGGTGATAAAGATATTTCTTTCTCCCCCTTTAGGTCGCTGGTATTTGATTTTTGGAAGATGTCTCATTTGGAAATCATCCTTCGGACATTGTATGATCAAATCCCGTTGTTTAATCATTTTGAATCTGTTTTTGAAAAATAAGCTTTTATCGTAGCAAATATTTCTTTGAAGGATCCTTAATTTTTTGCCAAGCCTCAACATTTTAAAAAAACTTCGATTTTGAGCCTGAGATTATTCTTTAATTATTCTTGCCCGAAACACGGTGTAAATTTGAACCTTTTTGACAAATCCGATAAAAGAAAAGAAATTTCAAATATTTTTGACATGTTGCTTTAAAAAAACCTTAAGTCTTGGTGAAGCTTGCTGCTTGACCCTGGCATTATTCTTGAATTATTCCTAATATTTAGCGATTTTAGGCCTCATATATTCTTATAGACTATATTCTTATTAAATAAAAAATGTTTACTTCGAATCGACATTCGATTTCAATGAAAGAAGAAACAATTTTCCAGCTCTTCCGTTATCGTTGCAAATTAGGCCAACAAAAATACTTCAAAAATACTAAGTTGGTTAACCTCGTTTAGAGATTTTGTTTGATTTTCAAGGGTGCTTGTCATATGACTCATCGCATACCAGGGTCACACAAAGTGAAAGTGCTGTTCTCATCAATTTTATCTTGCAACCGCATTGTGCCAATTTCACATTCGTTTACACTAAACTCAATGATTCTCGCCATCATCTATCTGTCGAAACAAAAACTAAGTGAGCATCCCTCATTGAGATACTAAATGAAAAACGAATGAAATCCCAGTAAAAGAAATAGGAGCCTTCTTGCTTTCTCCAAGAACTTCCGCAATTTCAATAAGGTTATAAGCTTATAATATTTTGACTGAAACCGAAGGGCTCCTTGTTATTGCTATCTAATCCGAGAAATTTCAGCGGAATTTCAGCAGTCTGTAAACCTAGAGAACTCTGACCCTTTCTTTGTTATAAGGTTGATTATTTCTTCACAAAAATGTAAGTTTGGATTTTCAGCCCCCACCCAAAAATTTCTAGCAGTGTAGTTCATTGTCAAAAATATTACAGATCCTTCAGACTTCGTTTTTCTTGTAGCACCCCACCCCCACCCCCTCCCACATCCCCTACATCTTCCATATGCATATCATTGCTACAATACGGTAGTGAACGCAAGATATGAAGCAATAAGTTCGTTTATGAAATTTTGTCGGAGGTTTCCCTAAACAACAGAACAAAACTCAACTTGCGAAGCTTCATTATTTTTCTTGAATTCGCCCGATATTAGAAACATTTGGCTACTGTTTCTTCCTTTTTGGATTTATTGCATTTATCTCAGAATATTTTTCAAATATTTTTAGCAACAACTGTAGTTTGAACGATTCTAAAACGTCTCCTTACGCAAAATTTTTTTTGTTTACAGTTGCAACAAACAATGGAAAGGTCATGAACACATCCCGCCAAATCCACGTAGCGTTCTCCTGATTGGCTAGAACGGTTTCATTCATTGATTCAAGTTAACAGCTTCCTTATTGAGTGACTTTGGCTGTTGCCCAATCAAATTGCTTCCTTTTCAAATCCTAATAACAAAAGAAGAACGACATTCGTTCAATCAAATCTGGTTCTTTTGTTTTGGAATTAGCCAATCAGATCTAAGCATCGTCATTGTTCTTTGGTATGCAAATTGTACACATCTTATTCATAAACCTCGTGGCGAGAAAAATTTATCTTGAGTTTACTACGATCACAAATTTATAGTAAGAATTATTCCACCCACATTATCGACCCGCCCATAGCTTTAGAAAGGTGTTAAATACGAAACTTATCTTCCTAGCTTCGAGTAGACAAAAAGGAAAGCTCAAGAATATGGAAGATTGTTGTTACGAGGAGATTGATAACGGGGAGCAAGGTCTGAAGAAAGTTCGTTTATGTTCAACTTCATCAACAGACACGGTTGATACGGACTCACAACAAAGGACATGCGATCTCGAGTTAGACACTGTAAAAGAGTTATTTCAAAGATACGACCTTGCAGAAGGCGACAACATACCTTGTTGTATCTGTGGTGAGTGTTTTTCCTCTTCGGTATGTGTAAGTAATATTTTCAAGGTTTTTGTTTTGCACCTAACATTTTCCATGGTTCTAGTAACCTTTGGCGTGGCTAGCAAACAATGCCCAGTGCTTCCCATAACTATCTAAAGAAATTTTTACCGCCCAAATTTTCAAATAACACAAATTGTAGCCTAAATTACCCTATGTATTTTGCTATTATTTATCTGTTTTTTTGGGCAACGAAATTATGCAAACTGGATTCGCGGCATACTGCATACAAGGAAGAGGTGTGAGGAAGCAATAGTGAAAATTCAAAACAAATTGCTGCACTGTAGCTGCAGTATCAGCCAAGGACAAACTTTATTTGGCTTGCCTGTTATTTTGAAATTTGCTATTAAGTACGCTCGCGTCCGATTTACCTGCTTGTTTTGTCTTATTAAATGACAAATGCGTCTATAAGTCCAGACTTAATTTTTAACTGAGGCAGCTGATTCCCAATTTGCGGTTTCTAAGCATGCAACAAACCGAGTTACATATTTTATACATTGGTAATATCCCTGACAAATAAAGACAACTGTATTATGTTCCCCATAAGAAACCATTTAAAAAAATTTTTAGATTTTACCATCAGTTTTTAGAGTTTACATGAGCTTACTATATCGCTGTGAGACGCGGAGCACATGCTCTAGGCCTACTTTCGTTTTTAACTCTGTTCGCGGTGAATTTCTAGCTAGCTATTTCTCTGTATGAATTTTCTCATGAAAATCTATGAACTCTTTGATTGTACATGTAAACATGTTAACTTTGATTTTTTCACTGACTATGCCTACCAAGAATGCTTGGCTGTTATTTTGCTCATCTGTTTTATTCAACTTAAACATGAGGTTGATTATCCTCGGACAATTGTGATTAAATTCCCAGTTTTGGAGTTGAAGCTAGCAGCCAGGTGCTCTGTAGCTTACTGTATGCGAAACAAATATTCAATTGGAGCCTGGTCTATTGTAAGATTTTAAGTTAACATCTGAACAGCATCTCCCGGCTAGAAGTGTCATAACACCCATCTTCACATTTTACAGAAAACATCTTTTGCACGCCCCCTTTTATATTCAGTTTGCACGACTAGGTATCTGTCGTTTCTTTTATTTGACGCGTAAACATTCGTACAAAACAATATAGGAGTCAATTTTTTGTCTTGGGGAAAGCCCATGAATATTTTTCTACCAAATATCTGGATTTAAGCTGGTTGATAGTTACTTTCGGTTGCGATAAGGCGTCATCCCTGAAGGAATTTGTTTGGCTGTTGTGGTGAGCTGCCTAGAAATGTTCCCAAGACAGGATCGGCATTTGACGGTTGAAGATTTCAGTATTATTTTGCTAAATTTCCTTTGTTTGAAGATCATGGATTTAACACGATTCACGGGGCTTTTCCGTGCCTCAACTTGTACAAAGGAATTTTTTGAAGTTTATCCACAAATTCTCAAGCGATTTCTGGTCTGATCTTTTTTGCCAAACAAAGGAATGCTCCACCACACCAGACTTCCTCGTGACTGACTCCTTTGCTGCCACGCATCGCCGAAATTCCTAAACCAAGGAAGTTTGTGATGGACAGGCATTTAGATATTTTATTCTGGTCAATTTTTGATCTTATAACTATTATGAAATTTAAGATATTTAAGATATTTTCAGTAGCATGCCCCTTTTCCCTAAAAATCCTTTTTTGAGAACATCATACAAATCTAGACCAGACTTTAAAGTTTGCTGTGTTAATGAAATTCTGTGCAGTTATTTTTTTCGTTTTTGTCATTGTTTTCATATAATAGCGTTTTTTCATCAAGGCTTTTTTGTGTGATTAGAATCTTAAAGTCTACTATCTGGGCATATTTTGTGTCTTGGGTTTTGTTATTTGCATCTACCTTGCTATCAATATGCTGAATTTGGAACATATTTGAGA